CGGGTACTCCATCATGCCCAAGTTTGAATATGTCCCAATATACCACGATCATGCCCAAGGTTTGAAAATGTCCCAATATACCGCGATCATGTCCGAGGTTTGAATATGTCCCAATATACCGCGATCATGTCCAAGGTTTGAATATGTCCCATTATACCACGATCATGTCCAAGGTTTGAATATGTCCCACTATACCACCATCATGTCCGAGGTTTGAATATGTCCCAATATACCACGATCATGTCCAAGGTTTGAATATGTCCCAATATACCACGATCATGCCCAAGGTTTGAATATGTCCCAATATACCACGATCATGTCCGAGTTTTGAATATGTCCCAATATACCACGATCATGTCCGAGGTTTGAATATGTCCCAATATACCGCGATCATGTCCAAGGTTTGAATATGTCCCATTATACCACGATCATGTCCAAGGTTTGAATATGTCCCAATATACCACGATCATGTCCGAGGTTTGAATATGTCCCAATATACCACGATCATGTCCAAGGTTTGAATATGTCCCAATATACCACGATCATGCCCAAGGTTTGAATATGTCCCAATATACCACGATCATGTCCGAGTTTTGAATATGTCCCAATATACCACGATCATGTCCGAGGTTTGAATATGTCCCAATATACCACGATCATGTCCGAGGTTTGAATATGTCCCAATATACCACGATAATGCCCAAGGTTTGAATATGTCCCAATATACCACGATCATGTCCGAGGTTTGAATATGTCCCAATATACCACGATCATGTCCGAGGTTTGAATATGTCCCAATATACCACGATCATGTCCAAGGTTTGAATATGTCCCATTATACCACGATCATGTCCGAGGTTTGAATATGTCCCAATATACCACGATAATGCCCAAGGTTTGAATATGTCCCAATATACCACGATCATGTCCGAGGTTTGAATATGTCCCAATATACCACGATCATGTCCGAGGTTTGAATATGTCCCAATATACCGCGATCATGTCCAAGGTTTGAATATGTCCCATTATACCACGATCATGTCCGAGGTTTGAATATGTCCCAATATCCCGCGATCATGTCCAAGGTTTGAATATGTCCCAATATACCACGATCATGTCCGAGGTTTGAATATGTCCCAATATACCACGATAATGCCCAAGGTTTGAATATGTCCCAATATACCACGATAATGCCCAAGGTTTGAATATGTCCCAATATACCACGATCATGTCCGAGGTTTGAATATGTCCCAATATACCGCGATCATGTCCAAGGTTTGAATATGTCCCAATATACCGCGATCATGTCCGAGGTTTGAATATGTCCCATTATACCATGATCATGTCCGAGGTTTGAATATGTCCCAATATCCCGCGATCATGTCCAAGGTTTGAATATGTCCCAATATACCGCGATCATGTCCGAGGTTTGAATATGTCCCAATATACCGCGATCATGTCCAAGGTTTGAATATGTCCCATTATACCACGATCATGTCCAAGGTTTGAATATGTCCCACTATACCACCATCATGTCCGAGGTTTGAATATGTCCCAATATACCACGATCATGTCCAAGGTTTGAATATGTCCCAATATACCACGATCATGCCCAAGGTTTGAATATGTCCCAATATACCACGATCATGTCCGAGTTTTGAATATGTCCCAATATACCACGATCATGTCCGAGGTTTGAATATGTCCCAATATACCGCGATCATGTCCAAGGTTTGAATATGTCCCATTATACCACGATCATGTCCAAGGTTTGAATATGTCCCAATATACCACGATCATGTCCGAGGTTTGAATATGTCCCAATATACCACGATCATGTCCAAGGTTTGAATATGTCCCAATATACCACGATCATGCCCAAGGTTTGAATATGTCCCAATATACCACGATCATGTCCGAGTTTTGAATATGTCCCAATATACCACGATCATGTCCGAGGTTTGAATATGTCCCAATATACCACGATCATGTCCGAGGTTTGAATATGTCCCAATATACCACGATAATGCCCAAGGTTTGAATATGTCCCAATATACCACGATCATGTCCGAGGTTTGAATATGTCCCAATATACCACGATCATGTCCGAGGTTTGAATATGTCCCAATATACCACGATCATGTCCAAGGTTTGAATATGTCCCATTATACCACGATCATGTCCGAGGTTTGAATATGTCCCAATATACCACGATAATGCCCAAGGTTTGAATATGTCCCAATATACCACGATCATGTCCGAGGTTTGAATATGTCCCAATATACCACGATCATGTCCGAGGTTTGAATATGTCCCAATATACCGCGATCATGTCCAAGGTTTGAATATGTCCCATTATACCACGATCATGTCCGAGGTTTGAATATGTCCCAATATCCCGCGATCATGTCCAAGGTTTGAATATGTCCCAATATACCACGATCATGTCCGAGGTTTGAATATGTCCCAATATACCACGATAATGCCCAAGGTTTGAATATGTCCCAATATACCACGATAATGCCCAAGGTTTGAATATGTCCCAATATACCACGATCATGTCCGAGGTTTGAATATGTCCCAATATACCGCGATCATGTCCAAGGTTTGAATATGTCCCAATATACCGCGATCATGTCCAAGGTTTGAATATGTCCCATTATACCATGATCATGTCCGAGGTTTGAATATGTCCCAATATCCCGCGATCATGTCCAAGGTTTGAATATGTCCCAATATACCACGATCATGTCCAAGGTTTGAATATGTCCCATTATACCACGATAATGCCCAAGGTTTGAATATGTCCCATTATACCACGATCATGTCCGAGGTTTGAATATGTCCCAATATACCATGATCATGTCCGAGGTTTGAATATGTCCCAATATACCGCGATCATGTCCAAGGTTTGGATATGTCCCATTATACCACGATCATGTCCAAGGTTTGAATGTGACCCAATATACCTGATGTTCATATCCAACGTTTGAATATGCTCCATATAGATCGATTATGTCTAACGTTTGAATATGTCCCAATATACCACGGTCATGTCCAAGCTTTGAATATGTCCCAATATACCCTGTGCTCGTGTCCAGGGTATGAATATATCCAATATACTTGATGATTGTGTCCAAGGTTTGAATATGTCCCGATAAACCTGATGAGCGCGTCCAGGGTATGAATACATCCAATATACTTGATGATTGTGTCCAAGGTTTGAATATGTCCCGATGAACCTGATGAGAGCGTCCAGGGTATGAATATATCCAATATACTTGATGATTGTGTCCAAGGTTTGAATATGTCCCGATAAACCTGATGAGCGCGTTCAGGGTATGAATATATCCAATATACTTGATGATTGTGTCCAAGGTTTGAATATGTCCCGATAAACCTGATGAGCGCATCCAGGGTATGAATATATCCAATATACTTGATGATTGTGTCCAAGGTTTGAATATGTCCCGATAAACCTAATGAGCGCATCCAGGATATTAATATATTACCAACATACTTGATGATTGTGTCCCTATAAAGTATATACCACGATTATGTCCAAGGTTTGAATATGCCCCAATATACTACGATTATGTCCAAGTTCTGAATATGTCCCAATATCCCTGATGAGCGTGTCCAAGGTTTGAATATGTCCCTATTTACCACGATTATGTCCAAGTTCTGAATATGTCCCAATATGCATGATGAGTGTGTCCAAGGTTTGAATATCTCCCTATATACCACGATTATGTTCAAGGTTTGAATATGCCCCAATATACTACGATAATGTCCAAGTTCTGAATATGTCCCAACATACCTGATGACCGTGTCAAAGGTTTGAATATGTCGCAATATCTCTCAATCATGTCCAAGTTTTGAATATGACCCAATATACAAAAATCATATACAAGGTTTGAATATGTCCCAATATACCCTATGCTCGTGTCCAGGGTATGAATATATACAAATATACTTAATGATTTTGTCCAAGGTGTGAAGATGTCGCAATATACCCTCGATCGTGTCCAAGGTGTGAAAATGTCCCAATATCCCTTGATCATGTTCAAGGTGTGAATTCGTCCCAATATACACAATGCGGGTGTACACGGGGAAATATGTGGCAATATACCCAATGTTCATGTTGGAAAGGACATGTCCACATATACCCCATGAGACTATCCCAGGAGACTGTAGCTCCCCAGTCTGTTCCAGGGGAAATATGTGGCAATATACCCCATGTTCATGTTGGATAGAACATGTACACATATACCCCATGAGACTATCCCAGGAGACTGTAGCTCCCCAGTCTGTGTTCCAGGGGAAATATGTGGCAATATACCCCATGTTCATGTTGGATAGAACATGTACACATATACCCCATGAGACTATCCCAGGTGACTGTAGCTCCCCAGTCTGTGTTCCAGGGGAAATATGTGGCAATATACCCCATGTTCATGTTGGATAGAACATGTACACATATACCCCATGAGACTCCCAGGAGACTGTAGCTCCCCAGTCTGTTCCAGGGGAAATATGTGGCAATATACCCCATGTTCATGTTGGATAGAACATGTACACATATACCCCATGAGACTATCCCAGGAGACTGTAGCTTCCCAGGCTGTGTTCCAGGGGAAATATGTGGCAATATACCCCATGTTCATGTTGGATAGAACATGTACACATATACCCCATCAGACTATCCCAGGAGACTGTAGCTCCCCAGTCTGTTCCAGGGGAAATATGTGGCAATATACCCCATGTTCATGTTGGATAGAACATGTACACATATACCCCATGAGACTATCCCAGGAGACTGTAGCTCCCCAGGCTGTGTTCCAGGGGAAGTTCTTCTCTAGGTGGAAATGTGTGTACTTGAGGCAATGGATTGGTGCCTTTACAATCAGATGACCTAAACTGATAACTGGTAAATCACCATCTATTCCTTTGTTTTCAAACTGAAACAATCACTCACCAAAGAAAACTCAATAAAAAAATAGGTTTCAAAGTTTTTTATTCTGGGTTGGATTTCAGGTTTTGGTAGTTCAAATAACAACTAAAATGCCGCTGATCACATATCATTTACTGGTGGGTATGTTCATTAACTGTAATGGCCAGGAATGTTAACAAGAACATACATTGAGGCATATATGTTGTATCTCACACCTCTTGTCACACACAAAACAACTGGTATGGGTTTCAAGGCACTCACTCATCACAACATGTAAGGATCTTCTAGTTCTGAGTGAACAAGTAGACCAGGACATGGTGGCCTTTATTTCTCTCATCAATATTTATTGTATGTTTTTAATGCCAACAAATTCACATAAATGCCATAAACAAATTCTGGACATAAGTTAATACAACTTAAATATGAATAGCCTGATATATGTGAATCATAAAAGGAAAATATCAAGGTTGTATTTTAGTTGTTGAACTAAGCATGATATTCTAAAATCTCAACAAGACATCGTCTACAGTCGTCAACCATCAAGTTGTATGATAACTGCTTCCCCTCCTCGTAACTCTAAGTATGTGTTCCCGATGTCAATCTTCTCCTGACTGGTCTCCTGGTGCGAGTGGAACATCACAGTCCCCGTCTCCGAGAACAGATCCCCCTTAAACAGATGACTGACAGGATCTGCTCCAAAGTTGAAGGCCACTAAATAGCCAAGGAAGCCTTCCGCCTTGCGCACGAAGTAGACCATGTCGCTGACAATGCCAGTGGTGGTCTTACCAAACTGAAGGGATTCACTACCACGCAGTTTCATCAGTTCATCAACCTTCTCAAACACAGAGTTTTTCCTGAAGTGTGCTCGTTCAGACTGAAAGAAAATAGAGAATTTACATTATGGTTTGACTGTACACACATAGAAAACATACATCAAATACTGGCATTAGTGAATGTACACATCAATTTCAGACACAGTATTTTCTCTGTCCTAACAAGTTCCTGCTCACAGTTAGTGACAAAATACTTTCACTCACACCACAAACAAGTTCTCTTTTGGAATCTAGTTCAAATTTCTTGAAGTACAAGCATACAAAGGATATGAATGACTTAAAGGTATTTTCATGATTATCAAGTAACACAGTACATGGATGTTGTAGTCGAATGTATCCTGAGTAACAGCCATCTTCTTGTACACACTCAACTACAATTCACTGCTACTTACTGCCACATTGTTTTCTTTGTACCCATCATTAATGGGCAGATATGGTGTGGAGTTGGAGGCGGTGAAGCCGGCATTCGGTCCAGCATTCCACTGCATGGGGGTGCGGTACTTCATGTTACTCTGGGAACAAAAAGTGACATTCATTCCAATAAAATTTTAAAGAGTTTGTCAGCTGTGCTGACATCAATAGGTCAGTAGAAGTACTTGCACCATGCTGTTGACAATTTCAACAAATATCACAATATGTTATCATGGTTACCCAACAGGTATCCTGGGATTGAGACAGTCAGTGCAAGTTTAGGGTTATACAGACAATGTATTGAATCATGCCAATACACTCCCTATTCTGAAGTGTCAGTGGTAGAGCATTGTTGGAAGGAATACAGATCCCTAGTTTATGATGCTGATCAAGCTAAATTACATATTGGCAATATGGATTGAAAATCCACTGCACGCTCCATATCAGTAACCATGACAACCGTGCCATAAAGACACCATCACACAATGATTACCAGGGAAAACAAAAGGAAATGTGCTTGATCCTGTCAGTACAATATGGTTTGACTGGTTTGATGGTTGTCTAAAAGCCAAACTCAGCAATGATAGCAGTTCGTAAATTGATGATGACACAAGTCTGACACCCCGATCCATTTAGTTGCCTCTTCCCACCAGCTTAGGTTGCTGCTGGAGACCAATTTTCTTACCCAGAATCCCCACTTGCCGAGTCCATTATGAACATGCATATAAACTACACCTTCACTGCTTCCAATGTCTGGAGAAATGTTTAGAGTGTTCAGAAAAACCTTCCATGACCCATGACTCGGGTAGCCCTAAGGATTAACAACCTGACCCCAAGCTAACAACTCCCACTTACCAACTCCATCGTATCTGTGCTGACCCCGGAGATGGCCGTGGTGGTGAAGGTGCCGTCCTTCATGCCGACCTCATCTCCATAGTACATGATGGGCGTCCCAGGCAACATGAGCTGCATCACAATGGCTGCAACCTCTCTGACACCCATTCTCTGGCTCACACGGCTGCTTTCCCCATTGCTCAGCTGCAAATAGGAACACAACATCAAACATATTGAAGGAAAAAAACTGAAAATGTATTTTGTGTTGGAGGTTTCCTACTGCAATATCACTTTTGTTGATCACTACTGGTCCTTGGGTCTGTGGCCAGAGAAAGTATCAGCTGTTATCTAGACGGCATTCAACAGTAACAGTGCAACAAAAAATATTCGATCATGAGGACATATTGGCTTGTGAGTTTATGATATTTTTCTTCAGTCTCGTCTGGACTAATAATTGAATAGTTTTCTTGGGCAAAAGCTGAAATAACCAAATTACTTCAAATACAGGATCCTCAATATACTTCAAGTCCCACTTTCAAGGACATAGCTTACCATCCATCCCAGCCACTTGTTGACATTATCCTCATACAGCTCATCATCCAGCACCTTCTTCATACATGCTGCGTTACAGGAGGCGGAGAGTTGCGATACCAGGCCATTTCCGACCACTATGTGAAGGCCCGGTTTGTCAGCAGTGCCATAGTATGCCATGGTCTGGTTCTTGGTGGCGCCAGCGATAGATGCATACAGCACCCTGTTGATACATACAGAGCATTATGAACAGACGCTGCAGGGACATTAGAGACACAGCTTCCTAACTGGCAGACAACAACAGCTCAAAACTAGTGCTGGCTATCAATATAGATCTAAATATTGATCAATTATCAATAAATATCGGAGAAGTAACTTTGAGCAAATATACAAAAGCTCAGCGACAAAACAAAATATTTCATGTCATTGGTGAGTGGATTACTTTGTGGACATTGAACGTATAACAAAATCAGTTGCTTTCTGTCTTCCGCAGAGTACAAAAACAAGCCTGCTTTGTTACTAAAACTTTATTTCACCACAACAGTTTATATAAGATATTATTGATGACACAATTTTCATATCGATTATCATTAATATTTCTTCTCATCAACGATAATTCTGATTATCAATCTCCTACTGGCCAAGATCCATAGAACTAGTGTGCTAAGCTCAACATATGTCATTAGCAAACTAGGAATGCCATTTCATCCACAAAAGATTAGGATAAGGTATTGGAGGTTTAAAGTGTATTACAATATTTTGCGATGCACAAGGCCGTATTGCGATATGCATCACGATATATTGTATAATTCTAAAGTTTGAAATCAGAAGCAATCTGATACATTAAGGTATGAATTGAAGTTCTGCACACCCTTAGAAATGACGCACTATTGTGAGTAAAGGACCCCTTGCTTGCTATTGCTGGTACCTGCCTCAGGTAAGGGCCACATAAACCAGGTGTTCAAACCAATCTAAAGCTCTGCTCTCATCCTGATTAATGGATAGTGGCATATTCTAATTCTAACGCATAGTTAACACAGCAACAGAGAAGCTTATGCTCCCACAAAGACCAACAGCATACCTTTCTCTGCCAGGCTTGTCGGAGTATGCGTTGAGTGTGGCACGGAAAGCCTGGATCACAGGGATGCTGCCTTGGTAATTGACATGAGTCTGAAACAAATGTGGAAAGTTTATTTGTTTGTGCTTCTCAGGAGATGTGATGCATTTATATTCAGCATCTGAGCCATGCATTTATACACACTGGACACATTCAACTAAAGTACCGCATTCAGCATATTCAAGCCAAAACAGTTCACTGCCTGAGTCTACAATGAAACAGATGATAGTTATAAAACGTTCACACAACATAACTCCTTTTCAGAATGTAAACTTGTTCTAAATCCCTTCAGGGGATACATAGACTTCAGTTTTTCCTGTTCCTGACTTACCGAATCATCATCTGGGTTAGTTGTGTTGAGGTTCTCCACAAGCAGACTGGCATCCTTCAGATTGAAGCCCCCAATTCCTCTGCTAAGCCAGAATTTCAAGACTTCCTATAAAGTAAAACATAAAGTGTCTAAATGAATCTTTGAACAATAAACAAGCAAACCCTTCAATACAATTCTCACAGTACTTACACAGCAGTTATTTTCATTCATGTTATGCAATGTTATTGGTTGAACTCAAAATGAGTGAGTGAACAGGTTTTAAGAACTTTGACAGAAGAAAACCACTAATGCAGGTCCTAAATGTTCGCTGGTGTAGTCCAGAGAAACCAAAATCATGAGAATGTTTTTTTTCAAAAAACACTGAAAGTTACATGGGGTCTGGGGACCATATAATTTTGCAGACCACATGATTTAGGCACATGTTGTAATGACATGTATCAAAAAGTGGTCCTAAGCGTAACAAAATCCACAGAAAATTCTCAGTCCTGTGTAATATCATGAACCATATAACAAGCATGTAACACAGTTGGCTGTAAAGAGTAGAATAGACCCTGACCGTCATCTCCTTCACCACATCCTCGTTCTCCAGGTTGAGGTCGGGGTACTCGGGGCCAGTCTGACACAAGTAGTACTGGTTGCGGGTTGAGTCCAGGTTCCACGCAGGTCCCCCATTCACGTTTTTCTGGAACACAAACAGAAGACGATCAGACAGGAAAACTCTTTGAACAGAGATGCCAACCTGAATTGAAGCATTGGAGCAATCAGTGGGGTTAAAGTTGAAAAAAAAGTTGTTTCATGTGAAAAAGGGTAATGTTGATTGTATCCTTAGTTTCTGTCTGAACCTGCAAAGATCGTTCAATAAAATAAGTTGAGTTTGTGTTAACATAGCAACCAGTCAGAGACCTTGTACCATTGAGTAATGGATATTCTAATAATATGTAAATTGAAAGCATTGTTCTTATGGTCAGCAAAGTCTTGCTACACAGTAATGATTCATGTCACTGGAGCATTGTCCTCTGTGATATTTTATTAATGTAAATAATTCATAGTTTAGGGTAGGACAAGGCTAAAAGCAAAGGGTACGAAAGGGGTACTTTTAGCCTCAAAACGAAACTGTTACACCAATATCTTGTTCCCTGCTTTGAACATCTTGTGTCTTAGCGGATGTTTATTGTCTTTAAATTGTTTCTCCTTCATGGACTCTTTGTACACCTGCAGAATTTAATAAAATGAAAAATATGAAATCAGTGTTGGGTACAAGTTCCTACCCAGTTGTTTGGAGGTCCGCCATTCTTGACATCAGCCCACACGTAGTAGTCGGAAAACTTGTTATCCTTAGATTTCTTAGATTCCAAGAACCAGGTGTGGTTCTTGCTTGTGTGGTTTGGAACAAAGTCCAAGACAATCTTAACACCTAAAGAAAAGAAAAAATATAACCATGGTAACAAATGAAGAAGAAGCATGGCAGGAACAATCATGTATGTCATTCATGGGGTCCTACTAAATTACTAGTGTTAAGTATCGGATGAGGTTTCCTAATCAATCATTGGTTCTATAACAGTAACTTGATTGTTACAAGTACTTACAATATATATCATACAATTTGTTTGTTGGTTGGTTAACGAAGGTCTGAAAATAATCGAGTCTGGACTAGACAATCCAGTGATTGACGTCGATGATATGATCAACATGCATTAACCAAGTCAGCGAGCCTGACCACCTAATCCTGTTTGTCATCTCTTACAACCATTGTTGCTTTTTAGGTGCAAAAGTATCATTCTCTTTTAATGTATTTAACTCTTTCTTAGTTTCTTGAAGTTGGTAGATCATTTGACAAAGGAATGCAGCCTTTAGTACCACTGATGCCCTTCCCATCACAAAGCATGGCAAGGAACTGAAGTTGGGCAAGTGATACAGGCCGAATTCCTACCAACCACCTTGGCACACTATTTCAGGTCATGTCATCTTATAACGTAACATGGTTATGCCCCACTTTTAGCAGTACTACATTATTTCAGCTATATCAGGCTATCTGACACCAAGCATGGGCTCTACAAACTGTCACCATCCTGTGTGGTCTGAAAGGAAACTATATGGCTCTGATTACCCTTCTGGCCCTAATTCAAGCGACCTCACTATTCCTGGCATAACAGAGTGAACACAAAACATAAAGCACCATTAACTTGGCAGCAGTTCTCCAACATAGTAGAAGACCCTAAATCATGTACATACCTACCCTTGTTTTATACATTTGGAACATTATTTGTATCAGTTCTCATGACAGCATTTGAACTCAGGTCTTTGACATGACAAGCAAGCACTTTAACCACTAGACTATCCCGCTATCCATTTCAATATAATACAACACACCATCGACCACCTCACACTTCATATGACATCACAAACAGTTAACTTTGTGGTGAACACGAGCATGAGGATTCAAAGACTTGTGTAATTAGTATTACCTGATTTCTTGAACGAGGCCAACATGGCATCCACCTGTTCTATTGAGCCAAGTGTAGGGTCAACATCCTTGTGATCAATAATGCCATTTCCGGTGTCTTTCTTGTAGATGGATCCAAGTGAAATGACTTTAGCGCCAACGGCATCAGTAATGTAGGATGACTTGGACTGGACACCTGCATTTGATGAACGTGGCAATTGATGAGTCCGCAGTATGTCAGCAAGTTTATTGATAAGTCTTCGATGTGGTATATTTACTAAAAGGCCATTTATAAAGAGTGAGTTTACACGGCTCTGACCAGTACTTCAGCATTACTGCATGTCCCTTTAGTCGTGTTAATAAATGTCTGAAGTGAAGCATGTTACAGATTTATTTTCACTTAACGATGTTTGAAATTAAGGCTGTATGTCAATGGGTCCTTGTCATAAGCCAAATATTGAATATTTGAGATTTATGGGTTCAAGCTGACTAATGCTTAGTCTCTGAAAACATAAAATTTTGATAGAAATATATAACTCCACTAAAATAGAAAGGAGCCCCATTGAGCATGTTGAGATGGGAGATTAAGAACCTGAGGAAAATCTAGAGTTGCTTCATCATGTTCATTAAGAGCTTTAGATAACAGATGGGACAGGTGGAAGAGAAAAAATATGGTTCAGGGACTGTGAGACAGACTAGAGTCCTAGATTCCAACACCATGGGAGCAACCCTCAAGGACCCTACTAAGTACTAAGTTTCGAACATAGTTTAAGTGAACCAGAGCAACATTAGAAATTAGCACTAGTTCTATAGTCCTTGCCAAATTGCCCACTAGCTAGGTATCATAACTTAAGGGCCAGTCGCAATTTGCTATTATTGAGGGTTAAAGGGTTTTGCTATATCATGTATATGTTAGGACTAGTGGACTATAACAGTTTCCATCGCTACAGAGCATGGTAAAGTGTACATACATAGTACTGACAACCCACTGCAAAGGAACGTTATCACTGCAATTATTGGATCCTAGCACCTGTAAGGCCAAAGGATGTAGAGAGTCGCAATACCCTTATATAACTTACTGAGTAAACCCTAAAGCTCAAATCAGTGTTAGAATCTTAACAGTTTTTGTCCACTAGTCCTTATAATGATAACATATAGCAAAACTCTTAAAAATGGCAATTTTCTACTAGTCCTTATGATACCTTTACCATTGGACAGTTTGGCAAGGACTATAGGACTAGTGCCAATTTCTAACCCTGCAAATTGGGGTATCCTGCATGCATGTAATGTAATTAGTATCCGCTAAGAATTTACATAGATCTAGTAGTCTAGTTGTCTATGTCTATAACAGGGCAACACTCTATGGTCATCATGGGCGGATACAGATGGGGGGTGCGTGGGTGCGCAAAATTACATTTCGATGAAAGTAATTCGATTAAGCTCTGATCTATAGATAAAAGGGGATTTCAAAACCTACCACCGAGATCTCCCTTTCCGTTTCCATCAGAGTCCTTGAAGCTCTTCGGATATGCGTTGTAGACGGCCTCTTTGTTATACCATTTCAGGTCGGGGCGGTAAGGGCAGCGAGGAGCAAGGACGATGATGACAATGGCTGCCGCCAACATCGCTAACCAGCCGACCCAAAAGAGTACGAACAAGATGATTCGGAGTCGTTTCCAAAATGGATCGTTCACATACTGCATCAATTCATCTTTTCCTAGGCCAGAGAACGATTCGTTGGATTCAGAGGGAACTTCAATTTCGACATGGGACTCGTCCATGCCTTTACCGCCATTCAGAAATTTGGCTTTCGAGTCATCAAGGTCGATCTCGGCATTTACAGCATCAGCTTCTTTAATCGGTACCTTTTCATCGTGATTTGTATTCTCGTCCGACATTTTGGCAAAATCTATCTATCAAATACAAAACTGTAGTTCTCTGAAGCGTTCTGATAACAGCAGTTTCCGCTCCACGCGTCTCTTGTGTCTGATGAAATATAACACTTGTTGCGAAGGTGAATATCCGGGTCTTTAGAATGGACCATGCCATTATCTCGTAGGGGGTATAGGTTTCAAACCAATTATTACGATGTTATTACGATGACAAACCTTCTCTCTTTTGTGTGGTTGCTGTTATTATTATATTTTGGAATGTGTTGTATAACTAACTATACTTATTAAATGTTATGATATGCATAATAAGGTAAATATTTACGAACTGGGTATTACCTTCACCCCTCTTTGAAATAGGTACATGTACTTTGCGAGGACTGTTTTGTGTCCTGCACCGGCAACCTGACTGGTAGATACCGGATTTGCCACGGGCTTATGATGCAACATTTGCACGTTCTACTGCATTGATATTAAAATCGTTCCGTTGTTGGGAAAAGATTATATTGAAATGGTAGAAACAATGTGAAGCTTTACATTCGTGTGTATTACCGTAAATTACAGAAACTATAGGCCATTGATATGGAATATACTCGTGGACAATTTGGGCTATTACATATAAGTAGGTCTACTTCAGCTGTTAGTGAGTGTGTTTATGAAGGGGTAGTTTCTTCCACAGCTAATACACGTGGTCGTACGATGTAAAATGTCGGCATACAAAGGACAGCTCAAAGTCCTGATGAATGACATCCGATCACGAGAAGGCAAAAACAAATGTACATGTACTGGCTGTGTATATCCTTGTACATGTACTGGCTGTGTATATCCTGTAGCTGTGTATATCCTGTATGTATGTTTGACTTTCCTCGAAACGGACACGGATCAGGACACGAAACTCCCTGACATTATATGCACGGGTGTTGTCGCATCCTTGGCAACCGGACATGGTGATCAGTGTGGGGGAGTGAGTGAGTGAGTGAGTTGGGTTTAACGCCGCTTTTAACAGTATTCCAGTCATATCACGGCGTGTCAGCTTAATGTGGGAGGAAAGCCCGAAGTGATGCAGGTCTCAGACGTTTACCACTTCGGTGAAACCCACGAGCACGGGTATGGTGCTGACAAACCTTGAAACATAATCGGGGCGAACCGGGATTCGAACCCACAATCATAGGTTTCTGGCGTGCCAAAGGGACGCAACTCTGCACAGCGAATCGCGGCGCCTTAGACGACTGGGCCACCCGTGCCCCCCTCAGTGTGGGGGATTCGGGACCTAGGTCGGAGCTGTTACATAACTTGAGAAAAACTGCATTGGCATCAAAGATAACGTCGCTTCTTTATATATATATATATATATATATATATATATATATAGAGAGAGAGAGAGAGAGAGAGAGAGAGAGAGAGAGAGAGGTTTAAATTACTATTATCCTTATTTTGTTAAATAACGTTTGATTGACTGACTATTCATCAAGGTCACGGAGATCACTAATACCAAATCTCCCCTTTAGGCTACTTGCACAGAAAATGCGGTAAATCGGATTAACAAACAAAGATATCATTTTCGAGCAATCTTGTGACTTAACCGAACGAAAAAACAACTCCTTTTTACATGAACAAACTGAACTGTTAGCATTACTGCCCAACCTTCTGGGCCAGCCACCGTCTTGTCTACGCATGCCCTACACGATAACCGCATTATAATATGCCGGCATCTGGCGAGACGACATCTGTCGCCACACCTTGTCAACCGCGCACATAGTCCCGCGCCATGATTTGCTGAGGCCACACTAAACTAATTAGTTGTTTGTCGGAGGTTTGGTCAAAAGTAATGAGCTGGACATTTTTTAATCATTCTTTTAAACTACAAATCCTTCAATAAATATGTATGAAATGTAAACGGTACAAGTTTCAGTCGAATAATTACTGATCAAGATACACTATCTATCAATGCATTAGCCATGACTATAGCTATATGTAGATATTATACGTTAATAGATATAATTCGACATCTGATTTTTTAAACCATATCAGCAATATGTGAGGCAATGTGCCATGCAGCATGTTTGATGTATTTTTGTTATGGGAAACAACGAAACCGCCGACCAAGTAATCAGTCAGGTGTGGCCTTAGTTTGCTATATATTCTGATCCGCCTAGCAACGTTGTGCAAAATGTGTAAAATCGATAGTACATTTGTTGTTGATGAAAATCATTCTTCTAAATTCATTAAAACTAAATTTAATTTCACTGGAATCATTTGATTTTAGATAGAATATTTTAAACAGATAAACATATTGTAGCCTGCACGTCCGCCTTCATTACCTGAAACACGTGGCAATATACTGCGTTATGTAATTAATGAGGCAATGTTGGCGGCTATCGATGGTGATTTCTGGTGCACATCCGTTTGTAATGTTTCAAACCTAGACAGTGAAGTATTCGTTCGTTCGTTCGTTCGTTCGTTCGTTCGTTCGTTCAATCGTTCGTTCGTTCGTTCGCTCGCTCGCTCACTCATTCGGAAAGAAAAGATATGACTGAGAATTCTGTATCTATCTTCCCTACTATTTACAACCTAGATTCTGGTAATACAAATAGATTTAAAAATAGTAATCTTTCCAATTGGATCAACCCGTGAAGATCCGGGGTAGAATAGGTCTTCAGCAACCCGTGCTTGCCGCGAAAGGCGACTATGCTTGTCGTAAGAGGCGACTAACGGGATCGGGTGGTCAGGCTCGCTGACTTGGTTGATGCATGTCACTGCATGTATCCCAACTGTGTGGATCGATGCTCATGATGTAAACCACTGGATTGTCTGGTCCAGACTCGATTATTTACAAACCGCCGTCATATAGTTGGAATATTGCTAAGTGCGGCGTTAAACAACAAACCAACGTCCAGTTATCTACCGCCTTGCGTGTTTCTATCACGTATAAACACAAGTGGGAAAGACGACAGATGGAAACTAGTCATCACAAGTTCGGCCACCTGTGTGTGTTTGTTGCAAATTTTCATGATAAGAACCCAAACAAACGACTTGGACTGACAGATTATAAGATAAAGGGCACCTATATATGATTGCTTCTCATTGTAAATTACTTTTTAAAATACAGAAAAAAAATCGATGTTCTGTTCTTCAATAACGACTTCATTCTAATTTTGAAGAAATGCATATTTCGGGGCTGTAAATATATCAGGATTCACTGCAATTGAAAAGGTTCCTATGTAATTTTTTTCATGCAAATGAAATCACTATATGATCTATATATTCTTCCAGAATGTCGCGACAAGACAGAACTCTTCTGTCAATGGAAAACACAAACGCACCGTTCTCCGCCGTGGACTGGTCCCTTGTCTCTGTTGCGCACGCTACGCAAGGGCTTTGTGCAGACAGGCAGTTGAGTGGCAGTTCACTCCTATGGCCACAGCCTAAGCCACTTCCGGAGCGCTTGGCGGTTTTACGTTTAGAACTTGATGAGTGAAAGAAGACACAATGTCTGGAAGGACGTACTGTTGTGTGGTGGGCTGCTCCAACTATAGCGGCAAGGTAGTGCATGGCAGGACCGTAAGCTTACATCGTTTTCCTTCAGGAAACTCTTCAAGGAATCGTAAGTTAAAGAGTATATGGTCATGTAGACTCGGTAGGACAAACTTCACAGTGAGATCCTGGACCCGGTTGTGCTCGGAACACTTCGAGGGAAGACGAGGACCTACCTCCGAGGTGAATCTGCCGTCCATATTCCACCACAAAGTCTTCAAAAGTACCAAGGTAAATACTACATCAGCTGACACGATTAATAAATGCTATTCGTAGTCCGAACGTTATCTTATCTAGGGCTAAATTATTTGAAATAATTCCATAAATTCCATAAAAAAATACTGATTTATTATTTACAACTAGTTCCAACTATGTTATGATTATGATCAAAGTTATACTGACATTGGCAATTTCTTTCATGATGTGGAAGAATATTCACAATCCAAATCAATCAGTGTTGATGTTGTCATTGAAATAAAATAAAGCACCATTGTCCGGATTGCTGTTTTCAGTTACAGGACCTGTATGTTGTCACACCTGACGCTGCACATGAAGAACAGGAGAATTCAGCAACTGATAGTGAAACCGAGGCCACCCGACGCAGGTCCCCTCCCCGACTGATGTCCCCTTCCTCCCTATCCCGCCTTGACGTATCGGTACTGATGCATGACTACGTGGACAGGCTGGACACAGAGGACATCAGAACAGTTGCAGACTTCCGACATCAGGAAGTAACCGTTACACCATGTGCACAAGATGCATGTACACAGACAAACTTTCCTGTAAGCATGACCGACAATTCCCATTTAACCGACCACAGCAACAGTCACAGGCCTTGGCTCACTGTGGATGACCTTGCTGATGCAGAGATGATGTTTTATACTGGTTTGCCAGACAAGAACAGCTTCACTGTGTTGTTTGATGAACTTACTGAAGATTCTGATACAAACAAACATGAATTAAAGCCCCATGAACTTACTCTAAAGGATCAATTTTTTATGGTGCTCATGAGACTACGTCTTGGCCTTTTGGTGTTGGACTTGGCAAAGCGGTTTCGGGTATCTGCTTCAGCTGTCAGTTCAATTTTCAATTCTTGGATTGACAAAATGTATTTTGGCCTTAGTTTCCAAATATACTGGCCATCACAAGAAACTGTGAGACTTAACATGCCAGAGTCCTGTCAGTCAACGTACCCAACCACGCGAGTTGTCATAGCTTGTACTGAGGTGTATACTGAAACTCCTGACTCACTGGGAAACAGAACTCTGATATACTCGGATTACAAAAGGCTCAGGACATGGAAGGTTTTGGTGGGAACTAGTCCATCGGGAGTCGTCACATACGTCAGTGACCTTTGGTCAGGAAGCATTTCTGACAAACAGATTACTGAAGAGAGTGGAATTCTTAATGGGTTGGACAGTGACGATGGAGTAATCGCAGATGAAGGATTTCAGATTGCAGATCTACTGTGTTCAAAGAATGTCCATTTGATAATTCCACCAAAGAAGGAAAAGAACTGTAAATTAACTGAAAGAGAGGTTGAGAGTATGAGAAAAATTGCAAACTTGCGTATTCATGTTGAAAAGGCAATAGAGCGAATTAAACATTTTCGGATCTTACAAGGTGTCATTCCCCTCACAAGAAGTGAACAAGTTTCCAAGATTTTCTATATATGTGCTGCACTGAGTAACCTCCAGCCACCACTTGTAACCATGGTAACACATTAAGGTCATTTCAAGAGGATAATCCAAAACATAACTAATTATGCAATTATCATCACTCTGAAATGACCTTGTGTCAAGTGTGCTTCATATCTCAAAAATGAATATAATGAATTGTTTGGTGGTCTAGTGTGTGACCAGGACCAGTTTTGTCCTTGAATTCTCAATATTTCTGTACCATGGCATATGTAGCCTGTATGTACACATGGCAGTAATATCATTAAGTACTCAGAGATCATACCACTGTCTGTGTGTGCTGTAATACCATTACTAAAGTCCATTCACGTGACTAGAGGTTGTAATCCTGGTAATGGTTTAGGGAGGAAGATTTCTGTTGTATTTTCTGTTTGAATGAAACCTGACCTGCACATGCTACTTTTCACATTGCGCTTTGCAGCTCTACTTTCAACTGGTGTATATATATGTATATGTTTCTGTCATGTAGCACTTTTATACCTGCTGAATGTATATTTTCTGCATAGGTCTTCAGTGCTGAAATAACATAATTTTCACTGGACATAAATGTTATATTCACATAGATTCTTGCGACTGAAGCAAAATTAATGTGATTGAACTGTGTGTTCCCGTATACACAATCAGTCTGGGACTTTAACCACCAGTCCATGGTGTGACTAAACCTTGTGTTCCTGTATACACAATCAGTCTAGGACTTTAGCCACTAATCCATGGTGTGACTAAACCTTGTGTTCCCCTATACACAATCAGTCTGGGACTTTAGCCACCAGTCCATGGTGTGACTAAACCTTGTGTTCCCCTATACACAATCAGTCTGGGACTTTAGCCACTAGTCCATGGTGTGACTAAACCTTGTGTTCCCCTATACACAATCAGTCTGGGACTTTAACCACTAGTCCATGGTGTGACTAAACCTTGTGTTCCCCTATGCACAATCAGTCTGGGACTTTAGCCACTCGTCCATGGTGTGACTAAACCTTGTGTTCCCCTATACACAATCAGTCTGGGACTTTAGCCACTAGTCCATGGTGTGACTAAACCTTGTGTTCCCCTATACACAATCAGTCTGGGACTTTAGCCACTAGTCCATGGTGTGACTAAACCTTGTGTTCCCCTATGCACAATCAGTCTGGGACTTTAGCCACTAGTCCATGGTGTGACTAAACCTTGTGTTCCCCTATACACAATCAGTCTGGGACTTTAGCCACTAGTCCATGGTGTGACTAAACCTTGTGTTCCCCTATACACAATCAGTCTGGGACTTTAGCCACTAGTCCATGGTGTGACTAAACCTTGTGTTCCCCTATACACAATCAGTCTGGGACTTTAACCACTAGTTTTGACTCATTAAATGAGATATAACAGTTGAGTTGTCCTGTCACCATGCTCCTTGTAACACATTTAAATGATCACTGTTGATATGATACACTTGAGAATACCATGAAGATGCGGAGTAGAATAGGTCTTCAGCAACCCATGCTTGCCGTAAAAGGTGACTGTGCTTGTCGTATAAAGAGGCGACTAACAGGATTGGGTGGTCAGACTCCCTGATGTGGTTGATGCATTTTTTTATCCAAATTGTGTGGATCGATGCTCATGTTGTCAATCACTGGATTGTCTGGTCCAGACTCGATTATTTACAGACCGCTGTCAGATAGCTGGAATATTGCTGAGTGCGGCATTAAACAACAAACCAACAACACTTGAGAAATAACTTAATAATCTCACCATGCAGGATGTAACATGAAGTACCATTGTCTTGTGTGGACTTTAAACTTTATTCCAGCTATATTCTAACCCACATCTTCACGGGATCATCAGTATTTTCATACAGGGAAAGGGAGGTTAACATCACCAACTGTGCACTCATTTGTAACAGTCATAAACATTAAATGTTTCTTGGTCACACTTTTCTCAAGTGATGAGGGTGGTAGGGTTGAATTATATTTTATATTTGAAAGAAAAGAGGAACACTTTTATTTTCCCCACCACCAAGAATTGCAACTAACTCAGCAACACAATGAACTTGGCTATTTAATACAATGTCAGTTGTCAAGCATTTATTTTATGACTGACATTGTATGCTTCACACAATTCAGGAAATTTAAATTATATTTTTTTTTTTTGGCGAGAAAATATGACTGACACGCAGGATTGAAATTGATACCTGATACCCGGAAACATTTCGATCATCCAGAATAAGGAAATGGATACGACATACACTGTAGCACCTAAGATACTAGATATCATGGATATTGTTTCAAAATAGTGAAGGAAAATAATATTTCCTTGATAATCCTAACCTATCACACTGGATCCTATTGGTGAGGCGAGGTGAAATGGGGTTGAAGGTCGCGTTCAAGATTATTGCACTTATAACAACCGGCATGCAGCCGTCTGGACTAATGTCGATTTTATAGTTCCCGCCATCTGAGATGTGCAGTTTGACATGGATACCCCACTCAGACACAGAATACTGACTCTGAGCCAGCTAGTCTGTGTTTTAGCTCCTTAATGCCGATCGCCAGGCAGGGTAACAAGAAGAACCATCTTTTGGTGTCTTTTAGTATGACACGGCCGGGGATCGAACCCCGGACCTTCCTCTCTCCGGGCGGACGCTCTACCACTAGATCACTTCCTCAAACCATGCTGTGTCCTTGCCTTACTTCTGCAATCTCATTAAAATCAGATCTTACTTCTCGCTATCGCCAAACAAAGATCGTTGTCTAGCGGCAGGGAGAACTTAGATCTTATTTTAATGAGATTGTTACTTCTGCAGCGGACTCCAACACTATCGGACGGGGACATGTCTGATTAGACAGTTTCATGGGTGAATGCACCCTCGGTTCATTAAATTATACCATGTACACTGCACACAAACTATGCAGAAAAAACACAACATTTTATAAATCTATCAGGACTTTATTCATCAAATACACTATCATACATGTATTAATGAACACATGATGAACAAGCAGTGCAGTTCTGGAGGAAGTCTGACATGATAGCTGGGCGTAGGGTGTAGGACCAAAACCTTTTGTCTGATTAGACAGATGTTGGATTACACAGAGTCTACTGTATTGATAATGTAAATTTCGGAACTTTATGGCAGATCACACTAAACAGGAATGAGTCTACAACTACAGTTAACATAGGATCAATCCAATAATTACATGCTTTTTTAGAGGAAACACTGTGTACATTTCTTAATGTGTATGTTTAAGGAATAAACGACTCCTGGTCAATGTTTATCGTGCATTAAAACACTGCAGGGAGAATAAACCACGAGGGGCGCATTTGGACCTTATTGCAGTGTTCCGGCTTCTGTTTTCAGCCTAGTACCGTTTTGTTAAATTTGTAATTTGGGGGCCAGATCCAGTTTAAAGTGTATACTTTCTTTTGTCCGACAGTTTTTGTACGATTGAAATCACTCCGTATACTCTTTGTCTACTTATTCATATTTTGTTGTCCACCATCCCAGCATGATTACCCTTTCAGCACACGGACAAAATGTGTTTCACATATGGCGCGTCTAGGCCAAGACTGCGAATCCCAATGAATATGCTCCCCCCAAAAGAAACAGAATCTTTTTTTGGTGCGGGTCGTTACACATGTGTATGCACATCTGAACATTTGACGAATGATGACATTTTGCAGGTGAAACGTGTCCAGTATAAGACAATTAACTGACAAGAGACAGACGTCACAACAGACGTCATAATGATCCAGTACAACACCTGCTGCCAATACCTACGCGGATCCGCTGGTGTGTGTGTGTGTGTGTATGTGTGTGTGGAAAAAGGGGGAGGGGGGTTACTCTTTTTTTAAGCGTATCAATTATGTCTTTTAAACGAAGGATGTGATACGACCGCAGCTACTTCACCGCGTACGACAGCGCCATCCTGAACCAAGAGCGCGGATAGAGTTCTTTTTGAAAGGGGTTAGAGGGTACACAGCTTTCAGGAAAAGGGAGGTGCTCTTAACATAGTATGTCACTAAATGAGTTCTATATAATCTGTACGTCACCGCTGGGATCTATGGATCGTTCTATAATAGAAAAGTATATCAATGTGCTCAAAAGCAGATCCAGCACATACATTTGAAAGGGAGGGATCCCAAATATCAAAATCCTCTCTGAGTCAATATCTTTTTTACTGCCTACAATATACTACTACATTTGGTTTTCAAGGGTGGGTAGGGGTGGTATGCTTGTTGTAAGAAGCGTTAAACAACAAACAAAGAAACAAAGCTAAAGTGTTCAATTAGTATACCAATGCATCACCAATGCGTTTCTTTGTTATTAAAGAAATATGGATAGGAAGGTCTAAACAAGAAACAGCTGGTACCTTTATGAGGTCAAACATAAATCAATTGAATACTGTCTTTCTATCAAAGGACACTATATGTAATTGACCCAGTGACAGCTGTCAGTGCATTGTGTTTGTCTGATATTAGATGCTACACGTGTATATGTTGTGCATCTCTTGTTTACAGTACGATGGAGTGTGTGTGTGCCACTTTTTCCAATAAAAAACACGCAGGCTTACAGCATATACATCATGATGTAGTCTTTGACTCTGATAAAACCTAGTAACATTTGTTAAATATTGTTATTTATATTTTAGCACCATTTATATGCGCGTCCAATGTTAGATGGCACGAATAAACGTTTCCATTCCAAACCTGCATTAACATACGGGGCTGCTTGTTCAATTTCAGTCACGTTGAAACCAGGCCATCTGCCTCGCTGCCTTCATTATGTCCGTAAAGTATACAACAGCCTCGTGGAAACCAGTCGAGTCTGTGACGTGGTGGGACTGACACTTTATCTCAAATGTCAGATATATTAGTCCAAATGTCAGCGGACATAGACCTAGTATGTTTATTGGTCGTGCTGAACAGTGTACACGCTATTATCTATAACCTTATTTTGTTATGTGTCTTATCTACTTGAAATCACAGGCACACACTGTCCAAATTGCACCCACGATAAGCTTATCAAAGCTGGCTCTCAATGTCATCAGCTGCTCCATCGTCGTCTGTCGTTGCCGTCATCTGCAAATGTGTTAACGGGATTCAATCAAGGTTTCAATATGGCCGCCACGGCAGCCATATTGGATAAAAAACAACTTCTTGCCACAAGTAGGTAACCGCGTCCTCGTATTTTCGCAAAACGCGGTCCAGCAACAGGTGCTTGTGTTTGTCGGACCAAAAACCAAAGCGTAGCAACAACCATACACACTTAAATGGTTACTCTGTTGAAGATAAAACACAGTTTCACAGTTTCAAGACATAAAATTCGGTATGTATTATTCATCCAAGCTCAATTTGTCTTTTTAACTGTCAATGGACTGTGTACATTGATACCACCTTGTCCTCTTAAAATTGACAGACCACATTATATAGACTCCATAACAGAAGGCGTTCTAAAACACTTGTGTTCTCGTACTTAAGATATTACTGAATGTAATGTTTGAATTTTATATTATAATGCCATTTGACACAACACATTCGTTTGCTGTTATTTGAGAGTTGCAACTAGCATTGATTAACAGGTTATCAAAAAATAAGTTTAAAGTTTTTTATGATTTTGTTTTAGAATGGAAATGGAGACCATTGGTCTAGATAAACTGGTGATGTAGATATTCAGGATAAACTGTTGATCTAGACATTCAGGATAAACTGTTGATCTAGGTATTCAGGCTAAACTAGTGATCTAGATATTCATGATAAACTGGTGATCTAGATATTCTGGATAAACTGTTGATCTAGATATTCTGGATAAACTGTTGATCTAGATATTCTGGATAAACTAGTGTTCTAGATATTCATGATAAACTAGTGATCTAGATATTCTGGATAAACTAGTGATCTAGATATTCATGATAAGCTGTTGATCTAGATATTCATGATAAACGGTTGATGTAGATATTCAGGATAAACTGGTGATTTGGATATTCTGGTTAAACTTGTGATGTAGATATTCTGGATAAACTGGTGATCTAGATATTCAGGATAAACTGGTGATCTAGATATTCAGGATAAACTGGTGATCTAGATATTAAGGATAAACTTGTGATGTGGATATTCTGGATAAACTGGTGATCTAGATATTCAGGATAAACTGTTGATCTAGATATTCAGGATAAACGTCTGATCTAGATATTCATGATAAGTGGTGGATCTAGATATTCAGAATAAACGGTTGATCTAGATATTCATGATAAACGGTTGATGTAGATATTCAGGATAAACTGGTGATGTAGCTATTCAGGATAAACTGGTGATCTAGATATTAAGGATAAACTTGTGATGTAGATATTCTGGATAAACTGTTGATCTAGATATTCTGGATAAACTAGTGTTCTAGATATTCATGATAAACTAGTGATCTAGATATTCTGGATAAACTAGTGATCTAGATATTCATGATAAGCTGTTGATCTAGATATTCATGATAAACGGTTGATGGAGATATTCAGGATAAACTGGTGATTTGGATATTCTGGTTAAACTTGTGATGTAGATATTCTGGATAAACTGGTGATCTAGATATTCAGGATAAACTGGTGATCTAGATATTCAGGATAAACTGGTGATCTAGATATTAAGGATAAACTTGTGATGTGGATATTCTGGATAAACTGGTGATCTAGATATTCAGGATAAACTGTTGATCTAGATATTCAGGATAAACGTCTGATCTAGATATTCATGATAAGTGGTGGATCTAGATATTCAGAATAAACGGTTGATCTAGATATTCATGATAAACGGTTGATGTAGATATTCAGGATAAACTGGTGATCTAGATATTAAGGATAAACTTGTGATGTAGATATTCAGGATAAACGTCTGATCTAGATATTCATGATAAGTGGTTGATCTAGATATTCAGAATAAACGGTTGATCTAGATATTCATGATAAACGGTTGATCTAGATATTCATGATAAATGGTTGATCTAGATATTCATGATAAGCGGTTGATCTAGATATTAAGGATAAACTGGTGATGTAGATATTCTGGATAAACTGGTGATGTAGATATTCAGGATAAACTGGTGATTTAGATATTCTTGAAACACTGTTGAAAGACTAGGTCATTATTTGTCAGGAATGAATACGTTAAAGACTCAATCCTGGACTTGTGACCTTCACTGTATAAATCTTTGTCCAGATTGAGTTGACAGGTCAGATCTCACTTGTGGCTTATCTTGGGGCTTTGGCCAGGTGCTCGGATCCCCAACACCATTACTGTAGGATGTTGTTGTTACACACTGTTGTTATTGTGCTTATTTTATTTAGTTGTTTATGATGTAAGTAAAACTTTACACTCATCAATTTGGCTGTGCCAATGGCTGTTGTTTCTCCACCTGTTGAACCATTCAACATCATCTTTATGCTTATTCAATGTAATAACACCAGATTTCATACGCATGTGAAGATATTAACTTCTATACCAAATTCAAACCCGTGAAGATATGTATGATTTACCACATTTCATACCCCTGTAAAGATATTGAGTTTATATCCTGCATTTCATACCGCTACATTGGTGTGATATATGACATTTCATATCATGACACTATTATCATGATAAGTGTGTGATTACAACCCCAGAAGGGATGTCCTGCAGATCATGATATATCTGCAACTATCCAACTCCCTGATAAACAAACATTTCCATTATTTACAAAGATAACTACAGACATATATCAATCATTCTTTATTATAAAAGCATAATCAAATCCTGTCCACATTCCTGAGCTGCAACAAACTCTGATACCTGCTACCTCATCTGCCATGTGACCTACAAGGGGCGAAACAATTCTTAAAGTGTTTTCTGGACCATGGGCTGGTTTAAATCTTTTTTGAATTAAATTTACTTTCATGATTTTCAATTCCTATTGATATGGACATTCTGAATGAAAGATTAATAAAATCCAGTTTCTACCTTCGTGTAGTTTAACAGAATATGCACTTCCTTGGACCATGGTTGAGTACAAGGCATGAAATAATTTGTCCCATGTGAATATCACATCCATAATTTTACCCCCTCATCTTATAATACAAAAGTTTGCGTTTTTACAGTGTACCTATCTAAAAGCTGTCAAAGCTGTAAGTGAACCTATTGTGATGTCATCTGAAGTTAACAACCACTTGTAACCAATAGCTGTATCAATAATGACTTAAAAATACTAAAATATGTACAATGTTAAATCAAAAGCCTTTGTCATGAATCGCTTAGCTTAAACCTTTTCCTAATTGGCATCTCCTGCACTGTACCATCAGACAATGGCACATTGTCAACCTTTCCGTGCTCTTCCGGAAATGTCTGGCCCGGCTTCAGCACTTGGCGTATGTTGACATTAATACGCGAAGTCTTAAGAAAAACATTTAAGGGTTTCCAGTTCATTCTATTCATCTCCTGCTTGATACAAGCATCCATGTCACTTGATGAACCTCTGTTGGGGTCTTGTGTATCAGCTGGAGAAGGAGTTACCTCCCTCTGGCTGTTCCAGTCCATGTAGGTTGGGTTTGTGGCAGCAAGTATCCGTGGAACAGCGTGATATGCCATCCTCGACTCCCCACCCATCACACAGATGTCACCGCTGCGCAGGTACATAGCAGATGGAGGCGTTGCCTTTGTCTTTCCTCCCAGGAGAAAAATAGCATCTTGACCGAAGCTATATGAAGTGTGAAAAGGATCTCATTTAGTTATATGAAATATGTGAAATGATAATGATAATAATCATAATGTACATCTGTATAGTACTATTTCCACAAAAAGAATGCCCAACGAACCTAGACTAAGTATCCCAGTTAACAAATTCATGTATATCTAACTAACATTCTCCGAACCCTGTATGTTGTGTTACTCAAGGTAGATCTAGGAAACATTACTTCTTTTGGAGTCCATGTGACTCCCAGCCTTTAACTGTTGGGGTTCCTGGTCAAAACATGTGGGTAGTAGCCTTTAATTGTTGGGCTTCCTGGTCAAAACATGTGGGTCGCAGCCTTTAATTGTTGGGGTTCCTGGTCAAAACATGTGGGTAGCAGCCTTTAATTGTTGGGGTTCCTGGTCAAAACATGTGGGTAGCAGCCTTTAATTGTTGGGGTTCCTGGTCAAAACATGTGGGTCGCAGCCTTTAATTGTTGGGGTTCCTGCTCAAAACATGTGGGTAGCAGCCTTTACTTGTTGGGGTTCCTGGTTAAAACATGTGGGTAGCAGCCTTTAATTGTTGGGGTTCCTGCTCAAAACATGTGGGTAGCAGCCTTTAATTGTTGGGCTTCCTGGTCAAAACATGTGGGTAGCAGCCTTTAATTGTTGGGGTTCCTGGTCAAAACATTTGGGTAGCAGCCTTTAATTGTTGGGGTTCCTGGTCAAAACATGTGGGTAGCAGCCTTTAATTGTTGGGGTTCCTGGTCAAAACATGTGGGTAGCACCCATTAATTGTTGGGGTTCCTGGTCAAAACATGTGGGTAGCAGCCTTTAATTGTTGGGGTTCCTGGTCAAAACATGTGGGTAGCAGCCTTTAATTGTTGGGCTTCCTGGTCAAAACATGTGGGTAGCAGCCTTTAATTGTTGGGGTTCCTGGTCAAAACATGTGGGTCGCAGCCTTTAATTGTTGGGGTTCCTGGTCAAAACATGTGGGTAGCAGCCTTTAATTGTTGGGGTTCCTGGTCAAAACATGTGGGTAGCAGCCTTTAATTGTTGGGGTTCCTGGTCAAAACATGTGGGTAGCAGCCTTTAATTGTTGGGGTTCCTGGTCAAAACATGTGGGTAGCAGCCTTTAATTGTTGGGGTTCCTGGTCAAAACATGTGGGTAGCAGCCTTAAATTGTTGGGCTTCCTGGTAAAAACATGTGGGTAGCAGCCTTTAATTGTTGGGCTTCCTGGTAAAAACATGTGGGTAGAAGCCTTTAATTGTTGGGCTTCCTGGTAAAAACATGTGGGTAGAAGCCTTTAATTGTTGGGCTTCCTGGTCAAAACATGTGGGTAGCAGCCTTTAATTGTTGGGGTTCCTGGTCAAAACATGTGGGTAGCAGCCTTTACTTGTTGGGGTTCCTGGTCAAAACACGTGGGTAGCAGCCTTTAATTGTTGGGGTTCCTGGTCAAAACATGTGGGTAGCAGCCTTTAATTGTTGGGCTTCCTGGTCAAAACACGTGGGTAGCAGCCTTTAATTGTTGGGGTTCCTGGTCAAAACATGTGGGTAGCAGCGTTTAATTGTTGGGGTTCCTGGTCAAAACATGTGGGTAGCAGCCTTTAATTGTTGGGGTTCCTGGTCAAAACATGTGGGTAGCAGCCTTTAATTGTTGGGGTTCCTGCTCAAAACATGTGGGTAGCAGCCTTTAATTGTTGGGGTTCCTGGTCAAAACATGTGGGTTGCAGCCTTTAATTGTTGGTGTTCCTGGTCAAAACATGTGGGTAGCAGCCTTCAATTGTTGGGGTTCCTGGTCAAAACATGTGGGTAGCAGCCTTTAATTGTTGGGGTTCCTGGTCAAAACATGTGGGTAGCACCCATTAATTGTTGGGGTTCCTGGTCAAAACATGTGGGTAGCAGCCTTTAATTGTTGGGGTTTCTGCTCAAAACATGTGGGTAGCAGCCTTTAATTGTTGGGCTTCCTGGTTAAAACATGTGGGTAGCAGCCTTTAATTGTTGGGGTTCCTGCTCAAAACATGTGGGTAGCAGCCTTTAATTGTTGGGGCTCCTGGTCAAAACATGTGGGTAGCAGCCTTTAATTGTTAGGGTTCCTGGTCAAAACATGTGGGTAGCAGCCTTTAATTGTTGGGGTTCCTGGTCAAAACATGTGGGTAGCACCCATTAATTGTTGGGGTTCCTGGTCAAAACATGTGGGTAGCAGCCTTTAATTGTTGGGGTTCCTGGTCAAAACATGTGGGTAGCAGCCTTTAATTGTTGGGGTTCCTGCTCAAAACATGTGGGTAGCAGCCTTTAATTGTTGGGCTTGCTGGTAAAAACATGTGGGTAGTAGCCTTTAATTGTTGGGCTTCCTGGTAAAAACATGTGGGTAGTAGCCTTTAATTGTTGGGGTTCCTGGTAAAAACATGTGGGTAGCAGCCTTTAATTGTTGGGGTTCCTGGTCAAAACATGTGGGTAGCAGCCTTTAATTGTTGGGGTTCCTGGTCAAAACATGTGGGTAGCAGCCTTTAATTGTTGGGGTTCCTGGTTAAAACATGTGGGTAGCAGCCTTTAATTGTTGGGGTTCCTGCTCAAAACATGTGGGTAGCAGCCTTTAATTGTTGGGGATCTGCTCAAAACATGTGGGTAGCAGCCTTTAATTGTTGGGGTTCCTGCTCAAAACATGTGGGTAGCAGCCTTTAATTGTTGAGGTTCCTGGTCAAAACATGTGGGCAGCAGCCTTTAATTGTTGGGGTTCCTGGTCAAAACATGTGGGTAGCAGCCTTTAATTGTTGGGGTTCCTGCTCAAAACATGTGGGTAGCAGCCTTTAATTGTTGGGGTTCCTGGTCAAAACATGTGGGTAGCAGCCTTTAATTGTTAGGTTCCCTGGTCAAAACATGTGGGTCCCAAGCTACAAAATGATACTGGGAAATGTAAAATAGTGAATACAAGGATGATGATTCAAATAAAACAGCTTTATTCCTCTGTTAAATGCTAAAAGTTAGTTTACAAATATAACAAGATCTCGCAAGAGTGAGACTCCTTTCATGATGGCAGCGCCAAGCGAGTGATCACATTTGATGTCGCAAGGGTAATATGTACCTGGTAAGTGATGCTCTATGGGATAGTATATGTGACGTAAGGGAGGGGGCCATATTCCGATCTAACACCTCGTTATCCTCAGTGTTTGATGGAGTTGCACTTGAAGACACACTCAAAAACTGCCCCATTACTAGGAAAAGCATGTCGCCAGCACTCTTTCCCTCATCATGAGTTGTGACTGAGTCTGCTCCATGATCTGGTTGAGTGTACACCTATGGTGTAGGAAGTACATCTTATCAACACTGCAGAGTGTGGCATGAAACAATAAACAAGTAACTCCTGTATGGGGCAATGCAGACAGACAGACCTGACAGACAAGAGAGGAGCCTGTTGGTGGAACTCGGAATGGTCGGTGTGTCCAGCTAGGGTCGAGTCCATGTGGTAGTAGTTGACAATGGCCGCCTCCGGCCTGAAGTCGGTGTAGCCCAGGGCCTCTGTTATACAGCATGACAAGACACTCAGGTCGGCCGGGAACTCACTGTGCTTGTCAGCATAGTACTTCTGGAAGTATATTAAAGACACACTGAAGTAGAAGGAAGTGTTGGACACACAGATTGTTCTACTTATGATTATTAGATAGAGACAATTCAGTTAACATTTGGAGAAAATCCTAGTGATCACCCACATTGACACTGACATTTACATTTTGTCTATTCCTAGGTTAAATATCCATTTGTAGCGACTTTGTTTCGAAATATTAAAAAACAAAGAGAAAATTGTGACTGTGTGAATGATGTATAGATCTTACTAGGTTACTTCTGAGATGTCATCTTTGCATGAAACATGAAGTTGAAAGAATTAAAACCAAATAATTTTCATGAAAGTTGGACTGGCAAAAATTAGGGGGCACTGATCTTTTTTAGAGTTGCCAGTCCACTAGGACGGGCAGTTTCAAAAGCCAGCAGGAACACTGTCAGGATGTTCTACTTATGATTATTAGATAGAGACAAATCAGATAAAATTTGGAGAAAATCCTAGTGATCACCAGCTGCCTCGGCCCACATCAACACTGACATTGACTTCCAACGCTCCAGATAAGCATAACACACAGGCTAATGATCAGAAATCTCAGCAGCAGAATCCCCTAGATGTGGGGCAGATAAGTGAGAGAGGCTAGCTTTCCTTCAGCATAAATTAAATAATGATCATCCACAATCTCTTCCTACTGACTACCGCCTCTGTGGTCTAGTGGTAGAGCTGAAGGTCTGGGGTTTGATCCCGGGCCGTGTCATACCAAAAGACGTTAAAAGATGGTACTTGTTGTTACCCTGTCTAGCGCTCGGCATTAAGGGGCTAAAACAAGGACTGGTCGACTCAGAGTCAGTATACTGTGTCTGAGTGGGGTATTCATGTTAAACTGAAGTATCTAAGTGGGCTAGCACTATCAATTGGAATCAGTCCGGATTCACACGCACTCATGCACGCAGGCGAACGCGCGCGAGTGCATGCATGTCGCCATAAGTGCAATAATCTTGGACGCGACGTTAAATCATATTTCACCTCACCTCACCTTCCTACTGAATAAATGATTTGTTTGTTTGTTGTTTTATGCCACACCCAGAAATGTTCCAGCTATGTGACGGCGGTCTGTAAATAGGAGTCTGGACCAGACAATCCAGTGATTGACATCATGAGCATCCATCTAAGCAGTTAGATATTATGACATGCATCAACCAATTCAACGAAACTGACAACCAATCACCTCTTACAACAAGCACAGTCGCCTCTTACGACAAGCACAGTCGCCTTTACGGCAAGTATTGTAAGACCTATTGTAACCCGGACCACGTGTAACTGAACATATGAACTGTAAGTGTGTGGACATTCTATAGTTGCTACTAAGTACTCAATAACAGCAGTGTAGCCTACCTTGGCAGTCCAGTCATAGTGATAGCCCAGAGTCACCCATCTCAGTCTCATCAATAAATCATCCTTCTGCAACTCCTCCCTGCAACACACAGATCATATAGCTCATCCATCAGCCACCGAGACAAAGGCGTTGTTGCTGGTAATGAAGTATTGGTTACTGCATTATAATAACACTCTTCTGTACTCAAGTATCACATGATTTGAGTGAGTTGGGTTCAATACAGCTTTACACAATTCCCACATTTCATTCAAATGACACGCAATGTGTGAGGGAAAGTCCACGATGAAGCAGGTTGTAGGCTTTCATGTTTCTACTTTAGTAAAACCCTAGTGCATTGGTTTGGTGCTACTAGACCAAGGTTTGGGGTATTCTGAGCTTCAAACCCCAGTGTATTGGTTTGGTGCTACTAGACCAAGGTTTGGGGCATTCTGAGATTCAAACCCCAGTGCATTGGTTTGGTGCTACTAGACCAAGGTTTGGGGCATTCTGAGATTCAAACCCTAGTGCATTGTTTTGGTGCTACTAGACCCAGGTTTGGGGTATTCTGAGCTTCAAACCCCAGTGCATTGGTTTGGTGCTACTAGACTAAGGTTTGGGGTATTCTGAGCTTCAAACCCCAGTGTATTGGTTTGGTGCTACTAGACTAAGGTTTGGGGTATTCTGAGCTTCAAACTCCAGTGTATTGGTTTGGTGCTACTAGACCAAGGTTTGGGGTATTCTGAGCTTCAAACCCCAGTGCATTGGCTTGGTGCTACTAGACCAAGGTTTAGGGTATTCTGAGCTTCAAACCCCAGTGTATTGGTTTGGTGCTACTAGACCAAGGTTTAGGGTATTCTGAGCTTCAAACCCCAGTGCATTGTTTTGGTGCTACTAGACCAAGGTTTAGGGTATTCTGAGCTTCAAACCCCAGTGCATTGTTTTGGTGCTACTAGACTAAGGTTTGGGGTATTCTGAGCTTCAAACCCCAGTGTATTGGTTTGGTGCTACTAGGCCAAGGTTTGGGGCATTCTGAGATTCAAACCCTAGTGCATTGATATTCTACTAGACCAAGGTTTGGGGCATTCTGAGATTCAAACCCCAGTGCATTGGTATTCTACTAGACCAAGGTTTGGGGCATTCTGAGATTCAAACCTCAGTGCATTGGTATTCTACTAGACCAAGTACATCATTTCAAGCTTAGCTTAGCTTAGTTGACAAAAATAACTCCAGGGACAGTCACCAGGACTGATACAAAGAAATAGATTTTTGAAACAAAACAACATATCACAAACCTGTCTTGCTTGGCAAAATCATCAAATATTTGGGCAGTTAGACTTCTTTCCAGATGAGGGTCGAGGTTGGTGATATTAGGAGGCAGGTGGTAGTCCTGTAAACACCGCTTGATCCAGTAGCGTTGAAACCCAGCTTCAAATGGGTTTCGAATTACCACAAAACCTGTAACATATACACAAATATATAAAAAATCAGTAGCTGAACAGGCTATCAGAAACACAGAACCTTTAACCAAACTGTACAAATGAATTATACTGCCTAGAAAATCAAGTCATGCTAAATTTGGATTCTACAAATATTGCTGAAACATGAGAAATGATTTATGACCCAATAAACATTATGAAATATAAATGAAGTTGACATACGATAAAGACAAACATACATTATAACGGATACCATTAGTAAGCAACAGGTAGTACAGAGTGAGTGAGTGAGTGAGTGAGTGAGTGAGTGAGTGAGTGAGTGAGTGAGTTGCTTTTAAGTTGCTTTGAACAGTATTCCAGTTATATGATGGCGTTCAACGTGATATACCGTAAGCTATATTGAATCCTACCCGGGTGCTTGTTGAGTGTGAAGGCTTGCCAGTTTGTCACTGGTTTCAGTCCAAGGGGAAGAGCGGTGGCTGGGCTGTCTAGTGCAACTTCAGAAACCTGCATTAAAGTTGATATCAAATTATAAAAATAACATCCACTGGTTTGTATTCAAGTTAAGAATATAAGAATATAACCTTCCTTTTACTGCAATATATCACAAACCCACATTTAATCTTACCATTCTGATGACAAAATAAGTAAGTCGCTGATATGGACCACTGATTAAATAGTGAGTCAAAAAACACTTCACTGTGTTTCCACAGAGGCATAATGGGAAATGTATTATTAAAGGCCTTGCCCATTTTAATTAATAGTGGGGAATTGAACTAAGATGTGTGACGAGGTGTCTAGTATTCCCCAATAGGATACCTGAGTCACATTTATTGGAGTACAATGAGGTGTAAATATCAGTGTAAATCTTAAATCTTCACAGTAAATCCCTGGTACATCTATACATGCTTGATCAAAAGGATGGGATTTAACCAATTCTTCAGTGTCTTGCCCCTGAATATAAAGCTGTTTAAAATGCGACATCATTTCTATGTCTCACCTCAACATCACTTAGATTTGATGAGTTTGAGCTGTTTCGATTTGATAACTTGTTGAAGTCAATCACACTGGAATACTGTGGAGGAGGATTCCTTGCCTTGAAATACTTGAAGCAGCGTCGGAAGTGATCTGTTTCCTCCGTCATCACTGGACAAACAATCATTGGTATCAAACTGATATCAGGACTCTTTTTGTTAAGGGACAGGATAGTAACTCTTTTTGTAATCTAACCTTTACAAATTATGTACTTTTTACTCAAAACAGGTATGAATAAATGAACTATCACTGTTCAGATTTTGGCTCCTACCAACACAACCATTGTAATGACAACTACCAACACACCATTAATGCAGCATCTGTTGCTATTGTAGTGGAGACAATGTCAGCTAGGACTACACTAAGTCAAACACACAGTTTTACTACATGCAGTAGTTGTGTTGACACCACACTATAAGTCTTTATTTTCTTCCTTTCATGATGTTTTGACATCATCTTTTATGTGCACTTCAATCTGTATCCTTTATAACTTACAACTGTTGAGACACACCATCTGGGCAAAGCCTGTCTGATGTCCAACTGTTTGTATATCATTATGATAATCCCAGCATGCACTATCAACACTGAGTTCACTTTTATATCACATTTATAACATTTTCTGATACCTTCTTGTCCCCACACCAGTATACAGGCTGTTTCGATAGATTGTTTAACATCACACTCGGCAATATTCCAGCTATATGACAGGGGTCTGTAAATACATAGTCTTTACCAAACAATCCAGTGATCGCCATCATGAGCATCGATCTTCGCAATTGGGATACAATCACATGCATCAAGCAAGTCAGCGAGCCTGACCAGACTACCCAATCCCGTTAGTCACCTCTTACGATAAGCATGGGTTGCTGAAGACCAATTCTACCCCGGATCTTCATGGGTGATCTGTCTGGAGACCTGTGTGGCGATCTGTTAATAATTCTCCCACTGCAAGTGAAACTCAGGTTTTCTGTGTGCATCCTCGTGACAATGGAGCAAATTGATGCACAGTGTAAAGATGAAAAGGGAAAGATTTCGCCCGTAACCCCTGCCTATATATTGCCTGAGTTTGGGAAACCTAAATCGAACCGTTAAATAATTGTTTAATACTTCTAGCCAGGTGTTATTAATTTTTACAAAATCCTTGCATGGGTAAAGGCGGACGTTTTTACAGAGTCTGAGCATTGATGGTGGGTTTGAGAACTTTGATCTCAGTTATCTGGTGATATTCTGTAACACGAGGATTTTGTAGCTAACTCCGAAGTCAGACAAAAGCAAGGATTTGTCCAGCTATGTCGCCAACAGCAGCAGTATCATATCACCAGGGTGATCCCGCTCACTGTGTCACGTGGTGAAGAGGAGACACAACACTAGTCAAATACATACCTTATACCAGCAGCATGGGTAAGCTAAGATTCTCTTGTACAAAGATATCTACAGCGTTCCCGGCTGTCGTCTTGATAAATTCGTCTGCAACAACATCCGGTATCTGCTTATACAAAAGTGAATATCCTTGACGAAATCCGCTTGTTCTCTTTGGAGAATGTGTTTCATACAGAGAAGTGCATACAAGAAAAATAAAAATAAAAATTGTGTTAGAGCATCTTGAATCATATACACATCATATTTGTACTACAGACATATTTTAGTCACAGTTTATTGGGATATTATTCATCTTGTCATACCGTTCCTCCTTTTTAATCAATTCAAGGGAGTTAAGCAGGGACGACTTCCTTACTAGATTTCCTCATGTGGTCGAATCAGTGTAAACAAACAATGATAGAGTCATGATAGGATCAATGATAGTGTGTAACATGTTTTCGGTCACGTACTCACGACGATAACAGGTTTTTGATGATAAACTTGTTTTATTGTCATTGCGGGTGTCAATCAGGCGCTTGTGTCAACGATGACTAGTTCCACCCGGAACAAATATTGCCAGTGTATATCGTGGGAATAGTTTTCCCGTAAAAACTGTTCCATGGGGAAAAATTCCATTAGAAAAACAGAGAAAAATAGCTCAAAGTAAAACAAATCACTACAGTAGCAGAAACTCTTTGACAGTTCCAGGGTTATTACATTTGTCTTGACCAGTCCCATGGGAGCCATGAAGCATGGTTTGTGTGTACCATTCTTAGATGTAGGGTTCAAACGCGAATAGATCTTTTATCACTTTGTTACATAAAAATAAAGCATAGAGACAGTTTGGTCGCCACTAATAGCAGCATTTGAGTTTAATAATCCCTAAGTGACACATGTCATGGACGTTATGGAGGGGCCACAGATCCTACTCTGGGATTCGAACCAACAATTAGTGGACCCGGGCCTGCTTGGCTAAGGGATGCAACTCTGTACTCTGTTTCTTTGTTGTTTGACGCTGGACGATTTTAGCTTTTTGACGATCATGTACATTGTATTTTGTACCAAGAAGCTGGGACTGGGATGAGATTGTTGATAATAATCTACTGCACTCAATCTGACACAACCTAATCCATTCGCTTTCCACCGCATACCCGTGAACTTCGGAGGTGGAATGGGTCTTCAGCAACCCATGCTTGCCGTAAAAGGCGACTATGCCTGTTGTAAGGAGCGACTAACGGTAACGGGTGGTCAGTCTCGTTGTAAGTCAGCATGAGCTGCAGTTATCATCCTCTGGTTCATGGTATCTTGCTCATTTGCTCTATTTTCTAAGAAGATTTGCAAAGTATGTATTTCTTGCTCTCAAGAAAAGGAACACTTTCCTTAAAGATGTGCAGTTTTGTAGTAATAATCCATTGTAGCATTGTGAGACTGATTGTTGCCAGTGTGTGTAACATGTTTTGGGACCCGATCCACAGGGCGTTCATAGGCTATGATCGGCCTTAGTAACAACCTCTTGTGCATCCGAGGAATTTTGACCACTAGTCTCACGAACGTTTGTGGCTTGCGGGCGCTTCATGGATCTGTCCCCGGATGTTACAGTGAGCGCTCTGTACAGGTGAAATGATAAAACCAATGTACCTTGTATAATGGGAGGCTGTCCCCGGATGTTACAGTGAGCGCTCTGTACAGGTGAAATGATAAAACCAATGTACCTTGTATAATGGGAGGCTGTCCCCGGATGTTACAGTGAGCGCTCTGTACAGGTGAAATGATAAAACCAATGTACCTTGTATAATGGGAGGCTGTCCCCGGATGTTACAGTGAGCGCTCTGTACAGGTGAAATGATAAAACCAATGTACCTTGTATAATGGGAGACTGTCCCCGGATGTTACAGTGAGCGCTCTGTACAGGTGAAATGATAAAACCAATGTACCTTGTATAATGGGAGACTGTCCCCGGATGTTACAGTGAGCGCTCTGTACAGGTGAAATGATAAAACCAATGTACCTTGTATAATGGGAGGCTGTCCCCGGATGTTACAGTGAGCGCTCTGTACAGGTGAAATGATAAAACCAATGTACCTTGTATAATGGGAGGCTGTCCCCGGATGTTACAGTGAGCGCTCTGTACAGGTGAAATGATAAAACCAATGTACCTTGTATAATAGGAGGCTGTCCCCGGATGTTACAGTGAGCGCTCTGTACAGGTGAAATGATAAAACCAATGTACCTTGTATAATGGGAGGCTGTCCCCGGATGTTACAGTGAGCGCTCTGTACAGGTGAAATGATAAAACCAATGTACCTTGTATAATGGGAGGCTGTCCCCGGACGTTACAGTGAGCGCTCTGTACAGGTGAAATGATAAAACCAATGTACCTTGTATAATGGGAGGCTGTCCCCGGATGTTACAGTGAGAGCTCTGTACAGGTGAAATGATAAAACCAATGTACCTTGTATAATGGGAGGCTGTCCCCGGATGTTACAGTGAGCGCTCTGTACAGGTGAAATGATAAAACCAATGTACCTTGTATAATGGGAGGCTGTCCCCGGATGTTACAGTGAGCGCTCTGTACAGGTGAAATGATAAAACCAATGTACCTTGTATAATGGGAGGAAGGCCCCGGATGTTACAGTGAGAGCTCTGTACAGGTGAAATGATAAAACCAATGTACCTTGTATAAGGGGAGGCTGTCCCCGGATGTTACAGTGAGCGCTCTGTACAGGTGAAATGATAAAACCAATGTACCTTGTATAATGGGAGGCTGTCCCCGGATGTTACAGTGAGAGCTCTGTACAGGTGAAATGATAAAACCAATGTACCTTGTATAATGGGAGGCTGTCCCCGGATGTTACAGTGAGCGCTCTGTACAGGTGAAATGATAAAACCAATGTACCTTGTATAATGGGAGGCTGTCCCCGGATGTTACAGTGAGAGCTCTGTACAGGTGAAATGATAAAACCAATGTACCTTGTATAATGGGAGGCTGTCCCCGGATGTTACAGTGAGAGCTCTGTACAGGTGAAATGATAAAACCAATGTACCTTGTATAATGGGAGGCTGTCCCCGGATGTTACAGTGAGCGCTCTGTACAGGTGAAATGATAAAACCAATGTACCTTGTATAATGGGAGGCTGTCCCCGGATGTTACAGTGAGCGCTCTGTACAGGTGAAATGATAAAACCAATGTACCTTGTATAATGGGAGACTGTCCCCGGATGTTACAGTGAGCGCTCTGTACAGGTGAAATGATAAAACCAATGTACCTTGTATAATGGGAGACTGTCCCCGGATGTTACAGTGAGCGCTCTGTACAGGTGAAATGATAAAACCAATGTACCTTGTATAATGGGAGGCTGTCCCCGGATGTTACAGTGAGCGCTCTGTACAGGTGAAATGATAAAACCAATGTACCTTGTATAATGGGAGGCTGTCCCCGGATGTTACAGTGAGCGCTCTGTACAGGTGAAATGATAAAACCAATGTACCTTGTATAATAGGAGGCTGTCCCCGGATGTTACAGTGAGCGCTCTGTACAGGTGAAATGATAAAACCAATGTACCTTGTATAATGGGAGGCTGTCCCCGGATGTTACAGTGAGAGCTCTGTACAGGTGAAATGATAAAACCAATGTACCTTGTATAATGGGAGGCTGTCCCCGGATGTTACAGTGAGCGCTCTGTACAGGTGAAATGATAAAACCAATGTACCTTGTATAATGGGAGGCTGTCCCCGGACGTTACAGTGAGCGCTCTGTACAGGTGAAATGATAAAACCAATGTACCTTGTATAATGGGAGGCTGTCCCCGGATGTTACAGTGAGCGCTCTGTACAGGTGAAATGATAAAACCAATGTACCTTGTATAATGGGAGGCTGTCCCCGGATGTTACAGTGAGAGCTCTGTACAGGTGAAATGATAAAACCAATGTACCTTGTATAATGGGAGGAAGGCCCCGGATGTTACAGTGAGAGCTCTGTACAGGTGAAATGATAAAACCAATGTACCTTGTATAATGGGAGGAAGGCCCCGGATGTTACAGTGAGCGCTCTGTACAGGTGAAATGATAAAACCAATGTACCTTGTATAATGGGAGGCTGTCCCCGGATGTTACAGTGAGCGCTCTGTACAGGTGAAATGATAAAACCAATGTACCTTGTATAATGGGAGGCTGTCCCCGGATGTTACAGTGAGAGCTCTGTACAGGTGAAATGATAAAACCAATGTACCTTGTATAATGGGAGGCTGTCCCCGGATGTTACAGTGAGCGCTCTGTACAGGTGAAATGATAAAACCAATGTACCTTGTATAATGGGAGGCTGTCCCCGGACGTTACAGTGAGCGCTCTGTACAGGTGAAATGATAAAACCAATGTACCTTGTATAATGGGAGGCTGTCCCCGGATGTTACAGTGAGCGCTCTGTACAGGTGAAATGATAAAACCAATGTACCTTGTATAATGGGAGGCTGTCCCCGGATGTTACAGTGAGAGCTCTGTACAGGTGAAATGATAAAACCAATGTACCTTGTATAATGGGAGGCTGTCCCCGGATGTTACATTGAGAGCTCTGTACAGGTGAAATGATAAAACCAATGTACCTTGTATAATGGGAGGCTGTCCCCGGATGTTACAGTGTGCGCTCTGTACAGGTGAAATGATAAAACCAATGTACCTTGTATAATGGGAGGCTGTCCCCGGATGTTACAGTGAGAGCTCTGTACAGGTGAAATGATAAAACCAATGTACCTTGTATAATGGGAGGCTGTCCCCGAATGTTACAGTGAGAGCTCTGTACAGGTGAAATGATAAAACCAATGTACCTTGTATAATGGGAGGAAGGCCCCGGATGTTACAGTGAGCGCTCTGTACAGGTGAAATGATAAAACCAATGTACCTTGTATAATGGGAGGATGGCCCCTTTACGGAATAAACGTCATTCACTAGTGGTCATACACCGTCAACACACAATCTAAAGAGCCTGCCTTACATGTCATCGTTACCTACTTTACAGAAACAAAGTATGATGATCATTCTAAACAAACAAACATGTGTGACTATCAGTGTAAACAACAGTTGTTGGTAATTATCACAAGCACGTGAACTCATCACAGAAATGACGTCACTCGTAAACGTGGACCGCCTGATTGGTAGTCTGCAGACAAATTAAACAATGGGTTTCCGTCCAATATCTATATAAGATGATCTTTCTCGTAGGAATCGCGTGGTAATAAATGCAGCTTGCCTCAGTTAAACGAAGGTGAGTGGCACTCTTTGATGTCTTGATGCCAGTGATGGTGGTGGTGGTGATAGATTTGGTGGTGTGGGGACGATGACGTTTAGCCCAACTCACTACAGGTCGACGCGATATACAGCTGTCATATTGTTGGCTACATGCGATACAGCTGTCATATTGTTGGCTACAGGTGATACAGCTGTCATATTGTTGGCTACAGGTGATACAGCTGTCTTATTGTTGGCTACAGGTGATACAACTATTACATTGTTGGCTACAGGTGGCTTCATACAGCTGTTATATTGTTGGCTACAGGTGATACAACTATTATATTGTTGACTACAGGTGACGTCATACAGCTGTCTTATTGTTGGCTACAGGTGGAAGTGATACAACTCTTATATTGTTGGCTACAGGTGGCGTCATACAGCTGTCATATTGTTGGCTACAGGTAGAAGTGATACAACTATTATATTGTTGGCTACAGGTGTCTTCATACAGCTGTCATATTGTTGGCTACAGGTGGCTTCGTACAGCTGTTATATTGTTGGCTACAGGTGGCGTCAAACAGCCGTCATATTGTTGGCGACAGGTGGCTTCATACAGCTGTCATATTGTTGGCTACAGGTGGCTTCATACAGCTGTCATATTGATGGCTACAGATGGCGTCATACAGCTGTCTTATTGTTGGCTACAGGTGAAAGTGATACAACTATTATATTGTTGGCTACAGGTGACGTCATACAGCTGTTATATTGTTGGCTACAGGTGGCTTCATACAGCTGTCTTATTGTTGGCTACAGGTGGAAGTGATACAGCTGTTTTTTTGTTGGCTACAGGTGACGTCATACAGCTGTTATACTGTTGGCTACAGGTGAAAGTGATACAACTATTATATTGTTGGCTACAGGTGGAAGTGATACAACTATTATATTGTTGGCTACAGGTGACGTCATATAGCTGTTATATTGTTGGCTACAGGTGGCTTCATACAGCTGTCTTATTGTTGGCTACAGGTGGAAGTGATACAGCTGTTATTTTGTTGACTACAGGTGGCGTCAAACAGCCGTCATATTGTTGACTACAGGTGACGTCATACAGCTGTCATATTGTCGACTACAGGTGGCGTCATACAGCTGTTATATTGTTGGCTACAGGTGATACAGCTGTCATATTGTCGACTACATGAGACGTCATACAGCTGTTATATTGTTGGCTACAGGTGGAAGTGATACAACTATTATTCTGTTGACTACAGGTGACGTTATACAGCTGTCATATTGTTGGCTACAGGTGACGTCATACAGCTGTCATTTTGTTGGCTACAGGTGGCGTCATACAGCTGTCATATTGTTGGCTTCAGGTGGAAGTGATACAACTATTATTCTGTTGACTACAGGTGACGTCATAAAGCTGACATTTTGTTGGCTACAGGTGGCGTCACACAGCTGTTATATTGTTGACTACAGGTGATACAGCTGTTATTTTGTTGACTACAGGTGGCGTCATACAGCTGTCATATTGTTGGCTACAGGTGGAAGTGATACAACTATTATTCTGTTGACTACAGGTGACGTCATACAGCTGTCATATTGTTGACTACAGATGGCGTCATACAGCTGTTATATTGTTGGCTACAGGTGATACAAATATTAAATTGTTTAATATTACTAAGAAAGTGTTATCCCAAACATAACATTTGTTACATTGACCACTTTCTAAATGGCATTGTGAATTCATATTACATTGTTGACTACAGGTGACGTCATACAGCTGTTATATTGTTGGTTCCATTTGATACAGCTGTTATATTGTTGACTACAGATGACGAGGTATGGGGTTCATGCGTTTGATTATGCACTGCAACTCCTGTTGATATATCCAGACTACAAACATGGTAATGTGATTGTGTTATAGTGTATATAAAAATGATGCCCAAAGTAGACACACCTTTGGCCCTTTTTATCATTATCAACATATACTACAGACACAATACAAACATGTACACACAGAACATCAGTACTGTGGTGGAACAGCCAAGCGAGGTGGATCACCCGGATACAAACATGCACACACAGAACATCAGTATTGAGGTGGAACAGCCAAGCGAGGTGGATCACCCGGATATAAACATACACACACAGAACATCAGTACTGAGGTGGAACAGCCAAGCGAGGTGGATCACCCGGATACAAACATGCACACACAGAACACCAGTACTGAGGTGGAACAGCCAAGCGAGGTGGATCACCCGGATACAAACATGCACACACAGAACACCAGTACTGAGGTGGAACAGTCAAGAGAGGTGGATCACTCGGATACAAACATGCACACACAGAACATCAGTACTGAGGTGGAACAGCCAAGTGAGGTGGATCACTCGGATACAAACATGCACACACAGAACACCAGTACTGAGGTGGAACAGTCAAGAGAGGTGGATCACTCGGATACAAACATGCACACACAGAACATCAGTACTGAGGTGGAACAGTCAAGTGAGGTGGATCACTCGGATACAAACATGCACACACAGAACATCAGTATTGAGGTGGAACAGTCAAGAGAGGTGGATCACTCGGATACAAACATGCACACACAGAACACCAGTACTGAGGTGGAACAGCCAAGCGAGGTGGATCACCCGGATATAAACATGCACACACAGAACATCAGTACTGAGGTGGAACAGCCAAGCAAAGTGGATCACTCGGATACAAACATGCACACACAGAACAGCAGTACTGAGGTGGAACAGCCAAGCGAGGTGGATCACCCGGATACAAACATGCACACACAGAACATCAGTACTGAGGTGGAACAGCCAAGCGAAGTGGATCACTCGGATACAAACATGCACACACAGAACACCAGTACTGAGGTGGAACAGCCAAGCGAGGTGGATCACCCGGATACAAACATGCACACACAGAACACCAGTACTGAGGTGGAACAGTCAAGAGAGGTGGATCACTCGGATACAAACATGCACACACAGAACACCAGTACTGAGGTGGAACAGCCAAGCGAGGTGGATCACCCGGATACAAACACATTAATGTGCCATTAAAAAAGACTTGCTCAACTATGTTTGGCCTCATATCAACACAGCTGTGTACCCAGACTCGTCCACTGGTTACTCGACCCTGGAACCTTCTCACCATACTGAGACAAGGTGTGGAGGATTTTATTACTATTCATGTGATTTCGATAGAAGGTGGTCGCGGTGTTACATTTTAAGGCCGACGTGGGGCAACCAGTTTGATAGGATAATTTATGAGCGGTTATCTCTCATGAAAAAATAACATTCGTGGAGACTGTCAAATATTAATTTGCAAACAGATTTGACCAAGTCTATAAACATGCACCAGTCCGACTGGGGGGTGTATGTAACACTTGTTACAACAGTGGCAGCACGTGACACAGCAGCCCTAGCAAGATAACTTCGTGTGGTTTCCTAACATCGTCACAACACTGGACCCACCTAGGTCATGATTGTGTTGGCCCTCGGGACCACCGGCTCAAGGTCGCTCCTTCCCTGAACAATGTCCCGTCTGTGTGTGGACACAATGGGTAGATGGTCCACAACTTCAGTCGTCTGCTGTCTGGAGTTAAGCCTATGTACCCTACTGTTTCCTAAAGGCGGCAGGCGAAATGTGCTCCGCCTTCTCGTGAGATAGGCTGGTGTGGAGGTTCGATCTTTTTCTCGGAGTTTCTCAAAACTTGACCTCAAAAACGTGTGGTGATCTTCCATTAGTGTGTGGAACTTGTCCAGTGATTGATTATAGTCAACAAGACGTCCTGTCGCCTTCCCCTCCACCTTCATCTGCTCCACCTTCCTCAACCGTCGTTCACGGGGATGCATTCGATCGATGATTGACTGAATCTCAGGTCTGAAGGAGGTCAGGTCCTCACCCTCGTACATGCCGAACAGCAGCGTTTGATGGTTCGTGAGGGACGCTGCCTCGCGCTTCCTCCTCAAGCACTTCTGAAGACCTCTCTTCTCCATCAAGGACCTCTTGACGGGCAGGCTCCGTTGCCAGCCCAGGAAGTCCTCCGTCTGCTTATGTCGATCGATGCTCTTGGCGAAGATGTCACTCCTCATCTTTATCTTCTCGTTGTGGACGATGATGTTCTTCCTAGCGCGGGACACCTTGCGGTGGATGTGACACAGACGCTGGTCCCCCAGGGTGGGTATCTGGCTCAGGTTCTCCATCTTGTGGGGGTTCTTGTCCTGCAGTTGCTGTTTCAGAACCTGTACCCTGAAAGTAGTGAATGCGTTGGGTATAGTTCTCAGAGGGACATGAATAGGCTCAGAGAACTCAAGTTGGGAAACGAACCCGGATTGATGAATTGGTCTACTGATTGATTGATTGATGATTGGTTGTTTCACGCACTCCAATAGTCCAACCATATGACGGCCTTCCATAAATAATAGAATTAGGACCAGACAGTAAAGTGATTGACATCATGAGCATCGACCTACGCAATTGGGATATGATAACTGCATCAACCAAGTAAGTGAGTTGCCTCTTACGACAAGCATGGGTTGCTGAAGACTGGCGCTGGGTCTATAGGCCACACATAGTTCTACTGGCGCTCGTTCTATAGGCTACAGATCGTTCTGCTTGTCGTAAGAGGCGACTAACGGGATCGGGTGGTCAGGCTCGCTGACTTGGTTGATACATGTTATCGGTCCCAATTGCGTGGATCGATGATTATGATATTAATCACTGGATTGTCTGGTCCAGACTCGATTATTTACAGACTGCCGTCATATAGCTGGAATATTGCTGAGTGAGGCAAACTGACGCTCGGTCAAAAGCCACACAACGTTCTACTGACGCTGGGTCTACAGGTCACACAACGTTCTACTGACGCTGGGTCTATAGGTCACACATCGTTCTACTGAGGCTGGGTCTATAGGCTACAGATCGTTCTACTGACGCTCGGTCTACAGGTCACACATCGTTCTACTGACACTGGGTCTATAGGTCACACATCGTTCTACTGACACTGGGTCTACAGGTCACACATCGTTCTACTGACGCTGGGTCTACAGGCTACAGATCGTTCTACTGACACTCGGTCTATAGGCCACACATCGTTCTACTGACGCTGAGTCTACAGGTCACACATCGTTCTACTGACGCTGAGTCTACAGGTCACACATCGTTCTACTGACGCTCGGTCTATAGGCCACACATCGTTCTACTGACGCTGAGTCTACAGGTCACACATCGTTCTACTGACACTCGGTCTATAGGTCACACATCGTTCTACTGACACTCGGTCTATAGGTCACACATCGTTCTACTGACATTCGGTCTACAGGTCACACATCGTTCTACTGACACTCGGTCAAAAGCCACACAACGTTGTACTGACGCTGAGTCTACAGGTCACACATCGTTCTCCTGACGCTGGGTCTAGAGGCCAGACATCGTTCTACTGACGCTGGGTCTAGAGGCCACACATCGTTCTACTGACGCTGGGTCTGTTGGCCACACATCGTTCTACTGACGCTCGGTCTATAGGCCAGACATCGTTCTACTGGCGCTCTGCCTATAGACCACACAGTGTTCTACTGATGCCTGGCCACACAGCGTTTAACTAACAATGGTATATTTCGACCTATATACTATTTTGTTACACGACCTAACCATATATATATATCAAACGTATGTTTCACTACCCTGTATCTCGAACTATTCAGGGCTGTGGGATCGTTTGAGGGCAATACTGTGGAAGTAAATCAAAATGTATTATTTGAACTTACTGTGAAGGGACCTCCATTTTGTAAAATACCACGAGACCAGCAGTGTGGCAACTATCCGCTACAGGAACTACGTGCTCACCAACACACTGACGACATCGGCCTCCACAACTGCACACGATCAGGTGCTTCAACAACAGGCGTTGGAACGTATTAACTCACGAATTAAGTGATCTATACAAAGTTCGTAATCTTAGATCTAATTACCACAATTGTGTTATTCAGACGGCGCATAGCTGTCCTCGCAAATCATTGCTTCAGCAAATCACTGCGGGACATCTACCTGTTACCATATTTATTGGCAAGGGAGTTGCTGTGGAATACAGTAACAGGCCGATCCGACAGGGGCACACCATTGCTTTATTGAAAACTTTAGTTGAGGATCCCTGTTTACCAGTCTTCTGACTTGAAGTTACAGTGTTTAAACACGGAAAAAAGATTAGCAGTTTTAAAGTAAGACCGTGTACATTGCCTAGTAGACTGAGTGTTGATTTAAAAAAATGTTTACATTTTAAATGCGTACCATGGTCTAGGTCGCCCTAATTCGCTGTGCAAAGTTTTCATGTTTGAATCCGCAGGTCCTGGGTTAGAATACCAAATTCGCTTCTAATGATGCTTGGTTTGGCAGAAACATACCGGAGATATGGTCACATCTTGACTTCCTTCCAACATGAGCATAAAAGCAGCTATAAAACTACATGCATACTCGCCTTGCTGGGAGACATCACTAATTATCTCCCCTTGAACGCCTGTCACAATGTCATGGTGAAACAAAAAATCAGATTGTTATTTTCATATTATTCAGTTCTCATCAACCGACTTATAACGACTCCATAACTGATCTTTTACCCTTTGCTGTTAATATTTAAGCCGGAATAATACCCTGAGGCGCTTGTAACGGCTCACTACGGTACTGGAGACACGGAGCGTGACGCGACTACTGATCTGGGAGTGTAACATGGCGGCAGGTACGTGGTTGTCTGTTTCACCCGCCGGTAACTCAATACGCGGAACGCCTCAGAATGAATATGTCAGTTGTATTGTTGTCTTAACATCATTTATAACAGACTTGGTAAATGATACCAGTTGGGAATACCTATTGTCAAACTGTCCACGGGTCTTCCCAACGCCTGGATTCAACTTTGCGTCTTGACACTCAGTAACAGTACACGCGCGTATATGATTAAGGTTTAAAATTCACCACACAGCGATTTTAGGTTGAATATACAACACTCAACGACTACACAACGACTATAGATCCGTGAAGATCCGGGGTAGAATAAGTCTTCAGCAACCCATGCTGGCCGTATAAGACCACTAACGGGATCGGGTGGTCAGGCCCGCTGACTTGGTTGATGCATGCTATCGTATCCCAATTGCGTGGATCGATGCTCATGATGTCAATCACTGCATTGCCTGGTCCAGACTCTATTAATTACAGGCCGCCGTCATATAGCTGGATTATTGCTGAGTGCGGCGTTAAACAATAAACAAACAGACAAACGAACACAACGGCTACATTAATGCAATATGTGATCACTTGGATAAAATATGACATATTGATTTCATACGTGATCTATCGGTGCCACGCCTGTTTTATCTGATTCAGCACCTATGTAAAACGTTGTCTGGGGGATAGCCCATCTGCAGAGTTGTGTCCCTTAGCCTTGTAAGGATTCGTACAAATATGACTTTTGTCAGCACCATGCCTTATCAGAATCAGTTGTGCCCCTAGCATTTAGTCATCTGACAGCTGTCATTGGATGATATTGTGTACGATTTGTTTATGTTTTTTAAATGTATATCCACCCAGTAAAAAAATAAAACTAAGTATGCTTTTTCAATATTTTGTGCTGTCTTTTTCAATATTTAGTGCAGTCTTTTTCAATATTTTGTGCAGTCTTTTTCAATATTTTGTGCTGTCTTTTTCAATATTTTGTGCTGTCTTTTTCAATATTTAGTGCAGTCTTTTTCAATATTTTGTGCTGTCTTTTTCAATATTTAGTGCTGTCTTTTTCAATATGATGACTTCCGCTGAACCACATAGATTTTCAAGCAGGTGACATTCGGTGCGGAGCATGGGTGACGTGTTTAGCTTCCTGCACTGGGAGAAGGAACTGGCTCAGCTAGCCAAATTGTTTGTTTTTATTACTGCTTCAGACTGTGCACACATGTACAGGTAATGGCTGTTGAATGAATACAGTACACAACGTTTATAACGAACGCACTTATAACGAACTGACGGATATAACGAACTGGGTATTTTTTGGCCCGGTCATTTGCTTTGTAAATATGTTGAATATACGCTTATAACGAACTGCGATTATAGTGAACAAAAAATTAGTGGTCCATTTGAGTTCGTTAAAACCGTAGTTTACTGTAGTTATTTAATACAGTATATATATAACGTTACGATAGAACTAGATAGAACGATAGAAAATGCCGTAAAAGGTGACTATGCTTGTCGTAAAAGGCGACTAACGGGATCGGGTGGTCAGGCTCGCTGACTTGGTTGATGAATGTCATCGATCCCAATTGCGTGGATCGATGCTCATGATATTAATCATTGGATTTTCTGGTCCAGACTAGAATATTTACAGACGGCCGTCATATAGCTGGAATATTGCGGAGTGCGGCGTAAAACAACAAACCAACCAACTATGGAAAAACAACAACATTTGTTTTTGTGTAACCTACAACTGAAATTCTGTTCAAAGCGGCGCCAACCAAATTACTTATGACGTCGGCTGAGGTTTCAGGAAGTCGTTGTACACGAAGCTGCTCAGTAACAGTGTACCGTAGTGACGATGTGCAAGTGTTTGCGGCAGTCTGCATATGGATTAACACGTCAATGCATATATGTACAGCTGCACTCGTACAGACAAGGAAGTCACACTGGGAGGAAAATTCCACCAGGAAACAAATAACAAGCTTATTTTCAGCAGTTCCTTGATAATACGTGTTGGGCATATCGTGGTACGTGACGGTCTATTACATGTAAGACTTGACTTCAGTGTGTTCATTGGAGCATGAACCTTCATAGAGTGAGGGCCAAACTGTATGGACGTGGAGCTGGCATAATGCAATGAACTCCCACAAAGTGAAAGTCAATTGAAAGGTGATTAAAAAAAGATGTGTCAAATAGACCCTAAGGTAAATTGATAGATTGCTGTAGACTGCCACTGTCAGCCAGACACGGATCGAGTCTTTACAATTTCACAACACACTAAATTCGTTATTTACAGAACCAAGTTCTAGTCAGTGTGCAAGTCCTCATTTTGCCGTGGGTTACATTCAGCGTTCCTCGGACTGACTCAAACCCTTGCACCTGTAACGAATCTCGTGACGGAGAAGATAATGCTCCTTGCTCGTGGAGCCATAACGTGACATAACGACGCAGCGGTGTCAGTGAGTGACCTGGTCCACTGTCTCCAGTCAGGCCTTAGTGTGGTAATTCGGGGTCAGAATAGGTCCCAGGAATACAGATACCAGAAGGTAACGCTCGTCACACGATATACAAGTACCTGTCTATGAACCAATAAAATACTGTCTGTGGATGTTTTCGACAGTACATCGGTTGTGTTACGGCTTGATGTGACGTTTACACGTGTTTTGGCGTTGACAAGACCAAGGAGCATACGCCGTGAGTGAGTGAGTGAAGTTTCGTTAACGCTGCTTTCAACAGTACTGCAGTAAACAGTGGTGCTTAAAACAATGATGGCGAACAGGAATCGGCTTCAAACCACGATCAAAAGTCAAAGGGACGCAACTCTGCCCATACTAGTGTTGATGCGTCCTTGGCCGACATGCTGACACTAGACTATGTTCAATGACTGTGGTCAGCTCTATGCTCTTGAACGTTCCCAAGATTTCCATGCATATTTACATCACGTGACATACTTCTCACGCAGAGTACCGTGTGTGATAACGCACCTGTCGGAAACCTGGGACATCGCTTTATATGATGCATGCCTAGAATACTTCGACTCCATGTGTGCGGAAATGTCTGATATTTTATGCAAGGAGACCCTTACAGGCCGTAACAAAATGTTATAAAGTCTCCCCTATAAGTGAGGATACTTGGTAATATGTATCAGAAAGGACTCTTGAGGACTGGATTCAGACCGGTTCCGGACAGCTGTCCATCATTAAACTAACAATGATTATATATTCCAGAGTTTAAAATATATTCTTCTGCCAGGTCTCTACAGGTTTAGACTAACATCTAGTCTCTGAAATGAACATATTTTACAGATAAAAGGTTGTTAAATTATGGTTCTAAAAATATAATAAGAAGGAGCGCAGAGACTCTCTTCATTTTCATCCGGATACTGCAGTAATCTGGACTTGCCATATATTGTAGACTTGCATGGGCTGTATTGGATATATTTCTTTTAGGGTCTGTATGACAGACTACAGGGGGTTGACTTCAACTGTTAATATTGAATCAGTATAGGCGAATATGGTTTAACGTCCCTATGAACAGTATTTCAGTTGTCACGTCAAATCAGCATGATTTGGGAGAAAAGTCCGAGTGAGTGAGTTGGGTTTAACGCCGCTTTTAACAGCATTCCAGTTATATCACGGCGTGTCAGCTTGATGTTGGAGAAAAGTCCGAGTGAGTGTTGGGTTTAACGCCGCTTTTAACAGTATTCCAGTTACATCACGGCGTGTCAGCTTGATGTGGGAGAAAAGTCCGAGTGAGTGAGTTGGGTATAACGCCGCTTTTAACAGTATTCCAGTTATATCACGGCGTGTCAGCTTGATGTGGGAGAGGGTCCGAGGTTATGCAAGACTTAGACACCCACGAGCTCGGGTAGGCTGCAGACAACCCAAGAAACATAATCAGTGCGAATCTGGGAATCGAACCCACGATCACAGGTTACTGTCCACCACTGGGCCTCTCGTGCCCCCGCAGCTTACATCGTATGGGTCTTTTAGTTTCAGAGATGTCAATAAGGCAAACGTTGACGACAGACGACAGACTACCGGACAGGCGGCAGACAACACCACACGTCATTAACTCACTCGACTTGACGACAGAGTGATGAGTTGTGTTAACGACGTTCTGAACAGTCATGTTCCCCACTTGGTGAAACTAACGATCGCGGTTATGGTTCTTACAGACCAATGGTCGTAATCAGGGCGGATCAGTGATTGGAACTCACGACCACACCCTGTTAGCATGCGGGATGCAGCTTTAGGATGAGAACCCGTGACGATCCGAGGTGGAATAGGTCTTCAGCAACCCATGCTTGTCGAAAAGTCGACTATGCTCGTCGTAAGAGGCGACTAACGCCGGGTGGTCAGGTTCACTGACTTGGTTGATGCAAACCATCGTATCCAATTGCCTAGACCGATGATCATGATGTCAATCACTGGATTATCTGGTCCAGACTCGATTATTTACAGACAGTCGTCATATATCTGGACTATTGCTGAGTGCGGCGTTAAACAACAAACAACAACAACAGCTTTAGGATGAGATTACAGGGACTAAATACTGAAATGGTTTTTGCCAAAACATTTACTTTTACTAGGACAAGGAATTGTACGCTTACCTTAGAAACAAGTACTTTCATCTACGGTGTCTTCTGCCGTGCGTCCAGTGGCGGGAGTGGGGTCGCTCCGTTTGATGGATCCACGCGCCCAGGATTCGAGTGCGTCGTACACAAAGTGGGTGGGTGAATTCAGTTTTTTGTCCGATTGTCATCGCAGACTAGGGTGGAGGCACTTACGGGTCTGCTCCCAGAGAGAAAGTGGTTGTTTAAATGCAGTCACGGTTGGGGGCGCCCTTTGTTCGCGCATTCCCAGATAACTTGTTTCAGTGTCGGGTGGCTCAACACACGACGATTTTCGGATCAAGGGATCCCCCCTGAGGGAAGTTCGCGGGTTATCGGTAAACATCGGGGTTATGGGATCCCAATATTTACACAACAATCAACAACATTGTAATAGCATAATTCAGTTGGGGGCCACCATTTGAAAGTGATCACGGTCTTTGTAACACGCGGTAAGAACTCGGAGAACTATGTGTCGCGGCGCATGACTAATTATACGTATTCATGAACTGGGATAAAGAAGGCATACATTCTAGTTTTATAAAGGTTGTGTTAAGTATACGTTTTGTAAATATTGAAAGTGTTTCATTAATGGATACAGGTAAGAAAGATCGCGTGCTTTCCAACTTTTAGTTTGTATTGTTTAGTGCACACAAAAATCCGGAAAAGCAAAATTGTTAATTATAATAGTTCACACTTCCACATTAACATTAATGTTGTTTTCATTATTCAGAAAAATAAAATAAAGTTAAATAGTTTGAATACTCATTAACTTGTCGACAAAAAAAAGCCACAAACCCATTTTTCAATCAAACCGGACCTATATAACCATTACGCATTTGTTCGCATTCTCTGCTTAACTGGAATTCGAAAACAATTTCCATATTATTTTTTTTCAATTTAACGCAAAATGTTTCGTCTTTCTCGTCATAATGGCAAAGCTCCATCGTTGTAGGTGACAGTGTACGGGCGGACCATTGCCAAGGTGGAACCCAGGAACACAATGAGAGAATCGCCGTTCAAAGACGTTTGCAGTTAGTGCACAACTCTGAACGGTTTAATAAGGTTTGTGGAACTTATTATGTATAATTAATATATGTCTTGGAACAGTATGTAACCCTTTAATCTTAATACGGTTGAACGCTCCTTCTCGGTCAATATGAAATACTTATATGTAGTGACGTTATATTTCCAAATAGAGAGAGTCACTCCCAGTGATCCACACACACTGGTCTCTTCAGGGTTTGCGCGATCAAAGCGTTTATAGCCGTTAAATAACTGCATATAATGTTGATTCACGCATAACCACTTCATCAGCATTGATAAACCAGACAATAAAGTGGTCTCGAGAGGCCACAATACGACTTTAAGTGGCAACTCTCCTTCTGGTAGTTCAATAAAATATTGCTGTTGCTACCGTCGTACACGTTCTAATTCACAAAATTCAAAAGACATATTCTGTTTGATTACACCGAGCTTGTCTCCCTGTGGAGAATAGGTCCCCAATGCCTCATGCTTGTCTCTGTGTTGGCTTTCCGAGGCAGAGTTGGTCCTTAGTGCCTTATGCTTGAATAGGTCCCCAGTACCTCGTGCTTGTCTCTGTGTTGGTATTCCGAGGCAGAGTTGGTCCCCAGTGCCTCATGCTTGTCTCTGTGTTGGTATTCCGAGGCAGAGTTGGTCCCCAGTGCCTCATGCTTGTTTCTGTGTTGAGGCCCCGGGACAAATAGGTCTCCAGTATAGCATGCTTGTCTCTGTGTTTGTATTCCGAGGCAGAGTTGGTCCCCAGTACCTCATGCTTGTCTCTGTGTTTGTATTCCGAGGCAGAGTTGGTCCCCAGTACCTCATGCTTGTCTCTGTGTTGGTATGTATTCCGAGGCAGAGTTGGTCACCAGTACCTCGTGCTTGTCTCTGTGTTGGTATTCCGAGGCAGAGTTGGTCCCCAGTGCCTCGTGCTTGTTTCTGTGTTGGTATTCTGAGGCACAGTTGGTCCCCAGTGCCTCATGCTTTTCTCCCTGTTGAGGCCCCGGGACAAATAGGTCACCAGTACCTCAGGCTTTTCTCCCTGTATATATTATGTCCACAATACGCAGTGCTTGTCAACTCGAGGGAGTCTCTGGGAGAGAAAGTTCTGTGGAGTTAAGGCACACGTACGCTGGAAATCTGCGTCTCCAGTCACAGTTGTATCGTCCCTGGCTGTATCGTCGGGTGCATGGTCACAACAGGTACCTGTCATAGGGATCATGCATTGACAATGTTGGTCCCTACCGACTGTGTCCAAACGTTCTTTGACAGCCAGGGGTCCATTCCACAAAGCTATCGTAGGGCAAAGGTGATCGTAACTCCCATACTTTACAGAGACTTATGACTGTCGTTGCGCTACGATCGCTTTGTGGTACGGGGCCCCGTTATCAACCACTGTTACGCCTGGACTAGACTTCGGCCTGACCGTATAAAACATTCACCCTCAATCACACACTGCGTTAACTCCGTTCATCATACTGCATTAAAACATAGGATCTAATATAGCCACAAAATACCATCAGCAACTCACTCACTGCGTTAACTCAGAACCGTTTATCATACTGCATTAGTGAATGAGTTGCTTTAAGCAATATTCCAGCAATATCACGGCGGGGGAACCAGAAATAGACTTCAAACATTGTACCCATGTCGGGAATCGAACCCGGGTCTTCGGAAAGACGAGCGAACGCTATAACCACGAGGCTACCCGACCGGCCCCATACTGCATTAAAACATAGGATCTAATGTAGCCACAAAACACCATTCAGCAATTCACTCACTCACTCAGATGTCTAAACGAAACATGTCAGCTATTACAATGTTGACGCAGTGCCGCCCGATTCAGAAATCTTAGAATAACAGAACATATTTTAATAAACTGCTTGTTTATTCTAATAATGGTATATATGTAAATATATAATATATGCGTATAATTTACATCTTAGCAACACCTGACTGAAGCACTAGATTCACAAAATAATCTCTATGACATTCAACAAAATAAACTTAAACGATAATAGCATAACAGTCTAACAACCTATACGACATGGCGCCGCACACTCCCGACACAATACCCAGGTGTTCATTCTGAAGGGCACGGATAATTATGGCCTTTTTTTCATTAGTTGGTTTACGGATTTACTTGGTAAAACGTTTGGGTATGGGCGGTCGAAATAAACTCGTCATTTATGTTTTGTTTTGTTAAACAAATATGATATTTACGGGGGGGAAGAATATAAAAAATGAAATGTTACAGGAATGTACGTTTTATAACATTTGCAAAGCCAGACACTGGTTGGGTACTGCTGTATCAATAAATAGTATTCGTGGTAGCTCAGGAGTACATTCACAGACTATCGGGGGCCACTGGGCGGTCTTCTTTTGTCTCAGTTAAGGCAGGGACTTAATTTGTAATTTATTTTCTCCTAATATGTGACTTTCTGGCTAGGCGGTTATACAAGCTTTAAACGTGGATCTATTTAGTACATTCCTGACTTCGCTTCGGTCCGTAAACCAAATAAATAAAAAAAATTACGCGATACAATTTCACATCAAAGTGCTGCTGACCTGTTCCCATTACCTTACCGTCTCTTAATCATCTACACCCGCCAACCCGCCCCATCACAACCTGCACTACCATCAACTGTTCGTCGTAATGCTTGTAGATCCATAGCACAATTATACCAACATATAAACACAAAATAATAATTAATGTCTGACAACCAGCAGTACATTAAACATTGATTTGATTAACATTACATTTGTTTGTCGTATCAAGAGTCTATCGTGGCGAAGTGTTTTTCTCTATATGTTTTACGACGATACTGTTGGTGTAATAAGAGGAAATGTGCAAGTGGATTGAATACTAACTTGTTGACAAATGAACTCTTCCTGTAGTAATTCTACTACTCATCTTAGCAGGGATAACGGGACTTGGGTAGACACACATCTAGTCTCTGGACATGAACATATCTTACTACAAAAAAACAGTTATTAAATTATCTTAATAAAAATATAATAAAAGGGAGCCCGGAGACTCTTCATTTTCAGATACTGCAGTAATCTAGATTTGCCCACTAATATAGACTTGCATGGGCTTCATTAGATATATTTGTTTCAGCGTCTGTATGACAGACTAGGACTTCGACGAAGTTGAAAATGCGTCGTTTCCATTGCAATATGAGATACGGCGACATTTGAAACCAATGGAGAACATTCAGACCCCCCCCCCCCCCCCCCCCCCGTCTATCCCTTCCAAGGGCTGAGTAGCACATTACAAGTCTATAGCTACGGATGGGGGTCATGGTACAGGTCTACCAAGTAATTTCACTACAAACCAATGCTCGTCATCTTCAGCAGCTTCTAGAGAGTGCATAAGAAACATATACCACCAACTTTAGGTAGAGATATAAGCCTGCATTCCACTATACACCAGTCTTCCATATATCAGTATCCATATAGATAGTTGAGTAGTATATGCACGTATCAGCGACCATCAACTATGCGATCATCATCGAGTGAAACTGTCGTAACTTCTATACCTTTACACCGAATTACGTGAGCGAGCGAGTTGTGTTTAACGCTGCTTTTAACAGTATTGCAGTTATATCACGACGTGTCAGCTTAATGTGGGAGGCAAGCCCGAAGTTATGCAGGTCTCAGACATTTACCATTTTGGTGAAACCCACCAGCACGGGTATGGTGCTGGCAAACCTAGAAACATAATGAGGGGCGAACCGGGATTCGAACCAACCATAGGTTTCTGGCGTGTCCAAGGGACGCAACTCTGCACAGCGAATCGCGGCGCCTTAGACGACTGGGCCAACCGTTCCCCCACGCCGAATTACGAAATTGTAAGCGTTTTATCAAGTCACTCACCGGTACACCTGTAGCAGCTCCCCAAAGGGCCTCTGAACCTATACATTGAACACGTGATGCATGAGGCGCGACCATCGCATGTGAAACTTGATGAAAGATTAAATGACTGTTTTGAGGACAGTTGAGAATGTATACTGTAGAAAGACATCGTTTGGTGATTTTTTCGAAGCCCAAAAGAACTTGACTTTACCACAATAAAGGCCTGGCATTGCCATACGTCCATGTGTATAAAAGTAGTAAAACAGACTCCCGAAAGCATGAATCTCCTGGAAACAAAATGGTCCATGAAGCCTTACTACACACAACACTTATCCACGCCTATTCTAGTCAACATGTTAGGTGCATATGTAATCATAATACTGACAATTATGACTAGTTATACTTCGATTGCATTATCTGTTATCAATACTGAAGCTCCAATTAACACGTCTATACTGGCACTCAATATCAGAGTTGTGTTAGGATCACTTCCTTGACACAGGTATACTGTCGCTTCTGACTAATACAATTATCTTCCCTCAAAGTATTGCACAATATCTGGAACCGGACCTTCCCGAGCGATATAGCCATGCCTCTCCCAGGGAAGGTTCCTGTTGGACTGTGCCTAAGTCCAGTTTGAATGCGTGTACTTCCGGTTTAACATGTCCCACGTGACCCACCTATTCAAACCAAGACGCCAACATGTTACAGCACCCTTGCTTCTATTAATTTAAACACTTTGATTATTTTTATTCTATCGTAAGTAATATAGAATAGTTAAGGGATCGACAATTTTCCCCAGCTCTCAAATCACGTCTCACTGTCCAAAAGCTGAACCCGGTATTCCCTCCCTTGTGTTACAATTTATAGTATTTCCCCGATATGTCCACCCAGAAAAGACAAAATGGCCGTTCCTCAACATGAGAAACAATATTGACACCACAACACTCCAACCATACTCTTACGACCTTCCTCTGGTTAAGTGACAGATACAACTAGGATTTCTTACGATCAAAACTTCCATCTAACATTTTTCAAAATTGTAATTATAATACTACCATTTACTTGTGACTTAAGCACATGTCCAATTGCCATGATTGGCGTCCATCGTTCTTGGATAGGTATTTACATGACAGCTACCTGGAAGCTGGCCCACACCCCGGAAGCAACTTGCTACTCCGTGAGATCACTGAAGTCCAGGAAGTTCTTGAGAACATTAGGCAGTTTCAGCTGCCGGATCTTGTTGGTGATGATCTTCCCCTGACCCAACTCAGCTCTGATCTGCTTCCGACAAAGACAAAGCAGGGACTGTGGTGCCTGAAGCTGCTCATGGACATTGGCGAGGAAGGTCTTGCTCATGGAAGACAACTTGTCTGACTCGGACAGGTGAGATCGAAGAACATTGGCAGCCTCCTCACAATAAGTGCTAATTAGCCAAACGATGACTTGAATTTTTTGTTTGTGCAGAGCGTGCTCTATTGCGTTGCATGGCCCACAGGAATTGCTCAGTGTGGATTTCATGTTGAACCCGCAGTTCGACCTCAGCAACAGCTTTAGGTTCTCCATGGAAGACTGATCGACGGCGAACCACAGCGGCAAAGTTCCTGCATCGTCCTCAATGTCTGGGTCGGCTCCGTAATCTAACAACATTGACAGCAGAAGTGGGTGGTTGTAGAAGACTGCTTCGTTGAGCGCTGTCATGCCATGAAGGCCACGATAGGTGGTCTTGCATCCCGCCTGCAGCAGTAGCTGTGCGGTCGTCACTTGCTTGGTGTGTACTGAGCTGATGAGAGGCGTGATTCCATCATTGTTTTGGGCGTTGATATCAAAGCCTCTGGAGATCAGTTCTTGACAGCAATCCTCGTTGCCGCCGGCTGCCGCATAGTGCAAGAGACTGTGGCCATTGTTTGGTCTTTTGTGGAGATCAGCACCGCTGGTTATGAGATACTTCATGACCTGCACATGCCCCTTGAGAGCTGCAATGTGCACTGGCGTACATCCCAGAGAGTCTTGACTATCGATGCTTGCGCCTGCGTTCAAAAGAAGACTACAACACTTGAGTTTGCCTCGTTCAGCAGCCAGATGGAGGGCAATACGCTTGTTGTAAGCCACCATATTAACATTGCATTTCCAATCTATGAGCATACCCACTACATCATCATGGCCATTCATGGCAGCCATCATGAGCGGTGTGAAGCGACGGATGTCCTGGGCGTCTATTTCGGCTCCGTTCTGCAGAAGTATCCCACAGCAGACGCTGTCGCCATGTTGAGCCGCATAGTGGAGAGCAGTGGCGGCACTGTGGCTCATGCGGTTCACATCACACTTGTTGGACAGAAACAACTTCAACAGCTCCACATAGCCCTTCTCGGCAGCACATATCAAGGGAGTATTGCCAAATGTATCTTCTTCCTCTAAATCAGCTTTGGCACTCACTAGAAACCTGCAGACACTCAAATGTCCATTTTCTGTTGCACAATGTAGGGCAGTTCTCTCGTGGTAACCCCTCCGTCTGACGGAGGCGTGGAAGGCTAGCAATCGCTTCACGACTGGCAAGTGGCCATGCATAGCGGCAAGTATGAGTGGAGTGTCCTCTTGGGTGTTCCTGGCATTAATATCTGCATTGGCGTTGATAAGACATTGCACACAATCAACATGGCCATCTGCTGAGGCGTTGTGTAGCGGTGTGTTTCCCAAGGGCCCACTCGGGGACGAGGCACTGCAGTGCCATTGCAGCAGGAGCTCCACGATCGGGGCTGAGCCCACTTTGGCTGCGACGGCTAGAGGCGTGAAGTGGTCAGCATCATGAACCTCCGTTGGAACCCCAAACTTCAAGATGGAAGCCACGCATCTTGGACACTCCTGGTTGATGACGCCAAACAGCCCCTGATGCAACCCCTCTTCGCTGATGTCACTGTTGACTACGGAGGCAACCACTTGACAGTCATGTTGTTCCACATCACTGAAGACACTGCAAGAGAAGTAAGAGGTCAGACATGTTAGGTCTATTTCTACAAAACTATTGATTCGTATTTGTTTGTTTGCATTTCAACAATCAGTTGTATGACAGTCTGTAAATAAACCATTCTAGGTCAGATGATACAAAGATACAGATATTATGAGACACACACAACAGGACATCGAGCATGTCTACCCAATCCAGTCGCCTCTTACAACCAGCATGGAATGCTAATTCTAACCAGGAACTACCTTGGGGGGACAAGTTTTGAAAGGATAATATTTGTGAGTGAACGAGTATTTCAATTATATGTAACCTAAATTAAGTGATCCAGGTTTACATTCACCACTTTGGTGAAACCCATGGGTATGGTGTTGACAAACCTCGAAACATTATCAGGGCGAACCGGGAATCGAACCCACAGATGCACTATTCTGCCTAGAATACCACATCATCAGCATCTGTAGGGTAACTATTCTGCCTAGAATACCACATCATCAGCATCTGTAGGGTAACCACGGGGAAACTATTCTGCCTAGAATACCACATCAGCAGCATCTGTAGGGTAACTATTCTGCCTAGAATACCACATCATCAGTATTTGCAGGGTAACCCCGAGGCAACTATTCTGCCTAGAATACCACATCATCAGCATCTGTAGGGTAACTATTCTGCCTAGAATACCACATCATCAGCATTTGCAGGTAACCACGGGGCAACTATTCTGCCTAGAATACCACATCAGCAGCATTTGCAGGGTTACCACGGGGCAACTATTCTGCCTAGAATACCACATCATCAGCATCTGTAGGGTAACTATTCTGCCTAGAATACCACATCATCAGCATCTGTAGGGTAACCACGGGGAAACTATTCTGCCTAGAATACCACATCAGCAGCATTTGCAGGGTAACAACTATTCTGCCTAGAATACCACATCAGCAGCATTTGCAGGGTAACCACTGAGCAAATATTCTGCCTAGAATACCACATCATCAGCATCTGAAGGGTAACTATTCTGCCTAGAATACCACATCATCAGCATCTGTAGGGTAACCACGGGGCAACTATTCTGCCTAGAATACCACATCAGCAGCATTTGCAGGGTAACCACGGGGCAACTATTCTGCATAGAATACCACATCAGCAGCATTTGTAGGGTAACTATTCTGCCTAGAATACCACATCAGCAGCATTTGCAGGGTAACAATGGGGCAACTATTCTGCCTAGAATACCACATCAGCAGCATTTGCAGGGCAACCACTGGGCAAATATTCTGCCTAAAATACCACATCATCAGCATCTGAAGGGTAACTATTCTGCCTAGAATACCACATCATCAGCATCTGTAGGGTAACCACGGGGAAACTATTCTGCCTAGAATACCACATCAGCAGCATCTGTAGGGTAACCACGGGGAAACTATTCTGCCTAGAATACCACATCAGCAGCATTTGCAGGGTAACCACTGGGCAAATATTCTGCCTGGAACACCCACACGGTGGTGTCTGTGGGGTTCCAGCAGGGGAACTATTCGGAATACCCACGAGAATGGGTTCTATCACACGGTGGTGTCTGTGGGGTTCCAGCAGGGGAACTATTCGGAATACCCACGAGAATGGGTTCTATCGGTGTAGCCTTGGGGAACAATTCAGCCTGGAATCCCAACATGGATGGGATTTTAGGTGATACTCACAGGGGAACTACTCTGCATACGTATCCCCATGTGGGAGGCGTCTACAGGGGAACTACTCTGCATACGTATCCCCATGTGGGAGGCATCTACAGGGGAAAACATGAAAGACAAACATAAAGTAAATGTAATGCTGACTATTAATCATATTGTGCCTAGTAGGTATCCTGGCTGTATCAGTTGCAGTTGACCCATCGTATTGGTTGCTGGGCCAGATGAAATAATGTGCCATGATATCACACAGTACAGTGTGCATGCTGCTTGTGGTTAATGTCACAATGCTCCTTAGATGACAATTTGATGAACATTGAAAATACATTTAGGCTCCATATCTGCATGGAGCTCATGTGCAAGAAACACCTGATGTTTCTACTATACATGCCATGACAATATTTCTGTCATACACTGTCTGAAGTTAATGAAAGATGAGAATATATATATATACTGTCCACTGTGGAACAGACTCATCCTGTACAATACAAAGGGAAATAACTCCAAAACACCAAGGACCGTGCTACTTACCAATAGCATCTTACTACCACACTGCTTTCGGTTATCCCACACCCTTGTATCTTGTAATCGTAAATGTGGGTTACCTGTTAGTCCTAATATGGATCAAAGCCAACCTAAAGCACTCTAACAGGATCAATGAGGAAATAAGACAGACACATGTCTGGGCTGTCATAACTAATCTATAATACACCATATGCCGTGTCATTACTTCCATCTAACCCCGTCATATTAGACTATTTCCTTGTCATGCACTGTTTTAATTAAAAACTTTGCCATTCTTGTCTCCCATTATTGTTGTATTACCTCCCTTAATTGACCAGCTGTGCTGTATAATTATGTTCTAATAGGGTCTTCCTTCAACACAGTGTGTCACTACACTGAAGATGGATGTGTAGAAAGGATGTATTTTTACATAGATTAGTGAAAACCGCGCAAACAATTTTACGAAAACTTTAAAAGTGATAAAAACATATCAAGAATGCTACACGAGATAAATAGCATATTTTAATTACGTCAATATCATCCTCAAAACACAGGTGCTTTGCATGCTGTGATTCCAGAAGCTGAACATACACCTTCCGTTCGATGATGGAAAATTCATGGGCACAAACAAAAAACCGAATTCCAAACACCTGGAATAAATATATTCGTTTAAGTAGGCTAGTTCGTTTTAAGAATCAGGCGGACTACGTGTTCCTCAGATTAAGATCTAGCTCCTTTTTTCATTCGTCGGAAAGATGTAGCCGTGGCGGACGTCTTCAAAACATTGAACTTTTTCAAACGCCGCGCAGATAACATTCAACATACGTACTTACATTCAACACGAAATGTATACAGTAAATACGTCTTACCTCATATTGTTGGTAAACCTATCGAAGGAATCAATCTCCCACTAAGACATGATGTCGCATCACGTAACGCTTGCAGCACGCGACCTCATATTCTTGGAATAACGGTTCGCTAGGATGGGTACGTGGGACTATGTGGTGTAAACTGCAGAGTGGCGCAGACTGGAGTCAACGGCCCTCATCTATCCCCGGTGTAACATTGATGTAAACACGTCTAGCGCGATGCATTATTCAGGCCGCGAAATATTCCCCGCCATCCAGTGCTTGTGGATATTAAGATGCTCTAATGACAGGATACGAGGTTTAGATATCAATATTTATCAGAATTTTATCAAAATGACGCGACTCAAATATCTAGTGGCCAAATTTACGCTTGCACATTCCTGAGTAGAAGTCGGTGGGAGCTGAGATGGTAAACAGGGTGATATAAATAGCATATCGTCTGGAGTAAACAACAGTGACCCAGGCCCAGATCTTGGCTCGGCCATTGCCCAAGACTATGAAAATATCATTTACTAGCTGATGTTGCAAAGTTTCGTGCATGGCGGGTGGTGTGGATACTCACCTCATGTTGACAGACAAATAGTAGATTCGTTGTCACTGCACGTACACTGCATTTCTCGTCAGGTCGTGCGTGTCGCTGTAAACACAAGCCGAATCACGGTTCCTCGTCATAATGAGATCATGTGATCAATACGATGAAAGGGACATAACTCCATGGATCTTATCGCCGTTAGAAGCAGCAATGAATTTGTCGTTAATGGTCGTGGAAGTAATGAGGGTGTCAGCTCGGTTTCCCCTGAATCCCGAATCCTAATTAACAAAAATCGCAAAAGCTCATGTCAGAATTCACCGTACAAAGGCTGAATATCGTTCAAAGACGAAACCCATCCAAGGTTATACAAGTGTGCGATATATTACACAAGTAATATTGAAAAACTAAAATTACATTGCCGTAGCCAGCCGGGGGCAGGGAGGGCAGTTGCCCCCCCCCCCCCCCCCCCCCCCCTTTGGATTTTTTAAATATAGAAAACAGTTTTATTTGAATCATGAAAATACAAGTTTGAGACAAGTGATATTTGTACAAATATTTGACCCCACTGTCAAATAAAGTTAACTACCGGCCTTGAATTAGATCTATATATTTTAGTTTTTCAGTATTGCTTCAGTATTTTTTTACGTGCACATGTTTGTTTACCATTTTGAATTTTGAATCTGCTTACCAAATACGTTTTATTTGAGTTGTTGAGATACATGCATCAAAGCTATAATTAATTTTTACTTGTGACCAGCAACTAGTTGATTACCTCCCTTGAGCGAAGTTTGGGAGTTATCCCCCTTATTCCGATCAGACGTTTACTGTTTTCATTGAGCTTATGAGTACCGTTCGTTCTAGACTATTTCGAAGTGGAACAGTGCGAGTCAAACAAACTGTAAGTTAAATGTCAAGTTTACTTCTGCTAACTTTAGACATACAATCATGTACGGTTTGTAAGTTCACGTCATCGTCTATTCCCAGTACTGAGACACAGAGACATATGTAATAGGCCCAGACTCGAGCAACTATAGCGACTACAGTGTGTTTACAATAATATTATTAATGAAAGATATCAGGGATTCAGATCGGTTCACTTCCTAGGACACTGACTAATTGATATCCAAAATGTGCTGAAGATATCTTGGAAATGTTACATGTAACAAGCAATATCACTGAAAATTCATACATTTCGTGCAAAATGTCATGCGTACAGGCCTATGTCAAGGGCCACTTTTGACCGAGATTAAGGTCTGTTCTGTCACATTGTTTCCAGTATCCCTTCATTCTTATAAAACCCTCTACATGGGAGAGGAATAGGTAATTCGGGGCCAGAACACTGACAAGCTGTGTACCCTGATGGTGTGGGTCGCCGCTCATGTTTTCAGTCACTTGATCAGACTCGATTAATAACTGGCCGTCGCGATAGCTGGAATATTGCCAGCGACGTAAAGAAAATGGAGACAAATTGGAGAGAAAATATTAAGTTATTAACTTGAAATTAGCATTGGTCAATTTCTTATCAATATATTACATTGTTAATATATGAAAAGGTTTGCACAACATTCCGCAAAATGTTTTTGTTTATTATTGTCATCTTGAATAACTGACTATTTAAAGGACCATGTAGCAATCAGAACATTGAAACAAACGAGAAGTTGAAATGGAGCACATCATTTGGTATCCTGATACGAATTTGTTTCCCTCCCTTCAGATTTGTCATGTCTCATTAATATAATTTACATACCCCGTTTGTTTCATACTTTTTAGCTTCAGTATTCTTTCTATATCAGGGTAATTTTCGGTGACTAGGTAATCCCTTGAAAGTGATAGCTTTCAATGAGGCATCAAACAAAAGAAAATGTATAATAATATTTAATCACCTTTCGTTCACTGTTCTAATGGACTGAATCTAAGCCTGGCAATTAATAATATATTTCTAGTAACTTTATTTTCCACGACACCTAGGCAATTACCCTTATTTTGCAGGAATCAAGTGAAGTGTCTCCACTTGAAGCTGGTCATCAGGCATGCTGGCATGCAACACCTTCCAATTTATGAATCCGTTGTTGAGGTTGTATCTAGAAGCGTCTGTTATTATTATTATACCGCTGTCTTTAGCTTGAAAATATATGTTCAACAAATATAAAGGACTTCAGTCAATATAGAAGTGTGATTTTAAATAAATTAAAGCAATGAATACAGATGTTTCAACAGCCCTTTGTTTTAATATATTACATTGTTTGCACTAGGTTATACAAGCGTTCCTGTTGTCGTTTCCTCTTGCTGAGTTTGATGTGTCTAGCTGCAGCATAGCTGTTGACATCAAAGCGAAGAAAAAAGTTCATCATGACTATGACAGACAAGTGTTCTATGTTCGCGGTAAGTCAGCGTCCGTCACGTCACGTGTTATTAAGTGCAATAAAAACCTATTTGGTCTGATTTTTCACAACAGGAAATTGACGCCCAAGCCCTCCATTAATATTAATACAAATTCATGTTGAGTGACTATACAAATGTGGAAATATGTATTGACAAAACAAAACTGATCAGTTATATATTCCACTTTCAGTTTCCAGTAGTCAAGACTTGGATTTACAAAATCTGTTCAAAGGTATTCAAATCACGATTTCACTGAGTTAGAAATTACATCAATCTATTTCAAATACGAGCCCTGGTATAATTATTGACAGTTTTCCCAGTATATTTGAATACTACGATTTCCTGAACCCCCGTTATGTCCATTTAATTTGGTAAAACAATTACATTTACTCCCAAGGATGGGAACAAATTCAGATATTTATCATGCAACTACTACTTTTTCCATAGGATGAATAATGTTACATTAAGGTTTTAACATGTGCCTATCGTCTATGTCCATATTCAACACAAGAAAACACAGTCTCACATACACTGCTATGAATCTCTGCTATGACAGAAAAGGCCCTGACACGATTTACGGAGGTACTGCTGTACATGCAATGTGGTGAGGAGGAGGGTCACTTGTCAGTACAGCGGCCCTGTCAGGACCACATGCGTGGCAGTGTGCAGGAGGTCTTCTGGTTGGAACAGACAGATCTAGGGGACATAACCCTCAAATGTCAGCATTCAACAGAGGCTCCAAATACAGACTTCAACGAGACTCCGCCCCCTTTTGTGATACATTTCAGGGTATGTGTGTCAAGTATATCATAACCTATATAGGACGTCAAAATGTGTTGCCCGTGAAGATCCGGTTTGCTTTTCAGCTACATGTGCCTGTGGTAAGAGGCCACTAACGGATCGGGTGGTCAGGATCGCTAACTGGTTGATATATTTCATGGTGAGTGAGTGAGGCGTTAAACAACAAAGAAACAAACAAAATATGTTTATAACATCCACAGTTAGAATAAAACAGATGACGATTATATCTGCCTCATTACAGTCACTCATCCTACTGTGACTCGTCTCTGTAGTTTATTGCATGGAAACATCACATTGCCTCGTATAGATTATGAACATTAGTCCCTATCAGTCTCTGATTCATAAACACCTATTTCAGATTGTTCAGAGTGAAAGCCACATCGTGTCAGAGGGACAGCTTATACACAAATTCTTACACAAGCTGAAATTCCTGCATGGAAAGGTTTGCTTTATTTGAATATTCCGAAACACACAAGAATCACAACGTTTTGTATATTTTAGCAGTGGAGGGTTTTAAACAGTATCTGAAAACAGTAAAGGCCCTCTGATGATGGGTGTTGGAAATATCTGTAATGCCCTGCAACAGATGTGTCATAAAGATAAATGTGTCTGTTCTCTTGAACTAGATCCCAAACCGTGCCTTACAAGTATACGTATCATGGTTAGATGATTGTCACACTTGGACTATAAATAGTCCTACCATGAAAGGATTCAGATTTGCATTATATGCTAATACTATAACAAATAATATGCTATTTAGTATGCTGGTTCAGCTTGTAACTTCAGTGATATATGTCTTAGTTGGAGACGACATTTTCCATGAAAGTGTGTGGAGCTGTATGTCAGACAGATTTCAGGTGAGTTGGAAGCTTGTTATAGGTTGTGTTTAAAGTATCAAAACTATTTAGGGCACATTAAAGTCGACCAGTGTTTTATATTAATTAGCTTTCTTATTTTTCACATGCCGTTAATTTTAGCCTATATGATATATTAAGGACAGGTTTCCATTCGTAAATTAGACCAGGAACTAAAATGTTTCAATTTTATCCCATGACCAATCGTCAGACTTACAAATTCACGTTTTAGTCCTGAATTTAATGTATGAAATAAACCCCAAAACTTTCTTAAAGAATAAGGCAATTTATGAATGAGAGAGGTAGCGCAAAATCAGACATTTCTTTTCATGTTTATAGTGTGAGGAATTTCGTTCAAGTCAAGGGTGTGTCGTTTGTTGATGACTTGAGATTCTTCTTTGGGTAAGTTTTTTTCAATTCATGTGCTTATTGTTGTGTGACTCGATAAAACGTTCCCATTGTGGTGATGACATTCTGATGGTGTCAGTCGCATAATTGGTGATCCGGGTTATAATTGGTTTGTAGCAACCCTTGCCTGTCCCATGACGCATATAATCCTATCCCAGTTGCATATATCGATGCTCATGATGTCAGTCACTGGATTGTCTGGTCCAGACTCGATTATGTACAGCTATCTGCGGCTTTAAACAACAAATAAAGCAAACCAAACCTAATTAGTTAGTTGACTATTTTGTGTTAGTATTTGTTCTAAAGGTATCTGACAAAACATCCTGTTTCCGGTTGTGTTCAAGGAAGGGTTGTCTGAAGACTATGTGTTGTGGGACTGTGAAAGGGTTCAAGGGAAGAAGCATGGCAGTTGGAGTGAACTCTGGGTGTCCTCTCTCCCCCTCCCCCCTCTCCGTGTCAACCATGGCATGTCTCTACCCAGTCACAGAGCGTTACCCACAGCATACAGGCTCCGGGGGAATCACAGGCCATGTCCTCGTATCCTCTGGTACAAGAACTGATAAGACTTGGTGCATTGAATTTGGCCTTTAATCATTGTATTGCATTACAGCGTTAGAAATTGGCACTAGTCCTGTAGTCCTTGCCAATTTGCCCAATAGTAAAGGTATCAAGGGCTAGTAGAAATTAGCCATTTTTAGGGGTTTTGCTATATGTTATCATTATAAGGACTAGTGGACTGAATCTGTTAGTTTCTACCCCTGCATTACAAGAGGGCCCACCTTGCCAAATGTGTGTTGCTGAAATGGGATACCAGTGGATTTGCATTACAGTTGATAGCAGTGTGAGGAGTATAGTCACTTGGAGCAGTATTTCAGTTATACCACAGTGCCTCAACTTACTGTGTAGGAAGTGATGCAGGTCTCAGACGAAGTGATGCAGACCTCAAACGTTTACCACTTTAGTGGAACCCACGTGTACGGGTTTGGTGCTGGCAAACCTAGAAACAAACTAGGCGAACCAGGATTCGAACCAACAATCATAGGTTTCTGGCGTAGCCAAGGGACGCAACTCCGCACATTGAGGTGCGTCGCCTTAGACGACAGGAGCCACCCATGACCCGTGATAGAAATGTGTTTCTCAGACCTTGTCTATCCTTAATTGATCCAGATAAATTTTTATGGTCCACAACTGTCCCCTTTGCTGATGAGCAGGGGACATTTGACGATGCTGGACATACGCAAACTGACAGATTGGAACACAATGTCACTGTGGTTGACAGACACGGAACAGAAGATGCAAAGTAAGTTGTACATTCGCCAAAATATGTTTCATCGGGAAATCTCAACTAAACCTGCTCGGAAGACTCATCACGTCAATCTGATAAAAACTAGAAAACTTTTACACTGCCATAGATTATCTCAACCTGCATCAAGATTCGACTCTGTCCTGTCGCCCCTTAAAGTGAAATATTGTAAACATTCGGCGCCTAATGGTATAAAATTCACACCCAGTTTGAAAATTAAAATTATTACATCACATGTTGGGAGAGTAAAACCAAACCTACTGGTCTGTAATCTATTGCAATAAACTATCAAGTTTGAAAGTTGGAATTATTCTATCATATATGTCAGAAAAATAAGACCAAACCGACTGGTGATATTCTAATGAGAGATCTTTCTTTGATTAGGAAATTACTGAACAAATCTGTGGTCTCAGTAATTCCAACGTTGAGTATTGATAATATGCAGAAGCGCTATGTAGGGCTTCATACATGAAAAGAAAGAAAGAAATGGTTTGATGCTGAATGTGAATTACTGAAACAAAGAGATATTGACAAGAAACCTTTAGTAGTCCTGGAAATGCCAGTAAGCTGAGCGGCGTGACTGTGGTCTATAACCTATATGCACGTCACCCACTCTTAACATACCAGCACTCAAGGACACATATCATCCTGTGTGTAAAACTGGATCATCATCTTGTATAAATATTCCTTTTGTCTGTTTTTAAATCGTTATTCTAGCATGACATTTAGAATCTGGACTTCTATTTAGTCGGCATGCTGTATGGAAACCTTGTTTGTGGGCGTTACCATAGTTATTTCAAAGAAATGAATAGGAAACCAAATATACCTTCTATTATTTGAAATACTATAATTATAACCCCATGTTTTAATTTTTTTTTTTTTTTTAGGAAATAAAACAAAATATATTTGAAATTGGAATTTGTATATGTATTTTTCAGTCCTACCGACCTGAATTTTTGTCTATCCATAAACCAAAATTAAAGTAATAGCCTGGCCTTATTGTAGATTGGCACATGTCTGTTTCTTCATAGGTGACATGACAGCTGCAGCCACTCTGACCAATCAGCGTTATCTACCACCCTGGGCCTCTGGGGCCACCTCGTTCCTTCTGTGCCTGGCTGTGATTGTCTCCGATCCTCGTGCAGAGGACCACACCAGCAGAAATCGAGGTAGGTTAGGAAGATGCTATCAATTATGTGATGATGCCATCAATTGTTTTCGAAAAGTGAAGATTTTGAGATTGTCTCCGAGCAAATGTAAACATCACGTCAACTTCAATGATAAGATATAAACTTTAAACATTTCATAACAGACGGATTTAGATATACTGTTTTAAGGGCTGGTGTGTGCATTGACTTTACTAACATGCTCAGCAAGCATGGACATACATGCAAGAAAGGAGCAAGTACACTGTATACAAACGGGCATATACACTGATACAACGAGCATATACAATGTATACAAACGAACGTATACACTGTGTACAAGCCGGCATACACATTGAATACAAACGAACATATACACTGTATATTGACAGACAGACAGATTTATTTCGTATGTGTGGCCATGAGGTCAATAGTACAATGACATTTTGTTGTGGGAAAATTCGTGGTGGAGCACCACTTGTATACTGATTAGGTTGTAGCTGAATAGATGTACACAGTTTTATTAATATTCAATGTATCGTCCTTCTTTCAAATATCTTATAAACAAAAACTGCAAGTCTGAGAAGAATGTGGCTATTTTTTCTGTTACACTGTATATTGAGATAAGTATCGATCGCTCTCATGTGATTGGCAAGGTTTGCAATCACCCAGCCCAGGTGTTAATCGCATTCATCAGTGACAGTCGGAACAGCCAGATCTACATTTGTGAAATCTCACCCCAAGACGATTTCCGTAACAACAGTAATGCCATAGCCGAGTGAAAACACTCTTACACACTTGGCTTAAGAATGCCACCTCCTGGTTCTGAAGTAGAATATGTGAGTGAGGCGGTGTAGAACAAGTTCTGATGAGGACTCCTACAAAACAGTAGAGAATCCTGGATAATCACAAAGTATAACTTTCAAACCAGGAATATAATGGATATATTCTGGCTCTATAGGATGCAAATGCATTCTGTGCATAATTCTTTGCATTCAAGAAACCGCAGCCAGATGTTGTTAATGTCATGACGAGCCAGCTGTTACAATTCCCCATGCCGTGATCGATGTGTAAACACACTGTGCATAGGATTGTTCTCTGATAGGATACATGTATATGTTGTATTCAGCATTCTGCACTATTATTGTATAAGCACAGACAAACGAGTTACAGCCCGTACGCTTCACCACACTGATCTGTCCTAGATACCCATCCACTCTATATCATCTAGAAAGTTTTTATGTACTCAATTGTTTTTTCTGTGTATTTATTTGTTTCCAACAAGTTCAGCTTCGGACTGTTATACTCAGTTAACTCACTTGCCTCGGGAAGATGCACAATCACTAACTTGAGGTTCTTCGCCACTCTACACACTTGGAATACGCTCGAGGCACTAACTGATCAATGTAATGGGGTGCTTTGAATGTGGATCTCCCTGTAGCATTGTATACCATTTCCTAATGTACAGTACATTCAACAGCTGTCATATTAAGTCCCATAGCTTATTAGAATAAGAAATATAATGTGAAACTCCAACAAATCGTCGTGAAAACAGATTGTTACATTTTCTAAACATCTTCGAATGCACACAGGAGCAAATACAACGATATTTAAGATTACTTTGAAACCACATGTTTCTACAAAATAAAAATGACAAACCCTTTCCGTATTCATAAGAAATGTCTGCCAAAGGCAGTCCGTTGTACGATGCCGACTATATCATGAACATGGTTTATGAATCACTGTCAAAAATGCCAGGTGTTTTCGAAAAGGTGAGCGTAACCTACCCAACCGGTGGCACCCGTTACAAACACATGCAAAGGTAAGTCAATTGTTCACCTGGAAAAAAAACAACCACGGGATCATCTGGTACAGATCAAAATAGGGAATTGCATCTGACATAATTTTTGTCACTAAAGCGTCAAATTTGAATATGTCCTACGTATGGCTACCCTAAAACTTTCGAAAGGTTTACTGAGGCTACCTTGATCAAACAATTTCTGAGCAGGAGTTGACGTTCTCCGAACTCTTGGTAGAAAGAGCATGCTCGATTTGACCTCAAAGGTTGTGAAATGTAAACTCCTAATAGTTGGAGCTGCAAGAATAGTGCTCGACATAAAGGGAAAGTTGACTATCGGAAATGAAGTCATCCCTCTTGTCATAGTCTTGTGGAGAGTCCTTTGTCACTCTGAATTTTATGCACAGATCTAAATATGAAACAGATGAAGAAGTCTCGCTGGTCTTCTTAATTTCTAGTTCAGGTGGGTAAATCAGCGGAGGGGAATTGACTATTGGGCGGTTATTAAACGATATCTGATTATAGATATACCTGAAGCTCAAGTTAAACTTCTTGGCCAAATTGTGTTGACTTTGCCAATACGAGCAGAAATTCTGATTCATTTGCATTAAGAAACATATCAGCAAGAAGAGGAGCGCAGTTGGTGCCCATGTGGATGCCTACTGCTTGCCTAAATGTCTTACCCCCAAATTTCACATAGATGTTATCAATGAAGAAGTCCAGCATTTCACATTGAACCTCTGAAGATAGATATGTAACTATACCTATGGTCACCACGTTTTGTAACAAAAGCGCTATGAATCAATGTGTGTGTGTGTGTGTGTGCGTGCATGCGCGCGTGTGTGCGTGCTTGCGCGCGTGCGTGCGTGTATGTGCGTGGCTGCTTGTACTAATGCCGATGAATACCCCACTCAGACACAGAATACTGACTCCGAGCCGACCACTCCATGTTTAAGCCCATTAATGCTGAGCACCAGGCAGGGTAAGTAGCATATTTTAACGTCTTTTGGTATGACGCGACCGGCTCCACCAGTAGAGCACGGAGGCGGTCAATGGATCAAGGAATGAAGTTTTTTCTTTAGTTTGTCACGTGGGATAGAAGTGTAGAGTTGAAAAATCAAATGGTTTGTCTGAATTGAAAGTCATGCAAATCAATTATTATATGTTCCCTTGTAATACAATGTTCAGCTCATAAGCTAGAGTCGTCTGTTAAACAAGAACGAGTTACCTGGTCTGACAAAGATTAGTGTTCTACTCGAACGGTTGATTTATGATGCATAACGGTATATTCTGCAGAGATCATCAAGCATCTTCAAGGTGACCCAAACTTCCTTCCCCAGTTGTATCCGGCCATAGGGGAGAGCCTGCACTCGTCCTTACAACACATCTTTGCTAACAGAGCTACTGAATATGAGAAGATGGTAATAGGTTATTTGTGTTTACTTCTTGTGATGTGTAAAGATGGATGGTGTAAGACAATTATAAGTGAGTGAGTTGAATTTAACGTGGCTTTGAACAGTGTCCCAGTTACATCACGGCGTGTCAGCTTGATGTGGGAGGAAAGCCCAAAGTGATGCTGGTCTTAGACGTTTACCACTGGGTGAATCCAACGAGTATGGTGCTGACAAACCTTGAAACGTAATTTTTTGGCCAACCTGGATTCGAACCAACGATTATTGGTTTCTGGCACCCCAGGGAACGCAACTCTGCTCAGCGATCGTATTTGCTAAGGAGGAACCTAACATAAACTAACGAAGAAAAGAAAGTATACACTCATGTTTCATAGTGAATAAAAATGACACAAACAAGAAATGTTTTTTTTCGATGTTGATGTATTTCATACAGGTGTCATAGCTAGGCTGTGGACCTTACGTTTGCATATAGAATGTTCAAGTGCATACTTTCCTTTGCATGGCAGTTTATGTTCTATATTGATATATTTCTACGTCAGTGCAGTCAGAAGGCTTAACATTTTCACCGATATTGACCAGGTAAAGGAAACATGTAACAAGAGGATCACTTTGGTTGTAAACATCAAATCTGGAGTAGCTGTCTAAACGAAACTAAGAGGATATTTCTAAAACTTCCCAAAACCTTTAACATGGATACCCCTAATGCTTCTTTGAGAATTATTCTAAATGATATTCAAAATTGATAGTTTCATCATTTTGCAATATCTGCCATACAAGAGTTAGGTGTTCGTGTGAGTACCAGAAATATTTCATTTGGTGTCCTATTCTATCTTTTGCCTTTAGGACGGAAAGGCCCATCGTGCAAATAGGGTTAGTATCCGGCCCATCTTCCCGAGACAAGGACGTTAACGGACTATAAGACTGGACTTTCATAGTCAGTTAACGCTTTTGCCTCGGGAAGATGTATCGTATTACCTCCATGAACTCCTCATGTATATTTCAGCATGGGAAGACGTACGTCCAGTCAATCCAAATGATAGCATCTGCCATCTGTGATGTCTTCAATCACAGCACCAATGTCAGCTTCAGAAATGACATGAGCCATTTATTACAGGTGCGTGTGGGAAGTTGCTTCAACCAATAACAGAACTATATGTACAGTAACTGAGTGTTCAACAATAACACTACGTTTCTCCAGATGGCCGCAAGTACTTATTCATTGCATGTCATTCAAAGGCGCTCGGGAAGCAACTGGAAGGGTAGTCGCCCAAGGAACAACTACCACTACATGTTTTTATATAAGGGTAGTCCACTTCGTAAACAAAAACAAATGTGTTTCGTCAAAATATGTATTCAGGATACGATTTCATGAGATAAATATATACAGCAAGCAGTGTTTTTCAGATGTATATTTCGGCGAGCATATATAGTCGAGTACCACACCTTTACCTTGGCTATAAAATAGCTAGACCACGACTATTTCACGGACTGTATAACTTCAACTATAGCTCGGCTGTGCCACGGCAATATCAGCCGTATCACACCTTCACATAAGCTACCTGTTGTTCAGCATTCGTCTGATAGAAGACATAACAAATGAAAATTATTGATTTTATTTCCAATATCAGGTTGACACGAGGCAGACACTGGAAAATGCTCTCAAGGCGCGACTACTGGAAATAGCCCATGTGTCTGATGCTGAGATCCTGGAGGTAGGATACAACCTAACAGTTGCTCGATTCCTTGAATCAGTTAGAAATAGGCACTGTTGCTCACGTGGTACATTCAGAATACGCTAAGTATATGCAGTGACATGTGCAGATGTTTAGAAATGGACATGTTGGTGCTATGTTGACCGTAGATGTTATTCATCTTGTTGGTTGTGTAATGTGGTTATGATATGAGTGAGAGAAGTTAGTTAAACAGTCAGCAAGATTTCACCTATATGAGGGCAGTTCTGACAAGTATTTGATATTACGAGAGGTGGTTGTTGTTTGTTTGTTTGTTGTTAAACGCTGCACTCAGCAATATTGCAGCTATATGACGGCAGTCTGTGAATAATCGAGTCTGGACCAGACAATCCAGTGACTGACATCATGACCATCGATCTAGGCAGTTACGATACGATGACATGCATCAACCAAGTCAGCGAGCCTGATCACCCGATCCTGGTAGTCTCCTCTTACGACAAGCATAGTCGCCTCTTACAGCAAGTGTGGGTTGCTGAAGACCTATTCTCTACCCAGATCTCAAGTGGTGGCTGAAAAGTTTTGAGCCTAATTATGATAGGATGTTTTGATGGAGTTGGTTGCTAATTATTTTTCACCATAATCCCCTACACGATCCACACACTTCTGCCAGTGATGCCAGTGCCTGGATCCCTCTCGTGTAGAAGCCCCACACAGCAGAAATGAGGTCATTATCATTTGCATAAATTAAAAATAATGCTTGCCAGACAGATCTTTCTTCAAGTTGGGGAAGAGATGGGAATCTGACGGTGACAAATCTGGTGCATACGAGAGTTTAAAGCCACAGACATGCATTGCAACCATGGCTACAACATGTGCACCAGTGCATTGCATGACACCCAATCAAGCATTTCACTGAGCCTGACCACTTTAGTCGCCTCTTACAAGCACAGGTTATGTGGAGTCTATTTTTCAGAAAACAGATACTCATTATTTAGAACCAGTAAAACATGAATTTTAAGTTGATGCAAATGTACTAAAAGCAACACTGTCTTGTCTTTTACAATGCCAAGTGCTTTAAGAATTCTTGGTTCTTGTGTAGACCGAGACTGGTGATGCAGACACAGACATAGATGAATGGGGAGAGGCCACGCATCCCAGGCGTGCCCACACTGCAGGTTCTACAGGGGACAACGAGGACACCGCACACTCCATAGCAACCTCACAGGTATCTGGCAGTCTGATCACATGGTATTAGATCTCACACTATTTAGTTTAGTCTTTCTCACCAGCAGTTAACTGTAAGCAAGAAGTAGTGAGTGAGTGAGTATGGTTTTACGCCGCTTTTAACAATATTCCAGCAATATCATGGCGGGGGACACCAGAAATGGGCTTCACACATTGTACCCATGTCGGGAATCGAACCCGGGTCTTCGGCGTGACGAGCGAATGCTTTAACCACTAGACTACCCGACCGCCCCAAAGCAAGAAGTATGTTATGAATCGACCACAAGCATCATGCCCGACACTATAGTGTACGATAGCATCATTGAATGTGCATAGTCCTACATGGGTGTGGCTAAAGACGTCAAGCCAGACTGACCACTGGGCCTACCTAAGCTTTGGTAAACTCATCCCTTGATTTTGAGGTGAGGTGAAATGGGGTTGAAGGTTCCGTTAAAGATTATTGTACTGATGTAGCGACATGCATGTGTGTGTCTGATTGTACTAGTTTGGACTAATGCTGCTTTTATAGTGCTAGTGCCCTGAGATACCATGTCCCAGTTTAAGATGGATACTCCACTCAGACACATTATACAGACTCGGTCCTTGTTTTATCCCCTGAATGCTGAACACCAGGCAGGGTAACAACAAGTACCATCTTTTAACGTCTGGGATCGGACCACCGATTTTTCGCTCTCAGGGCAGTCACTTTATCCACTAGACCATGGAAGCGTCTCTTCCTTGCTTTTTTTAACTTAGCCTTTTCTAATGTCCACCCGGTCTTCTATTATCTGCAAATGTGTACTTGTGAGACCTGAAGTTGAAAAAGCTTATTCCAGGTTCTGTGGAATGTGTTTTCAAGACAGCAAGTAAACCTTGCCACAAATATGCTGCAGGAACCAGATGACTTTGATGAAGACATTCATTCGAGGTCATATCGTTTACATGGCAACAGTTTACGAACAGAGACCCAGCAAGATTTGTCCTCAAGTGAAAGGGCAAGGCAGGGATCACCTGGTGTGATAAGTGTGGACTCAGATTTGGAGATGAGTTTGAATATTCAGGATATTGATAATTTTGAAGATGACACTGGATCAAGGTCTCTCCCAAGCAGAACTCTGGATACCAATCAGGTCTTGGTGCAAGAACCCCATTTTTACCCAGGTAAGATAAACCCAGGTGAACACATTTAAATGTAAACGCAAAACTCCAAATAGATGACCTTGATATTTCATTTGAATATGTAAAATATAGAAAAATGCATCTCTGCTTTAGTGAACCAAAGGGAGGATGATGATCTGGTTGTTCCCCCGATTTCCCCCGCCACGTTCTCAGACGCTGGTAGACCACACCATCAGCAGCAATCAGTAAGAGAAAGCATGATTTGAAACGTAACTAACATCCTTGAGAGAGTGAGTGTGTGAGTATTGCTTTACGCCGCGTTTAGTAATATTCAAGCAATATCACAGGGGGGTAACCAGAAATGTTTCACACATCATAGTCATGTTGGGGAATCATACCCTGGTCTTCGGAGTGACGAGCGAACGCTTTAACCCGACCCGACCGCCCCTGCAGTGTAAGTATACATTTTCTGTTGGGTGTAGTGCAAGGTAACTGACGTTTCTTTTATTCAAGAAACATTGTCACATTAATCTTTTATGGATTATCAGAAAACTGTTGATGAACAAATCTGTAGACAACAGTCTACGTGAGATTCCAGTTCCGTGTAGGTCTACATGAAGGACTGGATGGTAACAATGTGCTGTACTGATGGGGAGTCATTGTACCCTGTAAATGTTGTTCATGCCATCAAGTATTGGTCTGTCATGCCTTGTTTATACAGGCAGCCTGCTATAGCAGGGATATTCCTGACTGTGTCACAACAGAACATTCACTTTAATCCTGAAGACAAAACAAAAGACAAATGATGACAAAAATAAGGATATTGTATATGAGAATACAGCTTACTTTGTTCCAGGTAGATGACTGGTTGAATGAAGTAATGCTGGATGTTGCAGACTGGCTCTGACTAAATCAGATACACTGAAATTGTATGTTGTAATGTAAGACTGTACAGTTTGGTTTGCTGGCAAAATATCTGTGGTTAAGTTATACTTATATGTACTTATATCAATGACATTGATATAATCGTATAGTGATGGTTTATCATTTTCAAGTTGAAATAAAATGTGAGTTATTTTCCTGCCTTGTTCGGCCCCGTGAAATGGCTGTTGGGGTTACCCCTGTTGAGCTCCGTTCTGTCTGATGTAGTGTGTGTGGCACGGATCACGCCTTCCTTCCTTCCATCCTTCCACTGGCTTCATCTCCTCCCACACTGGCGAGTGAATCAGTTAGGTTGATGCCGCTTTGAACAACAGTTTTTTGTAGTCACAGGTTGCCAAGTTAATGTGGGAGGAAAAGCCATGCAGGCTTCAACACACCTCCTTGCTGAAATATATTTACACTGGTATGGAACCCTACAAACACTGCTCACCTAGAATCATAGCCGAGGCGAAACCTGGAACTGTGCACAGTGAATTGCATTGCATGACTGCATTAAATAAAATATTCTCCGAAAAATATCATTTCATGACCCCAAATTACAAACCTGTCACAGATTTCCTAGCAGAAGTATACCTTGCAAAATAACCTTTGATAATATTGTTTTATCATGCTTTAATAAACAATGACTGAGTTCATATAGTAGGGGCACAATCAGATCTGATCAGTGTTGATGTGACAAAAATACAACAAAATACCACTCACAAAGTCTTTACAATTCCGCCTTTACCCTGCTAACAAATCAAATATACGGCAATCTGAAAGTACTTTCGGGAAAAGCAAGGGAGATAACTCTGTTAGTCATGACAAGTTTCAAATACACAGTTGAACTCCCATGCCTCGAACTCTTGGGGGATGAGAGAAATAGTTTACCACATCCAACTCGACCTTTTTAAGGTCTGATCTATCCATCAGACAACAGTAAGCAAATGTTCACATGGTCCCCAGTGCTTCCTGGTTGAAAGTGTTACTGCTATCAATAAGTTACTGACTTAGTGCATTGCCCAGTCAAGTCACCTACTTATGGGAGCAAGTCAGCTGTTTCCTGTCTTTGATGTTTCAAGTCATATTATGTTTTGGTCCAATCTTTATTTATGCTTTATTTATGTTTGGGTCATTTATACTTGATACAATCTGAAAGTCGTGCTAATTTGCATTCTGAGTTTGACTTATCAGTGAAAGTTGTACCTTATGTTTACTCTCGGGGCTATAAATTGAGTTTGAGACAACCAGGAATTTGACACATCCAGTTAAACACATCTGGTCAAAATAGTGACAGATATGGTAAGGGGTACTGAGACTCAGCTGTGAGTTTTACACAACGCCCCCAAACTTATTATTTTAAGATGTTATTTTTCAGCATTGCCTGGAACAATTGTTTGTTTTAATAAGAATCCCTGGCTCAACCCCTCAGTAGTCATGTATGCAAGTGACAATTACTCAAATATCTCCAAAACGAAAACAAAATAGTTTTTTCTCTTATGACAATGTGCATGGCAGAAAACACAACAGTCAATTTGTATGAATGTTTATCCATCAATAACAAAACAAGGAGGTACATGAGCGTTGGCCACCATGTTGTGGTGGTGATGCTGCTGCTGTGTTAATGCAGCCATCCTGTACCAGCTCTCTTCATCTTCAGGGACGACTGGAGGGCTTGTATTCTATCATCTATATCTTGCAAACTCATTTCCTGAAAATATCCAAACAGATCATCATATTTGATTATAATCTCATTAAAATCAGATCTACTACTCCGATATGACACCTGTGTGAATATCTTCAAGGTCAGATCCTATGCACCCTTCAACTAGTTTGGGCAGTCACAGTTCAGTGAGGGTGACGTGACCTCCAGTGGGTGTCCTCAGATTGTCACACAGAGGTATCATATCGGAGTAAAAGACCTGAGTTAATGAGGAGGAGTTTATTATTTCAATGATCTGTGATTGTAGTGACTATAGTAATTATAACACTCAGCCAGAACTACACAGATAAACAAGACTGTGTGTATACAGAAGACAAGAAAACTTGAGAGTATGTGTTGCACTATGAACCACATTGGAGATTTACGGCAATATCAGTGGCATTCCGAAGCAATGCAGTCAGGCTTCACTTATCATTGGTTCTGGAGTTCAGCATATTTGTATTATATTAAATTTTATTTCAAATGGTTTTGGTACAGATACTTGTAGCTTGATTGATCAAAGTACTAGAGTTCATATCAAAATGTGGTATTGCTTGCTTTATGAAGGAACTAGTATCTAACCAAACGCTGCATTGAAGAAAACATAAGTCAATCGAGAAGTCAATCCTAATCCTGTCTAAGTCTTACTACCATTCATCTTTCACCTCCAAAATGGTCTGAATTATAACAAAGCTTTAAGTCAAATTTGAACTTTTCATTAGGTACACAAATTGCACTGACTCCATTGAAAAGGTGTAGAAGCCATCAGTAGTTGTTGCACCAAGGCCTACCTGAAGCGGGTCTTTCTCCATAGCAGGGGCTTCTACTTTCTGTCTTTTTGGCCCTGGCTGTGTGTGATAAACACCAGGGATTAATCATATACCAGCTATGTGGGTTTATATAATTGTAGTGGGCTGTGTGTGGAATTATCGGATCCAAAACATCCAATGGGTTAGTAGCTAGGCCAGGGCGTACATCACTGCACATGTATACTACAATAAGTATGAATCATGACATTCAAATAAAATCTCACTTTGTCTACTTGGTTACTCAAACTTATGATGTATATAAATCTATCAGTTACTGATTATTCTAACGTTACTAACACAGTGACACTGCCTCACCATCCAGAGTGACCCTAGATCTCTCTACGCTCCGTAACCTAACTGTAAACACAGAACTGTTCCTGCCAGTTCTGGAATAATATGTAATGCATCCTCATAACACTGTATAAAGAACTTGGGTCATTAGTGGATAGGTTAAAAGAGACTTACAACATTTTGAAAATATTCTGGAGACAATCCTTCAAGGAATAATATTCTGTCTTCCAGTGCTTTCAGTCTGTTGTAAACATCCGACTTGGATCCATCTAAATAATTAAAATATAGTGAAAGAGATATACAGTATAACATTCCATCGAAATAACTAACTACTCAATTGTACAACTGTACAATTATCATGAATATTCAATGCCTTTTAGAAAGTGGTCAAATGTGAAAATGTTATACTTGGGATTACACTTTCTTAATAGTAAAGTACAAATTCTATTACTTTTGGTCACATCCAAGATTCGAACCCACACTTCTTAGATTAAGGCATCTAACTGCCAGCACACAAAGTCACATCTTCCTGACGCAAGGAAGCTAACTGACAATGAAAGTCCAGTTTTCACCCTTGCCAAACTACGCTGGCATTATGGAGTTTTATTTCGGCTGGAGTCCATGCATAGTCATATCAAGCTTGTGAAACAAAATTGCATCCGGTTCATAAACAACAGGAGAGAGACAGAGCTCATAACAGCCACTAGTGGCGCTATGATTGTAGGCTAGCGCTGACTTTGTTGATGCATGTCATCGATCCGAATTGTGTGGATCGATGCTCATGATGTCATTCACAGGATTGTCTGACCCAGACTTGATTATTTACAGACCGCCGTCATATACTGGAATATTGCTGAGTGTGGCGTTAAACAACAAACAAATGATTGAGCCACAAAATTCCAGCCTAGTTTGGCAAAGGTGGGAACTGGACTTTTACTGGAGTCAGTTTACTCCCTTGTCTCGGGAAGATGGCCAAGTCACTGAGCGAACTCACACAGCCAGCGATGCTTCCACAAATATGGGAAACGATTAAATTGGCTCCCATGGCCGAAAGCTATGAATACACAATGCCTATTAGAAAATGGTCAAATGTAACAAAGTATATGATCATAAGTACCAGTTGCCAGACATCAGTTCTTGTGGAAGTGTTGGTGTACTATTAAGGAGGTGTAATCCCAAATATAACAAGTAGTGCAGTTATCAGTGATAACAGATAGAACTGCATGCAATAATAAATTAACTAATTAATTATTACTACCTGTTGACGGTAAATTTAAGTGAGCTTCAACATTCTTTATCCTTTCATCAAGGCCACATGACTGGGACTTCAGGTTCACATCCAGTCTGTGTCGGGGTCCTTCTGGCCTTAGTCTTGTCTGTGGTCCATATGGATTGACAACTCGAGATATCTTGATGTGACTCTTGCACCCTGCACGTGGCACAAACACAGCATCCGTCCTGGCACAAGAAGACTCAACCTCTACAATACAGGAAGACAAGGAAAAAACTGACGATAGATGCCATTGTATGTTTGTTGCTTAATGATGCACTCGGCAATATTCACTCTACATGAGAGCGTTTTGTAAATAATCAAGACAATCTGGTAACTGACATCATGAGCATCGATCTTCGCAATTGGGATGCCATGACATGCATCAAGCAAGTCAGTGAGTCAACTACCCTCTTCCCTAAGTCGTCTCTTACAACAAGCATGGGTTGCTGATTACCAATTGTAGCCGGAATTTTCATGGGTTCACGGGATGCCATTGAGAATATTTAGTCCATCTTACATCACACTGTGAAGAATTATTTTACATAGCATGAAGGTGTATAATGCACATGAACAACTGGTGTGTAGAGGAACAATATATGAAGGGCACAATACCTAGCATGACACACTATCCTGAACAGATCAGGGGAGACAAGCGAATCTGACCACTGTTGATTGTTGAACACAATCAACATCATAACATTTTGTAATGGATTCGTTAGCATGTTTTCTGAGAGTCGGATGTTGCATGAAAGGACAACTTTGAATGGCTGACCTGTCTCAAAGCGGATGACACTACAGAACTCCCGGTTATTCTGCTGGTTCACCTCGCTCTGCTTCTTCTCGATGAACGCACACATCCTCCTCTCAACCTGGGCTCAACAGAAGGACACACTCAGCTTATTAACAGCTGTACAGGGAGACTCCCTGCTCATGAACAGCTGTACAGTGAGACTCCCTGCTCATCAACAGCTGTACAGTGAGACTCCCTGCTCATCAACAGCTGTACAGTGAGACTCCCTGCTCATCAACAGCTGTACAGTGAGACTCCCTGCTCATCAACAGCTGTACAGGGAGACTCCCTGCTCATGAACAGCTGTACAGTGAGACTCCCTGCTCATAAACAGCTGTACAGGGAGACTCCCTGCTCATCAACAGCTGTACAGGGAGACTCCCTGCTCATCAACACCTGTACCTGCTCATCAACTTCTTAAGAAGTAGACACAAACGCTGTGTTAGATATAAAATGTATTCACCATGTTCACCTGATGAAGGGGCAAGAAGTAGCTCTGAAACGCCGCACAGAGAATTAAAGAAGTTGCTATCCATAAAAAAGTGTCATGTATTCATATAAAATGTGTTTGCTAAAAAACATTTGCATCTATTTATAAGACATCTGTCCTTGGGAATAATCCGTATTATGTTTAAATCAGAAAGTCAGAGTCATATTAAGTGATTACAGAGTGAAACCACATGAAACAGATGGCGACAATATTGAAGTGCAGAACACAAACTTCTGCCCTGGATGCCTTGATCTGCACATTAAGGGGGCTGATCGTTGTTACATTTACAGACAGTACGTCAGTCTTTCTACATTCACTCTTTGACAGAGGGACTGATTCTGACATATCCGAGCCAGTGCCTGTAACCATGGAAACAACAGGTGGATCTGTAAGTGTAGTTCCTGCAGCAGGATCCGACACTAGAACTGGACTTTCCAAGGTTGCTGTTCCTCGTGAGACTTCTATTTCCATGTCTTTGTTTGCCTCCTCTGTTCTATCTTCTTTATCCTGCTTTATCTTGTTTGCGAGTTGTACATGGAGTGTCTGAAAATGAAGTCAAACTTAAAAGAGGTATCAATTCAATGCTTTGTAAAACCTTGTGCGACAATATGAGTGTTGCACCATATGGTAAATATTGATAGGAGCCAATAACTGACAACTTTGAATGATCATCATTTACATTGCATAGCGTCCTCAGGCCATTGGTTTCACTCAAGCATGTATATAATGTAACTTTTGTTTAAGTCGAGTCAGTCATTTCAGTGATGGAACATTATATATAAAGATCGTACATATAAGTGAGTATGGTTTAATACTGTTTTGAACATCCAAACATGTCAGGTTGACGCAAGAGAAAAACCTGAAGTGATGCTGGTCTTTGACATCTACTACTTTGGTAAACCCATGAGCCTGTTGCCAAAAACCAAGAAACAGAAAAACCTGGACGCAGAATCATGGGATATTGTTTTATTTCAATCTGTGGTCAATTGACAGTCACTCATACAAATGACTCCATCTCAGGTAGTGTCACCTGTACATGTCATGGACAGCCTCCGTGGTCTGGTGGTAGAGAGTCTGCCAGGTCTGTCATGGACTGCCTCCGTGGTCTGGTGGTAGAGAGTCCGCCAGGTCTGTCATGGACTGCCTCCGTGGTCTGGTGGTAGAGAGTCCGCCAGGTCTGTCATGGACTGCCTCCGTGGTCTGGTGGTAGAGAGTCTGCCAGGTCTGTCATGGACCGCCTCCGTGGTCTGGTGGTAGAGAGTCTGCCAGGTCTGTCATGGACTGCCTCCGTGGTCTGGTGGTAGAGAGTCTGCCAGGTCTGTCATGGACTGCCTCCGTGGTCTAGTAGTAGAGAGTCCGCCAGGTCTGTCATGGACTGCCTCCGTGGTCTGGTGGTAGAGAGTCTGCCAGGTCTGTCATGGACTGCCTCCGTGGTGTGGTGGTAGAGAGTCTGCCAGGTCTGTCATGGACTGCCTCCGTGGTCTGGTGGTAGAGAGTCCGCCAGGAGAGCTGAAGGTCCGGCATTTGATCCCCGGCTACGTCATATCAAAGATGTTAAAAGGTGGTACTTGTTACCCTCCCTGGCGCTCAAATTTAAGGGGCTAAAACAAGGACTGGTCGGCTCGGAGTCAGTATACTGTGTCTGAGTGGGGTATTCAAATTAAACTACAGCATGGTATCTTAGTATCAGTCCGTACTAGAGCAAGCACGCATGTGCACACGCACACACACACACACATACACACATGCATGCACATCACTATATCACATGATATAAGTGCAATAATCTTGGATGCGACATTAAAACCCAATTCACCTCACATCCACGTCTTGATCATGTTATTTGTGGTACACAATATACATGTGAATAGAAATGATTCTCAACTTCAACCAGCCCACCAGCTCTACCCTGTCCTGCAGAGTTTGTGTACAGAGCCTTTGATGATCAAGACCTTGTCGAACATGTAAGCAATACCTGCAACTGGCCCACGAGCTTCCCCACAGACTGCAGTACATCCTCCACGGACAAGCGTGGGTCTCGGGACACCTTCAACAAACTCTTCAAGTCAAAGTCATCACTGACGTCAGGCTGGAAGCAGAAAGGGTAACGTTCTGTCAACCACTTGTGGTAAATAGCACAGCGTTAGAAATTGGCACTAGTCCTATAGTCCTTGCCAAACTGGTAAAGCTATCATAAGGACTTGTAGAAATTTGCCCTTTTTAAGGGTTTTGCTATATGTTATCATTATAAGGACTAGTGGACGAAAACTGTTAGTTTCTAACCCTGTAGCATGGACTTTTATATCGCGTGGTCTTAGAGAGATACTACCAGCTGTAAATAGTGGCCCAATGTTCACGATATATGAAGGCAATATACCAAAAAGAGAGTAAAATCAGTGTCGATATATATTTGTAACAGTATAATGAAAGATGTATTACGAGAGCTACTCAGCTAGTGTTACTGTTGGGGCAAAGAGGTAAATTGTAGCTGATGTTTACAGATTTCTTACATCTGTCATTAAAACGATCACCGTATCAAAGACAATTTACAAACTAAACTGCCTCATTCACATAACGTTTCACTTTCAAACCTGCAGCACTGTCTTTAAAAACACAGACAAACACTCAAGAACTTCTGTCAGGCTACCCATCTTGAAAACTCTAAGGGAGGTAACTCTTCCCAACTCTTGCTTAGATGACGACCACACTACGAAACGAGGGTGCGACAAAACCATTCAACAGATATGTTTACCGATCAGCATAAAGTCGTATTCATTAGGGCTGGGAAAGGTAACTCGGGTTAACTACGGCCTTGCACTTTGTATTAGTAAAATATTTTCATCATCATATCAGATTATAATTTGCAAATTAATTCACATTGTATTGTCTTCATGGTAAAAATATTCAGTTTTCTTTCTTTCATCACTCATCATCAGAATCATTATTGTTTAATCGATATTATTTTTAACAGTATTGCCATGGTTACTGCTGCCAGAGTTTTTACAGCTACGTGAGTATAGTCTAGTCTCATCCTCTCTATTTCAACACTGTTTAGGATCCACAGGCCTACAGCACAATGTATATACACTGTTCAGTAATAGACTGCCTCATGTTACATAAATTTCTTTTGTACAGATGTACATGATACAAATAAACCAGAGCGCATTTGGACACGGGGCACATTGAGAGACGGGGCAAATTGAGAAACGGGGCAAATTGAGAGACAGGGCGCATTTAGAGACAGGGCACATTGAGAGACAGGGCGCATTGAGAAACGCGGCACATTGAGAGACGGGGCACATTGAGAAACGCGGCACATTGAGAAACGCGGCACATTGAGAGACAGGGCGCATTGAGAAACGCGGCACATTGAGAAACGCGGCACATTGAGAGACGGGGCACATTGAGAGACAGGGCGCATTGAGAAACGCGGCACATTGAGAGACGGGGCACATTGAGAACAGGGCGCATTGAGAAACGCGGCACATTGAGAAACGCGGCACATTGAGAGACGGGGCACATTGAGAGACGGGGCACATTGAGAAACGCGGCACATTGAGAGACGGGGCACATTGAGAAACGCGGCACATTGAGAAACGCGGCACATTGAGAGACAGGGCGCATTGAGAAACGCGGCACATTGAGAAACGCGGCACATTGAGAGACGGGGCACATTGAGAGACGGGGCACATTGAGAAACGCGGCACATTGAGAGACGGGGCACATTGAGAAACGCGGCACATTGAGAGACAGGGCGCATTGAGAAACGCGGCACATTGAGAAACGCGGCACATTGAGAGACGGGGCACATTGAGGGACAGGGCACATTGAGAGACATGGCGCATTGAGAGACAGGGCGCATTGAGAGACGGGGCACATTGGGATACAGGGCACATTGAGAAACGGGGCACATTGAGAGACGGGGCGCATTGAGAGACGGGGCACATTGGGAGACGGGGCATATTGAGAGACGGGGCGCATTGAGAGACGGGGCGCATTGAGAAACGGGGCACATTGAGAAACGGGGCACATTGAGAAACGGGGCGCATTGAGAGACGGGGCGCATTGAGAGACATGGCGCATTGAGAGACAGGGCGCATTGAGATTCAGGGCACATTGAGAAAACGGGCACATTGAGAGACATGGCGCATTGAGAGACAGGGCGCATTGAGAGACGGGGCACATTGAGAGACGGGGCACATTGGGAGACGGGGCTCATTGAGAGACAGGGCGCATTAAGAGACAGGGCGCATTGAGAGACGGGGCACATTGGGAGACAGGGCGCATTGAGAAACGGGGCACATTGAGAGACGGGGCACATTGAGAAACGGGGCACATTGAGAGACGGAGCACATTGAGAAACGGGGCACATTGGGAGACGGGGCACATTGAGAGACGGGGCACATTGAGAAACGGGGCACATTGAGAAACGGGGCACATTGAGAAATGGGGCGCATTGAGAAACGGGGCGCATTGAGAAACGGGGCACATTGAGAGACGGGGCACATTCAGAAACGGGGCACATTGAGAGATGGGGCACATTGAGAGACGGGGCACAATGAGAAACGGGGCACATTGAGAAACGGGGCACATTGAGAGACAGGGCGCATTGAGAAACGGGGCACATTGGGAGACGGGGCACATTGAGAGACGGGGCGCATTGAGAGACAGGGCGCATTGAGAAACGGGGCACATTGAGAGACGGGGCACATTGAGAGACTGGGCGCATTGAGAGACGGGGCACATTGAGAGACAGGGCGCATTGAGAAACGGGGCACATTGAGAGACGGGGCACATTGAGAGACTGGGCACATTGAGAGACGGAGCACATTGAGAGACTGGGCACATTGAGAGACGGGGCACATTGGGAGACGGGGCGCATTGAGAAACGGGGCACATTGAGAGACGGGGCACATTGAGAAACGGGGCACATTGAGAGACGGAGCACATTGAGAAACGGGGCACATTGGGAGACGGGGCACATTGAGAGACGGGGCACATTGAGAAACGGGGCACATTGAGAAATGGGGCGCATTGAGAAACGGGGCGCATTGAGAAACAGGGCACATTGAGAGACGGAGGACATTCAGAAACGGGGCACATTGAGAGACGGGGCACATTGAGAAACGGGGCACATTGAGAAACGGGGCACATTGAGAGACGGGGCACATTGAGAGACAGGGCGCATTGAGAAACGGGGCACATTGGGAGACGGGGCACATTGAGAGACGGGGCGCATTGAGAGACAGGGCGCATTGAGAAACGGGGCACATTGAGAGACGGGGCACATTGAGAGACTGGGCACATTGAGAGACGGAGCACATTGAGAGACAGGGCGCATTGAGAGACGGAGCACATTGAGAGACAGGGCACATTGAGAGACTGAGCACATTGAGAGACGTGACGTGGTCAACAAGCAGTGAAATAGAAGCATCAAATAACAAGAATGGTCCCTGGGGCACATTGGGGCGGCAGTGATGCGGCCGGTTGGGACACTGTCCGAATGTGCCCCACATTGATTGAATGAATTAAATTGACAAAATTGTGAATTGTTCATGTAGATAAACGTTGCAATTGTTAAGAAACCTGATGCTAATCTCAAACAAATCTATAGTTTCAGAATCCAGGGAACAGATTTTGGACCTGCTTGAAGACTTTGGTAGTCCTGGAAAAGGGTTCCTCGCAAACTGACGGATATTGTTCTCCACGCATCCTTATAATCTATAGACTTTTCCTACACTAACATTACAGACAAGGAAACTGGTCGGGGGAGACCTAGTCACCACGGTTTTCATTCCACAGCAAGTACTTGACACTGACAGAATCATTTTAGATTGGGAGGAGATTTCTGTTATTCTAGAAAAGGCAGCCAAGCTTACGTCTCTGTATGCTCCATATTCTGTTTTGACTGACTACAGTCTTTGTGAACTTGCATATAACATGGTTTTGTTTTTGTTTGTTTGTTGTTTGAGGCCGCACTCAGCAATCTGGACCAGACAATCCAGTGATTGATATCATGAGCATCGATCCACGCAATTGGAATACGATGACATGCATCAACCAAGTCAGCGAGCCTGACCACCCGAACCCATTAGTCGCTTCTTACGACTAGCATAGTCGCCTTTTACGGCAAGCATGGGTTGCTGAAGACCTATTCTACCCCGGATCTTCACGGGTCTCATATCTCATAACAGACTTCATATCTCTGTTGTGGGAAGCTCTGTTTCTGATCAAAGTATCAGATGCTTTAACGCGTCATGTAAACTACCTGGTTTTATCATCTCAATTAATTAAAAATGTTCGAAACAGGAAAAGAAAAAATGAGAACCAGGTAGAGACGTCAGGTGAGACAACAAAGGAGGGGTTCGTCTTGGCAGTTTTAATCACAGGTATGAATTTCACATGAATGGTATTACTTTTGTGTTTTCATATGCCACAAACCAATGGAATATGTGATATGTCCCTATCAGCCCACCCCTTGACCCTGTGAACCCAGGCTGGGGTAGGTTGGGATATAAAATTAAGGATTTCAATTCTTCAGTATCTCAGGTTTTTGTTGCATTTATTCGCTTTGCAAAAGATAACATTAAAGATTCTCATGAACACTGCGTCTAGTACTTAATTCAAATATAAAAATATGTCAATCTTTGATAAAGTTCTAATACACTAATTTTAGTGAGTGAGTATGGTTTTACGCCGCTTTTAGCAATATTCCAGCAATATCACGGCGGGGGGACACCAGAAATGGGCTTCACACATTGTACCCATTTCGGGAATCGAACCCGGGTCTTCGGCGTGACGAGCGAACGCTTTAACCACTAGGCTACCCGACCGCCCCCACTAATTTTAATAAACATGTCCATGTTTGGGAGACAGGGGCACAGCATGTTTATTAACAGAGAGAGAGAGAGAGAGAGAGAGAGAGAGAGAGAGAGAGAGAGAGAGAGAGAGAGAGAGAGAGAGGGCGGTGTGGGGGTAGCCTAGTGGTTACGCCGAAGACCCGGGTTCGATTCCCGACATGGGTACAATGTGTGAAGCCCATTTCTGGTGTCCCCCGCTAGAATATTGCTAGGATATTGCTAAAAGCGGCGTAAAACTAAACTCATTCACTCACTGAGAATAGAGAAGACATACAAGCAGAACATGATACTCATCTTCAACTCTATCGAGGGTACACAATGAACACGTTCTCGTTCTCCTTGTCATATCAGTATACCGTCCGAAAAGCTCAGTTGAGGAACATCCTGACTTTGACAGAGCATGTGTAAGTGTGCATAACATCGAACAGATACTGCTCTGCGTAACTATCCTCTATGTTGACATGTCAATATGCAGAACCTGTCAATAAACTAAACAATGCGGGTGAAATACGCAAGTATCTCATTCCCTCATTAAATTTTAACTTTACAAAAAATAATCCTAACCAATAGTCTCTCTGACACATGTATGTGGTCTGTTTATAGATGCATAGTTGTAGATGCGTCACACACTGTATGCCGGCGTCCAGCTGTGGGGGTGATGTCAGTGTGGGAGACGTTTGATGTACTTCGCAGAACGCTGTCACGTATGACTCGGTGGAGAGGAAACAACAGTCGTTTCCTCCTTGCCATGTTTAGAACTAAACATGCCGACATGCCCCTACTGTGATACTGCACGGATATGAATCTCGGTGATAAAATTTAATCTGAAACACAGTTTCCTTTGAGTATGAAATATTTGCGTCAACATCTCTTATGCACACAACTTTCAGCATTACCGTATATCCTCTAATACACGCGACATGGTTATATACACAAGTTTCAGACAAACGCCGAGTGTTTAAACCGACATGGAGACAATGAGTCGGCCAGGTCACACACTGTAACAGCCCGATCTCCTGATGTGTCGGGAGTGTGGTAAATAGTCAAGTCTGGACTAGATGGAACCCTGTGGAGTTTATTAACGTATATCAAAGACATGCTACAATACATTCATTTTACATGGAGATTGTGCGTACTAACAGGATGCCTTCTGACATACACCACAGGAAAACACCATCTTCATTAAGATCTGCACACGCATTCCCCACATAGCAGACATAACAAGAATAAATATAGTTTTACGGTGCATATGACACTATTCCAGCACTATCCATCAATATTCCAGCACTATCCATCTATATTCCAGCACTATCCATCAATATTCCAGAACTATTCCAGCACTATCCATCAATATTCCAATACTATTCATCAATATTCCAATACTATTCATCAATATTCCAGCACTATTCATCAATATTCCAGCAGTATCCATCAATATTCCAGCACTATCCATCAATATTCCAGAACTATTCCAGCACTATCCATCAATATTCCAGTACTATCCATCAATATTCCAGCACTATCCATCAATATTCTAGTACTATTCCAGCACTATCCATCAATATTCCAGTGCTATCCATCAATATTCCAGTGCTTTTCATCAATATTCAAGCACTATTCATCAATATTCCAGTACTATTTCAGCACTATCCATCAATATTCCAGAACTATTTCAGCTCAATCCATCAATATCCCAGTACTATTCATCAATATTCCAGTACTATTCATCAATATTCCAGTACCATCCATCAATATTCCAGTACTATCCATCAATATTCCAGTACTATTCATCAATATTCAAGCAGCATTACAATACGTAACCAGCACCATTACAAAAAATCCAAAATTATTCCAGCACTTCCCAACAGTATTCTAGCAATAGTCCAGCAGTTTTCCACAATATTCCAGCAGTTTTCCCGCAGTATTCCACAATATCCCAGCAGTTTTCCCGCAGTATTCCACAATATTCCAGCAATATTCCCGCAGTATTCAAACATTATTCCAGCAATATTCCCGCAGTATTCAAACATTATTCCAGCAGTATCACGACGGTGAACCTCAGGAATGTGCTGGCCATGAGTGGAACACGGAACTTCAGCCTGACGTGCGGACGGCCAGGCAGGGTAGTGAGATAACATTCTTGTGAGTGGAAAACAAGGAAGTGGAAAGACAATGTCTGGAATACCCAACACGGAGTTACCACGTGGTACGTCGCGCTCTGGCCCTTCATACCCGAAAACCATCTGTACAGGATATCTGAGTCCTGCACCATGACCGTGGAATATATTTGTTTTATGAAAAAATAATAATCTAGAAATGCATACAAAAGCAAGTCTAGCCAGCTCAAGCTAGCTCTATTCCACAAATCAGCATAGGGAATTTATTTTATTTTTAGAGTCAAGAAGGATATTGTGTAATATAAGATTTCAGAGACTAAATGTTAGTCTAAGAATATCTGTATATCAAGAAGTATGAAGTATACAAAGAGTTGTCCTCCCCATTCAGATGCTACCGATGCATCATAACAACACACGGTAGGGAGGAGGGAACCACCTGACCAGTCGTCTAAGGCGCCACAATTCGTTGCTTGGCCGAATGCTGTGATCGTGGGTTCGAATGCCAGATTGGCCCAGGCTATGATCTTTAGTTTGTCAACACCATACCCTTCTTCTCGAGTTGCACCACAGCGGTAAACTTCTAACGAACTGTGCGGCGTTGGGTTAGCCGAGTAGTTGAAGTCTTTGCTCCTCACGCCGAAGACCTGGGTGTGAAGACCATGTCCGGTGTCACCAGCCGTCATATTGCTGGAATATTGCTAAAAGCGGCGTAAAACCATACTCGCTCACATCATCACTCACTCTGTTGACCTACATTGATATTACACGGTCCTTCCTCCACACTGAGCTTACACGACAGAACTAGTGTATATTCAATTCAAAACGGCGCTAATCCTAACTCACTCACACCCACGTTGCTACGTAAGAGGTGATAACGGGATCGGGTGGTCAGACTCGCTGACATGGTCGATGTACGTCATCGTATCCCAATTGCATAAATCGATGCTCGTGATATCAATCACTGGAATGTCTGGTCCAGACTCGAATATTTACAGACCGCCGTGATATTGCTGTGTGCAGCGTTACACAACAAACAAACCCACGTTGCTGGGGATACTAAGACTTCAAGTCTAAGATGTTCAGTACCCCTTGTTTCAAATAAAGAGTGAGTGAGTATGGTTTTACGCCGCTTTTAGCAATATTCCAGCAATATCACGGCGGGGAACACCAGAAATGGGCTTCACACATTGTACCCATGTAAGGAATATTAGATTCGCTCATACAACCAAGCCACTGTAATGTGTTTGTTTGGCTAGGCTGTACTGCACTTGTGTTTTCAAGTAATTGGCCCCGCTACACACCGCGGTCTATGAGCTGGGAGGACCTCGGCGCGACAAGCAGGTCTCATCCCAAAAGTCAGCCTGGTGTGTCGTGTTTCAATAGACCCCAAGTGTGTTTATGTCAAATTTCCGAATTAAGCGCTGGAGTAGCTACGCCTCTTCATATACAGCGATAAGGGATTGGAGTGTTCGTTAAATATATCACTTTAATACCAAAGTTTTCCTTAGATGATATACAAAAATAACCAGAGCCAGGTCTTTGACAAAATACAATGATCTGTATAACATATCTGACCATTTATTTTTTATTACAGACATTTTAACATGTAGTAATGGTGTAAGTGGTATCAGAAAAATTCTATCGCATTTATATATATGTTTCGTCATGACTAACTGTCATGATGTCATGATCTGCCTGCATCTTCATCCCCGCTTGCAGCATGCCCTGTACCACGGTTGTCGGGGCTGTACCAGTTAAGCCCTGCGTACAGAGGCGTGTCCGTGCAATCGTGAGTGTTGTGCCATATAAGGAATGCGCGGGACCAGTGTTCTTGCAAGTGACTCGCGGATACCGGCTTCCTATTGCCGGCTATTTAGCGTTACTTCTGTGGAATGTCACAACCAGTCACTATAACTTGCAAAACAATACCATTATTTTCCTATCAACAAGCGACCAAAGTCGAACATTCAATTACAACGGATCTTACACTGATGTCCTGCACAAAAGTACCTGTCCATTACACCCTAACTGTGATATCTGCACGGAGCGGGGTAGAGACAGCGTTCAGTCGCCCGAGATATTCTGTTCATTCTGAGCTTTGAATGAAAGGAAGCTCTTTCACTGCATTTAGAGCGTTAAGAGCACACGAGGTTCATCAAAACTCTTTTCATCTACAATTGCCAGACAATGTCAAGCTCTGGCAAGCGGAGAGTTAGCAAACACAGGACCTTGAAGGTGACCGTGGTGGGAGACAGTCAAGTGGGCAAGACGTGTTTGTTGCTGACTTACGTCACTAAGAAGTACCCAGCATGCGTCCCGGCGTCGTTCGAGTGGCATCTTGGTGAGTAGACGGATACCCAGTCTGATGGGTATGCCATCTGTTGCTCGGTCCTTGGTGTAATGTCTTAAGTCACTGAGTAGACGCGTACCCAGTCTAAGGCTGTCTAGACCCTATGCGTATGTAGACGGATACCCAGTCTGAAGTGGCATGTCATCAGTAGCTCGGTCCTTGGTGTAATGTCTTAAGTCACTGAGTAGACGCGTACCCAGTCTAAGGCTGTCTAGCCCCTATGCGTATGTAGACGGATACCCAGTCTGACGTGGTATGCCATCAGTAGCTCGGTCCTTGGTCTAATATGTTATGTCACTGAGTGAAACGCACCCAGTTTGGGATGTCTAGACACTATGCGTATGTAGACGGATACCCAGTTTGATTTGGTATTCCATCAGTTGCAAGAAGCAAATATGTGGTGACTCATTTGGCCTGAACCCTCTCTCTGTCGGGTGCAGTTCTGTTGTCCAATCATAAACGTATACGTCTGCTGTATCATACACAAGCTGTACTATCAACCCTGATGTTCGGTGTGTTATATGATGTCACGGTTCGATGACCTCACGACAATTTTATGGCTATGATATATGCCTGTGGTTAACGAATGACTGTGGGATATGGCTATGGTGTGTGACTATGGTTTATGGCTATGGTGTATGGCTATGGTATATGACTATGGTATATGGCTATGGTATATGGCTATGGTGTATGACTGTGGTTTATGGCTATGGTATATGGCTATGGTGTATGACTGTGGTTTATGGCTATAATGTATGACTGTGGTGTGTGTCTATGGTATATGACAATGGTGTATGACTATGATGTATAAGTATGGTATATGGCTATTGTGAATAACTATGGTATATGGCTATGGTGTATGACTATGGTATATAGCTATGGTATATTGCTATGGTATATGGCTATGGTATATGAGTATAGTGTATTACTATGGTGTATGACCATGGTATATGACTATGGTATTTGACTATGGTGTATGCCTATGGTGTATGACCATGGTATATGACTATGGTATATGACTATGGTGTATGACTATGGTGTATGACTATGGTATATGACTATGGTATATCGGTATGGTATATGACTATGGTATATGACTATGGTATATGACTATGGTGTATGACTATGATGTATGACTATGGTATATGACTATGGTATATGACTATGGTATATTGCTATGGTATATGACTATAGTGTATGTCTATGGTATATGACTATAGTTTATGACTATGGTATATCGGTATGGTATATGACTATGGTTTATGACTATGGTGTATGACTATGGTATATTGCTATGGTATATAACTATGGTATATGGCTATGGTATGTCGCTATGGTATATGACCATGATATATGACTATGGTATATGGCTATGGTATGTCGCTATGGTATATGACTATGGTATATGGCTATGGTATATGACTGTGGTGTATGACTGTGGTGTATGACCATGGTATATGACTATGGTATATCGCTATAGTGTATGACTGTGGTTTATGGCTATGGTATATGGCTATGGTATATGACTGTGGTATATGGCTATGGTATATGGCATTAGTATGAGACCTTCCATACAAGTTTACCAGGACCAGTCCTGGGTTCGTTATATCCGAACAAGTGCGACCCTGGGCGAGCATGTGTTGAATGAAGACGATAGTTTACCATATTCCTCTCCTGCCCGGATGTTACATCACGTGTGTTGATGTGTGATGCACACCACTAGAATGTCCCATTTAGAAGCTACTCGACCGTTTCCCTTTGCCTTGCTACCACACAATCAGCAAGCTGCCTCTCGCAAGCATATCTCATATGGCAGACGGATGACAGAGGCGTCGATCCATCACGTTGCTTGTATAACAGTTATCCAATTCCCCAAAACAGCTGATATTAAACCAGTGTGATTATGTAGTGGGTCACTCTGTACATTAACGGTTATTAACCACCGACATCAAATGATATGTTAATATGTTGTGCTATAATGTCCCTCTGGCCTTCTCAATTGACAGCCGCCCGCCGATGCTGTGACATTTCCACTGTAGTCGGCCGAGCCCGCCTTGTTTACTTTGGCTAGAACAATTACAACTGCGGCATATTCCACATCAGATCAAGCAGTTAGGGTTTCCACAAAACCAGATTCTCCACCATTTTACAATTTTGATGTCCTTAGAATTTGAAAACAAAGACATCAGTGTTTGGGAGAGCAAACATCAACGCATCGGGCTCGAGCGTTGTTATATAAAAACATCATTTTGGTTTTGAAAACTTACGTGCAATCCCTTGTTAGGCACATTTGAACCTATAACTTTTGTGAAGTTTTTTTTTCTTCTAGACTTAAATTGTATGTGTCGATTCAGAATTCTCAACAAAAATGTTTTTTTGAAAACATCACATTGTACATGATTTAATCATCACCGACATACGAAAATGCTTATAGAGAACGTTTATTTTGTATTACATGATAACAGATCACGTTATGGTGAATCGTGGGAAGCTGGATATCGTACAATAAAACACTGCGGGGACAATAAACCATGAGGGGCGAACAGTACAGTCAGGTCATAAAATGTACAAGCTTTAAAAAGATGTACCCGTATTTTAAAAATGATGACTCCCTGAATAGAATCCGACCTCCGCAATGTCGGACAAGTCCATTTTATGAACAGGCGGGTTTGGTATTGGTATTTTCCGCATATTCTCAAAATCCTCACGTCGATTATCTGTACCTTTTCTCCTTATACCGATTACCATGCCTCTCCCACTTCTGCATGCGGTCGTTCGACGCTTATCTGCTTACCCCAACTACATCTATTGGGAACAACTCACTTGATACTTCCCTCTCAAAAATGTCGTCCAATATATGACGTCATCAAGTTGCGAGCGCATAATCAAATCTCCAAAAATGACGTCATGAGAGAACAATGTTTTATCGCGAAATAAACCACGCTTCGTTCTTCATCGTTCTTTGCGATTTACAGCGTAGCTATCTGATATATATACCTGTATAAACATGATAAAGGATGTTTCTACGGGAACTTATCTTCACAGTTGCAATAGATATCAATAATCCTTCAAAACTAATGAATACACGTTCAATATATGTAATATGTAGGCCCCAACTTTCACTCTCCTCAAACCGATGAAGTTTTACATTTCCATTCGTGACCAACACGTGCCATTCCGGGACAAGCCGAAGGCCCCCCTCCTATAAGTTACGGACATATGAGAGTGGTGACGAGTGCCTCAATTCAACAGCTGATATACCCTTATATGACACTTCCGTTTCTTGTTCCAGCTGGAACCGGTTTCAACCAGAGCACCTACCCCAACATCCAGGTGGACGGACAACGTTACGATCTGGACTTCACCGACACGCTGGGACTGGTGAGTGCCACGGACATCCCCTCAACCCCTTGTCATAAACCCCAAATCGAGCCTTAGATTTGCAGGGTGCTGTTGGTTATATAGAATGGTTGACCCGTTAGCTGAAGTCGTCATGGTCCCGAACGCCAACACGTTAGATCTGTGTCTGAGAGCGAGTGTCAGTTTCACTCGCCTGCACAGCTCAAAATCCTCACATGCCTTTGTTTATTTTGAAAAAGAAAAGTAAGACGCAGATGACTTTTTTAAAACTCTTCAAGAAAACATATGATATTACATTACATGAAGGATAGGCCCCTCTCTCACGACACGCACTTACTCTTAGTGACATCATCCGTGGGCTGCCTGCCACCCAAATTGGCGCCCTTGGTGAATGTTGTTTTAAACCGCGTCATCCAAGCTATATTACGACGCCCTGTAAATATTTGAGTCAGGGCCAGACAGCCCGCTGTTGGATAACATGATCAACGGATCAAGCTACAGACCCTGACCAACCAATCCCCAATTTAGTCTGCTCTTAGGGCAAGCACTAGGTTCTGGGGACGTAATCTGACCCCGACCAAGGATACCCTCGACATATGATCATTGTTCTTTTAAAAATGATATTCTTTTGGGAAACGCAATTTATATTTATATTCTTTAAGTAAATGATACAGATTATGTAGCATCCTTTGCTGTATCGGGTTTCTTGTCTTTTGTAGGACAGCTCCTTGTCTCTACGGTTGCTGGAGTACATGACCACTGACGTGTTTGTCGTCTGCTTCGACATTTCCTGTCCAGAATCCTTTGAAAATGTGCGGGAAAAATGGATGCCGGAAATCCGGTCTGCCCAGCCTGAGATCCCAATAATTGTCGTTGGCACCAAACTTGACCTCCGGAACAATTCTGTCGTCAAGTCGGGCTTAGCAGAGATCGGTAAAAAGCCCGTGCTCCACGAGGAAGGTCAGAGGTTGGCACGTGAATTGAAGGTCGTGGACTATGTGGAGTGTTCATCTCTCAATAACGATGGCGTCAGGTCGGTGTTTCTCACAGCAGCGCACGCAGCTTGTATGACAAAGAAAAGCCGCGTTGGTGGAGGTCACAATGTGCCAGAGAAAGACTGTTGTAGATGTGTGATACTATGAAATAGATTGTCCACTGATTCTGTTACATTATCAAGAAACGACACATAAAATAGTGACATTCAACAGCCCTTCCTGGTAAGGAGGAAGTTGACCCCACGACCCTGCCGCTGCAAGGTCAATGACGTGTAAATACAATTAGATGATTGAGGATCGGTGTCTGGATTGGCTTCCAGGATCTGTGTCTGGGCCTGCTTCCAGGATGAGGAGCTGGATTTGCTTCCAGGAGCTCCCTCTGTTTCAAACTGAACCTTCATTGTAGATCACTTCGGTATAAATGAATTCCTAACACCAGTTCGTAATATCCGAAGTACAATGTATCAACCTTTTGCATGTAATGCTGGACTGCAGCAGTTTACGGTTTATTATATATATATGGTATTAGATACCCTTCATCAAACAAACATTCAAAATGCAACAAGTTGAAACATTGTTCCAAAATGTTGCAAAATAGGTCTTACGCATTGATTTTATCAAGTGTATTTTTATCTGGTGTGACGCCGACGACTCGGTAACCTGCGTCAGTATCGACGTCATTGTAACCTGTCAGTATCGATGTAACTTGTATCAGTATCGACGTCACTGTCACCTGTGTTAGTATCGACGTCACTGTCACCCGTCCCAGTATCGACGTCACTGTCACCTGTGTTTGTATCGATGTCACTGTAACCTGTATCAGTATCGACATCACTGTCACCCGTCCCAGTATCGACGTCACTGTCACCTGTGTGTGTATCGACGTCACTGTCACCTGTGTCAGTATCGACGTCACTGTCACCTGTCCCAGTATCGACGTCACTGTCACTTGTGTTTGTATCGACGTCACTGTCACCTGTGTTAGTATCGACGTCACTGCCACCTGTGCTAGTATCGACGTCACTGTAACATGTGCTAGTATCGACGTCACTGTCATCTGTTTTACTATCGACGTCACTGTCACCTGTGCTAGTATCGACGTCACTGTCATCTGTGCTAGTATCGACGTCACTCTAACATGTGCTAGTATCGACGTCACTGTCACCTGTTTTAGTATCGACGTCACTGTCACCTGTTTTGGTATCGACGTCACTGTCATCTGTTTTAGTATCGACGTCACTGCCACCTGTGCTAGTATCGACGTCACTGTAACATGTGCTAGTATCGACGTCACTGTCATCTGTTTTACTATCGACGTCACTGTCACCTGTGCTAGTATCGACGTCACTGTCATCTGTGCTAGTATCGACGTCACTGTAACATGTGCTAGTATCGACGTCACTGTCACCTGTTTTGGTATCGACGTCACTGTCATCTGTTTTAGTATCGACGTCACTGTCATCTGTTTTAGTATCGACGTCACTGTCACCTGTGCTAGTATCGACGTCACTGCCACCTGTCCCAGTATCGACGTCACTGTAACCTGTGCTAGTATCGACGTCACTGTCATCTGTTTTAGTATCGACGTCACTGTCATCTGTTTTAGTATCGACGTCACTGTAACATGTTTTAGTATCGACGTCACTGTCACCTGTGCTAGTATCGACGTCACTGTCACCTGTGCTAGTATCGACGTCACTGTCATCTGTTTTAGTATCGACGTCACTGTAACATGTTTTAGTATCGACGTCACTGTCACCTGTGCTAGTATCGACGCCACTGTCACCTGTGCTAGTATCGACGTCACTGTCATCTGTTTTAGTATCGACGTCACTGTCATCTGTTTTAGTATCGACATCACTGTAACATGTTTTAGTATCGACGTCACTGTCACCTGTTTTAGTATCGACGTCACTGTAACATGTTTTAGTATCGACGTCACTGTCACCCGTTTTAGTATCGACGTCACTGTCACCTGTATCAGTATCGACGTCACTGTCACCTGTTTTAGTATCGACGTCATTGCCACCTGTTTTAGTATCGACGTCATTGTCACCTGTGCTAGTATCGACGTCATTGTAACATGTTTTAGTATCGACGTCCCTGTAACATGTTTTAGTATCGACGTCACTGTAACATGTTTTAGTATCGACGTCACTGTCACCTGTGTCAGTATCGACGTCACTGTCACCTGTTTTAGTATCGTCTATGATTAAACCATGAAGGGTTTCTGCCTTCTGTATTTGTTCTTTACACGTGATGAGTGAACGACCTGTGTTGTGTTACAGTCATCACCTGCATTTGAGAGACATGACTAATATATCAGGGACAGATACGACGGTATGATAGATATAGCAGGACTGATATATATTACAGCGGTATGACAGATATAGCACGACCGTCCGATAGTTCCATCACGACGGTATGACAAAAATACCACAGCTGTAACAAATGTTATATTTGGGACAACACTTAGTAAAGTACAGATTCTCGTACCTGTTTTGGGTTGAGTCCCGGCCGGGATTCGAACCAACACAGCCAGAGTGAGGCACCTAACCACAGATTAGTTGGTGGTAATCGCCTGAGTGGGTTAGATCGCTGGCTTTGTGTGCTGGCGATTAGGTGCCTCACTAGTCTGGCAGTTAGGGTTCGAATCCTAGACGGGACTCAACCAAAAACAGTACTAGAATCTGTACTTTACTTACAAAGTGTTATCCCAAATATAACATTTGTTACATTTGACCACTTTTGAAATGGCATTGGGTGTTCATATCACAGGTGTCCGACAGATATTTCACAGCGGTATGACACATATATCACGGTGGTATGACAGTTATATCATGGTTGTATGACAGGTATACCACGACTGTCCGAAGGATATAGCACGGCGGTATGAGAGATATATCACAACGGTATGACAGGTATATCACAGTTGTATGACAGGTATATCACGGCGGTATGACAGGTATATCACGACGGTATGGCAGGTATATCACGAATGTATGAGAGGTATATCACGAAGGTATGACAGAAATATCACGGCGGTATGACAGGTATATCATGGCTGTATGACAGGTATATCACGACGGTATGACAGGTATATCACGACGGTATGACAGATATATCACGACAGTATGACAGGTATATCATGGCTGTATGACATATATCACGGCTGTATGACAGGTAAATCATGGCTGTATGACAGGTATATCACGACGGTATGACAGTTATATCACGACGGTATGACAGATATAAACCACGACGGTATGACAGGTATATCACGACGGTATGACAGATATATACCACGACGGTATGACAGATATATCATGGCTGTATGACAGGTATATCACGACGGTATGACAGATATATCACGGCTGTATGACAGGTATATCATGGCTGTATGACAGGTATATCACGACGGTATGACAGGTATATCACGACGGTATGACATATATATCACGACAGTATGACAGATATATCACGACGGTATGACAGATATATCACGACGGTATGACAGATATATCACGGCTGTATGACAGGTATATCACGGCGGTATGACAAATATATCGCGACGGTATGACAGATATATCACGGCTGTATGACAGGTATATCATGGCTGTATGACAGGTATATCACGACGGTATGACAGATATATCATGACGGCATGACATATATCACGACGGTATAACAGGTATATCACGACGGTATGACAGATATATCATGGCGGCATGACATATATCACGACGGTATAACAGGTATATCCCGACGGTATGACAGATATATCATGACGGCATGACATATATCACGACGGTATAACAGGTATATCACGACGGTATGACAGATATATCATGGCGGCATGACATATATCACGACGGTATAACAGGTATATCCCGACGGTATGACAGATATATCATGACGGCATGACATATATCCCGACGGTATGACAGGTATATCACGGCGGGATGACAAATATGAAGCCATCACTTAGTTTCATTCAGTTTACAATCTTTACCAACACATGTCTTGCAGCGGTATTGGACTTAGCCTTCTCTAGGGCCTATCTACGCCCCTCCCTGCCGCTGTGATGTGTCTGGGGTACTCCGCCCTACAGTGTATACATGAGAACAAGATGAGGGTACAGAGTCTGCTTACACGGATGATGGTGTTTAGATGTCAGTATAGCAACATGCTGCTCGGCTCCCTGCTTAGTTATCCTACGCTCGCTACTTAACTCTTAGGTCAAAATAATTACTTCAATAAAAACTGACATAAACGGATTTTAGGATCTGTATGAGTACTTAACCCGAGTATGACAATGTCCGCCAATATTATGTTGTAAGCGTCGTATAATCCCTTCATGCCGACTTTAATCTCCTGGGCCGTATTCAGTGTTGTGACGTTTCGTTCAAATTAAATCGCCTTTCATTCCGTCTCATTATACCGGCTTAGCAGTTTATAAATGACATCCTTCCTCTTCAAACTCTCATTAAGAGGCATTGTTTTAGTAAGGTTCGCGACATTCACAAGCTGTCCTCGCCTCTCATTCCCATCAGGAATATTGCAGAATCTATTTTGGGAAAACCTCTCCCCACGCATGTTGTGTACAAACAAACTTTTTTCAACCTGTTTCTTTCTGTCAGCGTATCTGTATGTATGTCTCTCGACACTCTTCAACTCGTTCAACTTTCCCAGGCCGCAGGTACTCGCGTCATAAACTTGAATAGGGCGCATGTGTACCAACCAAACACAGTCCCTCGTGTTGACACCACTTTCTTGTAAAAGGGGGCGTGGTCGTTTTTATTGAAAAACACTGGGATGGATATCAGTGGCGATACTGTACTATCTCAATCAGGATACATGTAGATGTGATTCACGTTGTGTGTGTGTGTGTGTGTGTGTGTGTGTGTGTGTGTGTGTGTGTGTGTGTGTGTGTGTGTGTATGTAACATTGTTCTATGTGCTGTGACTGGAATGTTAATCCAGTTGTTTGCGAGTGAGAGGGTGGTGAGAAGCCTCCCCGCTTATCCCGGGGACATAGACGTTGTGTGAGATCTTACAGAGGGCACTTGGTTGTGTTTGTCTCCGTATTAAACTCAGCGCCCGTCTTGGTACAAATTGTCTCACGAAAAGGGTACAATGCATTAAACCTTCCCCTTTGTTCAAACACAGCTACAAGTGCGGGTGAAATGCTGCCCAATATCCATTAGCAGTTGAAGGAGGAGACAGGGGTTATGGTAATGCATGCCTAACAATTCCCCATTGTGGCAACAACAAATATTTGTAACGAGTCGCGCCAAAGCTTCAACCTTCTCGCTGTGGGTGATGACGTCGACGGAAACTCTGGTGGATGTGTGCGGCTCGGTGATGTTGATACCGTGTGTCCCCATCATCATCCAACTGCCCCCCCCCCCCCCCCCCCCCCCTCTCTCTCTCTACAGATCCCCCACCCACCCACCCCTGCCTCCCGCACGACCGTCTTTACCACGGAAACATATTACCCATGTATCATGAGATATAGACCCTGTAACAGTGAGGAGTGAGGAGACACATATTTCAAAGCCGAAAACAGCGTATCTAGTGAAGGTAACGCTTGTTTATTTTAAAAGATTATTTAAAAAAAAGTGGTTTCTGCCAGCAAAGGTGATTGGTTATTCTCAAAAGATGGGTTCTGTGAACTCTAATAGAGGATCGATTCAACAAAAAGTTTAGTTGGATGAGCAAAGGTCTTAAAAACTCAATAAAAGGATTATTGGAAACAGCTGAGCTGTGGTTATAAAAAAGGCATACGGTAGTACAGCTGACGAGACTCCCCAGATCCTAGCCCCACTGTATGACAACACACACTCTCTGCCTGGACCCCAACTCCATCTCGCAGCCCAACTGTAGTCGCGTCACACCGCCCAGCGCCGGGAGTATCGCGAGACTGCGTCACGGCACAAGCCTCAGTCACTCACACGCTAGCCTGGGACACGGACAGAGGGGATGGCAGGCAAGCAGTACACGGTCACGTGCACGGCGGTGGGGGACGGGGGAGTGGGCAAAACATGCCTCATGCTTACTTTTCTGACAGGAAAATACCCGGAGTCCTACCTCCCAGGATCTATGGACTGGCACAACGGTAAGTTTCTACACTTCTTTCTCAAGATTTAACCATCTTACTTTCTACATGTTTCCTCAACGTTTATCATTATTCAAAGCCCCCTTTGACAATGTCGTATAGTTAATAGTTAAATATGTACTATCGATAGGTAATTACTTAAAACTATCATACAAAATATTAATTGACCCTTTCTGTCAACATATACAGGCAGTAGAAACATGCTGAGTTAAGCTCTCTTAAGTATACCAGTCATTAAGGAAGCCGCGCCTAGCGTGATACACGCCATAAACAGGTCCACATAATTATATACAAAACACGCATCAATAACTCAGCGGAGAAAAATCCCGTCAGAAAAATGTAACGCTTTATAAACTTCCCCGTCTGCAAACATTCATTAGCATATAGGTACAACTGCAGACGTATTGTGAATAGTAATAAGATCAAAGCTAGTGAAGTAGGATAAAGGCTGGCACAGCTTGTCGGAGGGCCATGTGGGGAGGTATTGACTGATAAATATCACAACACCTCTATATTGATTTATTTGTATCTACGTAATCTTATGGCAGTTTTATATCTGCGTTAACACGTCTGCACTATAGATCTCTGGCGGCCCCATCTTGCCTATTAAAATATACGATTTATTCATTATGCTGTTGATTGTGTCAAAAGTTAAAGTGTCACTTGTTGAAAAGCCATTGTTTATAGGTACAAAAACACTCACGTTGTATCGTTCAGCTGCAAACGAGGCACTCGTTGACATGTTGCATTAATCCTGCATACCACGTGGCATGTTTTACTATTGTTTTATGTTTAGGAAATATATATTATAACACCCTACACGTGGTGACAATCCGTGACCAGTGGAGAACCAGGTCTTTCCCATAGCAACTGGATCTAAGTGTGACCACCATTGCCTAGTATTTCCTCTGTGCCTATAGGAATGCTAATAGCGTGAAGTGCTATTGGTCGACCAGCTCATGTAACACGGCCTAATAACACCGAATCGGATAAACCCCGCTGCATGAGTAACAGGTTTTGTAACAAACTGTCATATTGTTCATACATAATGGGCATATTATGTGGTGTGCATATCACAGCAGTGTCTAGGGCAGATAAGTCTGTTAACACATGCATGGCTTGACGCACAGCAGAATGTAACACGATAAGAGTTTCGACAAATGTAAATAGGTGTTGATTCAACATATTTTTGTTGCATTATCAAAAAAAGTCCTCTAAAAACAGGAAACAACTTTATTTATCATCATGAGATTAAGCTGACAGATTAGATACGGAATTTCCTTGTACTCCGTTAAAATCATCGCTCAGTGACAACACAAGATGTAAATAAGTTCATCTGTTGTTTGTGTATTCCGAGGTGCCACTTGTCATCTAATTACCTGTCACATGTTGCGTCATCTAACGCAGCTGCAGATTGAAAACGATTTCCTGTTGGATAACAATTTATTACCCGACGACCTCAATCAATATTAGGGATAACACAGAGAGCGTTCCATTTAGCGATCTGATAGCATTCCCGCCAATTTGGGTGACAACAGACGACAGTTGTTTCCGGCGAAGGCCACCTGTTGTGGGGGCTTGCAGCAAAGGAAGCTCCACACATCGGGGGACGTCTCCTTATCTTCCAAACACGGCTGGCCTAGGTTGTCTGTGGCGCGTGGCACTCGCACCCAGCTGGAAACTGTCGCGTGCACCACGGAACATAGAGCCAATTACATAAACACGTGACCCAAAGCATTCCTGAGTTTTTAATGATAGGGCGATATGCAAAACAGGATGTCATTTTGTAAGGACAATGGTGCCTTGTTACCGACATACTTCGAGGAAATGGCAGTTAATTTCTAAGTGAAATATGAGACGTGTGTGTGAAACTTTAATAAAGTATTTGGTAACACAAACAGAACCACAGTCCTAGCCACGTTATAGCTTGTTCTCGGCTTCGGATTTAGGAACTTGACAAATCTAAAACATAATCCAGGTTCTATTCACAAGAAAATGTTTCTTTTATGTAATTGTTATGTATAAAGAGATTAATGTTTACACATCGTTGGGGTAAGTAGGAATATAAAATGAGGAACAAGTCCAAAATGCGAGCCTTATGCAAATTATACTTGTTCCTAATTGTCCTATTTACCGTGAAATGAAATAGGGAGTAACGTCACGTTCTTAAACTTATATAGCGAGCGGCGTGTATGGATGTGTGCGAAGCCGCTTGCACTAGTCCGGACTAATGCCAGTCTCAGCCCACGGAGATACCACGCCACATTTTAACATGAATACCCCACTCAGGCACATAATACTGACTCCCAGCCGACCTGTCCTTGTTTTTGCTCCTTAATGCCGATATCCAGGTAGTGTAACAACAAGTACCATCTTTTGGTTTGACTAGAAGCGGCTAGGGATCTCCTCTCTCCGAGCAGACGCTCTCTCCACTAAACCACTGAGACGGTTATTTACAATACAGAATTGAATGTCATATAATGTCATTTTTTAATTATAATATTTAAGGCGTTACATTACTCACTGAATTAACTTTAGAAACTGCGCATGCAAGCCAATTTATCATACAGTGTCACATGCGAATGCAGCCACGCCCACACACAGCGAAATACCTTCTTTCTAAACCTAATGAAAAGTCATGCAAAAGTATGAGCGAGCAGTTACCGCATCCATACATGGGGCGTATTAAAGGTAGTTTAATACAGGTGATCTAATTTCTTTCATATTTTCATATACCAATATATCAGGGTTGTTTATCGCCTCGAAAAACTGTCTATAAATGAAAATAATTGAATATCCTTTTTGGACTTAATCTGGAGAGAGTCACGAGTGTGTCTGTCTCACGGCCGCTAGACCCGTTCTTCAGACGCGGCTATTGGAAGGCGACACATTGATTGACAGTTTGGCAATTCATCCTACTTGTCATTGTATAAATATCTGTATTTCAGAGTTTGCCCACGTGACTCGGGAGCCGGTCAAGTTTGAATATGAGGGGACTTCCGTTTCCCTGAATCTGGTGGACACAGTTGGACTGGTAGGTTGTGTGTAGCAGGGTGTCCGTTGTGTATAACAGGGTGTCCGTAGTGTAAAACAGGGTGTCCGTTGTGTATAGCAGGGTGTCCGTTGTTTATAGCAGGGTGTCCGTAGTGTATAACAGGGTGTCCGTTGTGTATAACAGGGTGTCCGTTGTGTATAGCAGGGTGTCCGTTGTGTATAACAGGGTGTCCGTTGTGTATAACAGGGTGTCCGTTGTGTATAACAGGGTGTCCGTTGTGTATAGCAGGGTGTCCGTTGTGTATAGCAGGGTGTCCGTTGTGTATAACAGGGTGTCCGTTGTGTATAACAGGGTGTCCGTAGTGTATAACAGGGTGTCCGTTGTGTATAACAGGGTGTCCGTTGTGTATAACAGGGTGTCCGTTGTGTATAACAGGGTGTCCGTTGTGTATAACAGAGTGTCCAATGTGTATAACAGGGTGTCCGTAGTGTATAACAGGGTGTCCGTTGTGTATAACAGGGTGTCCGTTGTGTATAACAGGGTGTCCGTTGTGTATAACAGGGTGTCCGTTGTGTAAAGCAGGTTGTCCGTTGTGTATAACAGGGTGTCCGTTGTGTATAACAGGGTGTCCGTTGTGTATAGCAGGGTGTCCGTTGTGTATAACAGGGTGTCCGTTGTGTATAACAGAGTGTCCAATGTGTATAACAGGGTGTCCGTAGTGTATAACAGGGTGTCCGTTGTGTATAACAGGGTGTCCGTTGTGTATAACAGGGTGTCCGTTGTGTATAACAGGGTGTCCGTTGTGTAAAGCAGGTTGTCCGTTGTGTATAACAGGGTGTCCGTTGTGTATAACAGGGTGTCCGTTGTGTATAGCAGGGTGTCCGTAGTGTATAACAGGGTGTCCGTTGTGTATAACAGGGTGTCCGTTGTGTATAACAGGGTGTCCGTTGTGTATAACAGGGTGTCCGTTGTGTAAAGCAGGTTGTCCGTAGTGTAAAACAGGGTGTCCGTTGTGTATAGCAGGGTGTCCGTTGTTTATAGCAGGGTGTCCGTAGTGTATAACAGGGTGTCCGTTGTGTATAACATGGTGTCCGTTGTGTATAACAGGGTGTCCGTTGTGTATAACAGGGTGTCCGTTGTGTATAACAGGGTGTCCGTTGTGTATAACAGGGTGTCCGTTGTGTATAACAGGGTGTCCGTAGTGTATAACATGGTGTCCGTTGTGTATAGCAGGGTGTCCGTTGTGTATAGCAGGGTGTCCGTTGTGTATAGCAGGGTGTCCGTTGTGTATAACAGGGTGTCCGTTGTGTAAAGCAGGTTGTCCGTTGTGTATAACAGGGTGTCCGTTGTGTATAACAGGGTGTCCGTTGTGTATAGCAGGGTGTCCGTTGTGTATAACAGGGTGTCTGTTGTGTATAACAGGGTGTCCGTTGTGTATAACAGGGTGTCCGTAGTGTATAACAGGGTGTCCGTAGTGTATAACAGGGTGTCCGTTGTGTATAGCAGGGTGTCCGTTGTGTAAAGCAGGTTGTCCGTTGTGTATAACAGGGTGTCCGTTGTGTATAACAGGGTGTCCGTTGTGTATAACAGGGTGTCCGTTGTGTATAACAGGGTGTCCGTTGTGTAAAGCAGGTTGTCCGTTGTGTATAACAGGGTGTCCGTTGTGTATAGCAGGGTGTCCGTTGGTATATAACAGGGTATCCATAGCATATAGCAGGATATTCATCATATTTGGCAGGATATCATTAGTGAAATCTTTCCCAGTAAATGTCAGGGCATCCATAGTATATAGCAGGGTATCCCCAGTATACACCAGAGTATCCGTAGTATATATATCAGCGTATCCATATTATATATCAGTGTATAGTATATAGCATGGAATCAAGAGTATATAGCAGGGTATCCATAACATATAGCAGGGTATCCATAGTAACTAGCAGGGTATCCGTAGTATATATCAGGGTATCCATAGTAGACATCAGGGTATCCATAGTATATAGCAGGGTATCCATAGTATATATCAGGGTATCCATAGTATATAGCAGGGAATCCAGAGTATATAGCAGGGTATCCATAGCATAGAACAGGGTATCCATAGTATATAGCAGGGTATCCGTAGTATATATCAGGGTATCCATAGTAGACATCAGGGTATCCATAGTATATAGCAGGATATCCATAGTATATAGCTGGGTACCCATAACATATAGCAGGATATTCATCATATATGGCAGGGTATCATTAGTGAAATCTTTCCCAGTAAATGGCAGGTTATCCATATTATATAACAGGGTATCCATAGTATATAGCAGGGTATCCATAGCATATACCAGGGTATCCATAGCATATAACAGGGTGTCCATAGTATATAACAGGGTATCCATAGCATATAAAAGGTTTAATAGTATATAACAGGGTATCCATTGAATATACCAGGGTATCCAGAGCCTATAATAGGGTATCCATAGCATATAACAGGGTATCCATAGCATATAACAGGGTATCAATAGAATATAACAGGGTATCCATTGAATATACCAGGGTATCCAGAGCCTATAATAGGGTATCCATAGTATATAACAGGGTATCCATAGCATATAACAGGGTATCCATAGTATATAACAGTGCATCCATTGAATATACCAGGGTATCCATGGTATATACCATAGTATAGCTTGTTACCCCTGGTCTGTGACGAATGAGGCATAACAGTATAGTGGTGATTACACCACTTCCGCATTCTGTTTACGCAGTGATTTTTTGAATATATTTATCAGTAATCCGTTTTCTAGTCTAACATTTCCTTCCGGTAGAGACAGCAGCAACCGAAACCTTCAGTAATGTGAATGAACACTTCATGGTTACTATGACAACGTCACAACACTCATCCCTGTCCATACTCCCCCGAACCCCATGTCAAAGGCGTGACTGGGCCTAAATAACATGTTGTTTGTTTCATGTTGGCAATATGACGGCCGCCTGTAAACAGTCGAGTCTCAAACAGACAAACCAGTGATTGATATCATCAGCAACGCCCACACTAAACCGCCTCTTGCGATAGACTAATGGGGGAAAGATCTAACCCCACCTTTTGTCTGCACTTAGGAAGTTTAAGGAATCACGATACGCAGACACCAGTAATTGATAGGGTTTTTTTAAATAACGGGCGCATTTATTTCATAACGCTATCTGTCATTTCGAGGAGCGATGGCAAACAACTTGTTATTGAATATACTGACAACAATGGATACCATCATTTTCAGTTCAAGGAAAGGTTTATTTATAGCTATTTGTCGAGTTATACATAAAGTGTACTTATCGTTTGAGACGATGTCCCTTTCACCACGATATGAAGGGCGTTATGGTTTATCATCGGTAGTTCGCTTGTCTCGAACGATTAACGTCGATATTTCATTTTCATTATATTTGATTACGATTTATATCATTTCGGTTACTATCATGTTATTGAATTATATCAGTCGTGGCACCTAAACACTTATACCTTCCTCGCGCGTTAGCTAAAGGCGGCGTAAAACCATACTCACTCACTCTGGTATCTAAAGCTGTGGACTGTACAACGGCAACATTGTCCCGTGAGAAGCGTAACTTGTTGACATACAAGAACATGTTGACTAGACTTGCACAAGTCTATGTGGAAATGATCATCCGCGGATTTATCATTCAGTAGCGACTTGGGGCAAGGCAAACGCTTTGTCTGCATGGTTTTCCTCGGTTATATAAAAATGTAACGTATTTCACTGGTTAAATTATGAACATACGACACACACACAGACACACATACGAACGCACACACACAGATACACACACACGCGCGCGTCCTCCACCCTCCCCTTCAGCATCGAACGCGCCAATCATGTCCACCCGACGTATTTGAAAGTTCACGAAAATACATGTAATTGGAAACACGACGAGAGGAGCGATAACCGCTGACTGTGCTGGGATCATGCACGTTTCAATGATACATTTGTTATTTTTTATTCGGTTCAAACAGTGTTGTTGTATTATAAACATCTATGCGAGTTGTGACGCACGCCAATCAAACACGTTGGTTGTTTGACGCCAACAGCGCAGAGAGCGTGGTCAAACATTGAACGGGATGTGAATACCATGTGAAACTTGATTAGCTGCTCAAATTTCATAATTGAGTGAATAAGTAAATTAGTGTCCCCACCTTAACAGTCCGACGGCTTCTCCCAGGACAGAAACAAATCCATATAAATTTTCCCACGTGGGGTATACAAACTCAGAGGTAAGCAGGATAAGCGAACACTCGGCCCACTTGGCCACCCACTCAGCATGTCGAGGTAAAAGTCTAGCTACTCGTCAAGTAGCCATTGATGCAGTGAAACTTCGGACATATCAGTGATATAGTCCTGATTAACACCTGGATGGGTACGGTATATACTACTCAAAAGAAGTTAAGGGAACCCGATTCTTTCATATTCCTGTCGGGGCGGTGGGGTAGCCCAGTGGTTAAAGCGTTCGCTCGTCACGCCGAAGACCCGGGTTCGATTCCCCACATGGGTACAATGTTTGAAGCCCATTTCTGGTGTTCCCCGCCGTTATATTGCTTGAATATTGCTAAAGAGGCGTAAAACCATTCTCACTCATTAAAATGAAGTCGAAATCGTTTGGTTCGGGTCTGAAATCAGATATTATTACGTAAGGATTTTGCAAGCCAGATTTGGATTTTGGGTCTGCCATCTCATTTCCATACAGCCCAACATGCGCTGGAATCCGGACAATATCACACGTAGTGTACTTAAAAAATATACCCAGCTTTAGTATTTCATAAACACTTCGTGAACCATTGATGCCAGAATCAATTACCTGAACAGCTGCGATGTCGTCATGAGCGCATTCATCAGCCCGCCTCGCACGGCGGACATGTTCATCTGTCTCAGTTATCTCCCCTTTCATTCGACGACCTAGATCAAAGGCATGTACAGACTGCTTGAAATTATTGCATGTTTAAACTGACTACCACAACAAATTCCTGTCTACATACACCGTGCCGGAATGTCCAGTGCACAGAGTTTATTTAGCCAGTCGATTCAAGGTTTATGATACCTGCTGTACGTCATAACGTATCAACATACTGCACCAAGTAAACAAACTCAGGCACGGCCCACCGGAATCTGAATAATTCATAACCAAATCAAGTCCCAAACCCTGAGATATCAATACACAACAGAGGCAACATAAACACATGTGCTATATAAGGTGCAAATATATGTGTTTGTGTGTACGGAATTTCAAAGGCATTCTACAGTACCTTTTACGAGTTAGCAGTCAAGTTTACAACAGCTCGTTAGCGGCTGACGGGTGTTACAACCCGTGTCAATCAGGTATTGGTGACTGTGGGTGAGAACGCGGCGGTATGCTGGTAATGTGTCATGCTATTGCACAGTGATGATGTTGTGGAGATTGATGACAGGCCGTAGTCTAGTCTAGTCCCTCATTTACATGCCATCGTCACTTATACACGGCCTCGATGGCTGCACGACAGGTGGGCAACACGGCCTGTCAATCACGTGCACTTTGGTTGAGTAACAGAGTTGTTGGTGTGAGGGTCTATAAGGCGGAGCTTGCCCCTCGGCAGAGTGAGTGAGTGAGTGAGTCGCTGTTTTTCCAATGATGGAAATCAAACCCAGGTCACAGGCAGGGCATGCCAACGTATCGACCACTCGGCAACCTATACAACCCCTCCATGGCAGACTTGAAGGAGTGTTGTCTCGCTAGGATATAGGACGCTTGAAATAACAGTTGTCCCCTTTAAGAAAATAAGCTGACGCCCGAGTTGAACAGCAGCATATTTCTTGACGGTCGTTCCGCGGTGAACAGGGAGTTCACGTCAATACATATCTCTGCGTAACACATGGAATAGAGGCTCCCACATAGACTTCACTGAAACTTCGTTTATGTCCAGAAAGACGCTGTAGGAATATAACTGACGCTTGATCGTCAAGGTGTAAATGTTCAAGCAGTTGGAGTTTATTTTTTTATATTTATTGCATTAACGTGCTATATGCCATGATATAAGAAACAGTCTCATTGAGTTGTCATGGGGTGGACTGAGGATGAAGCTATGTGATGAGGGTGGCCTTGGGATAAAGCTATGGGATTCCTCACAGGCGGGTTCGCCACAGATTCCTCACAGGCGGGTTCGCCACAGATTCCTCAGAGGCGGGTTCGCCACAGATTCCTCAAAGGCGGGTTCGCCACAGATTCCTTTAGGGGTGGGTTCGCCACAGTTTCCTCAGGAGCGGGTTCGCCGCAGATTCCTTATGGGTGGGTTCGCCAGGGATTCCTCATGGGTGGGTTGGTCACAGATTCCTCACAGGCGGGTTCGCCACAGATTCCTCAGAGGCGGGTTCGTCACGGATTCCTCAGGGGCGGGTTCGCCAGGGATTCCTCAGGGGTGTGTTCGCCACAGTTTCCTCAGGGGCGGGTTCGTCACGGATTCCTCATGGGTGGGTTCGCCACAGATTCCTCATGGGTGGGTTCGCCACAGATTCCTCATGGGTGGGTTCGCCACAGATTCCTCATGGGTGGGTTCGTCACAGATTCCTCATGGGTGGGTTCGCCACAGATTCCTCATGGGTGTGTTCGTCACGGATTCCTCAGGGGTGTGTTCGCCACAGTTTCCTCAGGGGCGGGTTCGCCACAGATTCCTCAGGGGCGGGTTCGTCACGGATTCCTCAGGGGCGGGTTCGTCACGGATTCCTCAGGGGCGGGTTCGCCAGGGATTCCTCAGGGGTGTGTTCGCCACAGTTTCCTCAGGGGCGGGTTCGCCACAGATTCCTCATAGGCGGGTTCGCCACAGATTCCTCATGGGTGGGTTCGCCAGGGATTCCTCAGGGGTGTGTTCGCCACAGTTTCCTCAGGGGCGGGTTCGTCACGGATTCCTCATAGGCGGGTTCGCCACAGATTCCTCATGGGTGGGTTCGTCACGGATTCCTCATAGGCGGGTTCGCCACAGATTCCTCAGGGGTGTGTTCAACACAGATTCCTCAGGAGCGGGTTCGCCGCAGATTCCGCATAGGTGGGTTCGCCGCAGATTCCTCATAGGTGGGTTCGTCACAGATTACTCAGGAGGGGTTCGTGTCAGATTCCTTAGAAGCGGGTTCGTCACAGATTCCCCAGGGGCGGGTTGGTCACAGATTCCTCCATGGGCGGGTTCGTGACAGATTCCTCAGAAGCGGGTTGGTCACAGATTCCTCAGGAGCGGGGTTGGTCACAGATTCCCCAGGGGCGGGTTGGTCACAGATTCTTCCATGGGCGGGTTCGTGACAGATTCCTCAGAAGCGGGTTGGTCACAGATTCCTCAGGGGCGGGTTGGTCACATCCTCCATGGGCGGGTTCGTCACAGATTCCACAGAAGCGGGTTCGTGACAGACTCTTCCGCACCCATGTGTCGGCAGCACTAGATCGGTCCTTGTGGCTTTCACCAATTTAAATGGTAAACGTCTGCGGTTCTTTGAACTTCCCTTCCGCATTAGGCTGACACGCCGTGATATAACTGTAATATTGTCTACCCAACTGACTCCCTCACTCACTCCTAGGTAAGACTTTGAATGTATTCTAAAAGTGATACCATATGCGTGTGATAAATATTTATAATAACTGCTATGGTCCACGTTTGCAGGACGAGTACCAGAAGCTGCGGGAGAAGGTATGCCACAACACTGACGTATACTTGGTGTGCTATGACGTCACCAACCCGTCCTCCCTGGATCGCGTGGAGCACCACTGGGTGCCAGAGATCCGGGACTACTCCCCCACTGCCCCCTTCCTCCTCGTGGGCACAAAGACGGACGCCAGGAACACCATTACCAAGGACGCTGACCCCAAGAGTCGGTCCATCCCTGTCGAGGAAGGGATGCGGAAGGCGGAGGAACTGGGCGCGTTCGGCTACGTGGAGTGCTCGGCCAAGAGCTGTGTGGGACTACGGAGAGTGTTTGAAAGCGCGGCTCTCGCGTATATGGACAAGTACGTTCCCGTGGATACCAAGAAAAAGAGTTGTGTGGTATCATAGTCGACGTTGTAACTCATCTGTCAAGTCGACGGCTGTGTCAAGGTGCTGAGTTTATACTGGTCTGAATTACTGGTCATGTCTGGCTCCTTGCGAGCGAGGTTTCGACCCAATGATAGCCTTGCTCCAAGGCTGTATTGAACGAAAAGCCCATGGATGTGTGGGAGTTCTATCCTTCTAATAGGCAAGTCTAGATTTGTGGACAGTACAAACAGTCTCTTATAGGGACAACTTGGTATTATTTACATAATCTAGAAATTATGATTTAAGCTAATAATTATTACCTTAGAGAGCTGAGCAAGTCTACGTCTATGCCGCCCAAGGCTGTGACGATTCACCGATTGTCGGTGTATCGTGATACTGCGTGGTGCGTTACCAATACCGTACCGTGATGTCTGTATGGATCCTATTGATACAAGGAGTATATGTAACACTGTATTAAAATTAAATGTCAAAACTATTTCGTAACAATGCGAACAGGAGTGGTTGAAATGGCACCTGAACTATTTTGGTGGACTTGATATCTCATCCTGCCAGAACATCTACTTTACATGACACTGGTGAGATTGTAGGTGTCGTTAGTACTCGTCACAGTTGTGTATTGCAAACCGTTCTGTCATCCACGTGTTTGCCACTCCGGGTCATCCTCAGTTATCTAGGGAATTATATTTTTTTATTCTTTTGTGATAAATAATATACTCACCGCCAAAAGAAACGCGAACAATAGAAACATATAGAGAAGTTTGTTCGTTGAGATGTTTCCAATGTGTACCACTTAATGACAAAACTAACAGTCAGTCAAGTGTTACCACAGACGATCTTCATTCTTATCACGATATGCTGCACGTAAATTACAAACTTTAGACACTAATCCTGCACGAGTCAAATGGTGCATCTCAAGTCATGGATCTATGACGTCACATGTGATGCGTACATGAGTGTCGGTTCACACAACATACCAGTACTAGTATGTTCGATGGTGCATTGAACCAATCTAATATCTCTTGAATTATGATTCGTTCTTCATATTTTAACCGACATGTATGTTATTCGCGTTACTTTTGGCGGTGAGTATAGAATGACGATTTTATACACTCGATAGTCGAGGGTGCTTTCGGGTAGAATATAGAATAGTACTTACCTGAGAGCATCATCAAATTGATTGTGTTATTCAGAATCTTGCCTCGAAATTAGGTGTTCCTGCTGGTCTGGTGACCTATGTGTACAACTGGGTTGGAATATAGTGATACAACTACCAGCTTGTTCATGGTGTATGCTACTCGCGGCAGCTAGACCACCACCAGGATCTCTTACCCTACAATGTTGTGTTTGGCCCAGCAGTCAGAATAATGTCAAGGGTAGACGTCTGATCATGTGTATATATTGCACTGTTTAGGATATAGGCACACATGGGATATCACGATGTGGACTAGACGGTTACGTTTAAGCCATATCCTTGCTTCTATTGTACGAGCTCCATGGAGTCCAAGATGACCACGAACCTGGTCTAGAGGCCGCGTTGATCATACTGACCTGGTCGGATCCGACCTGATGCATCAGAGACCAACCCCACCTCCCAGATCCGACCTGATGCATCAGAGACCAGCCCCACATCCCAGATCCGACCTGATACACCAGGAACCAGCCCCACATCTCAGATCCGACCTGATGCATCAGAGACCAGCCCCACATCCCATATCCGACCAGATGCATCAGAGACCAGCCCGACATCCCATATCCGACCAGATGCATCAGGGACCAGCCCCACCTCCCATATCCGACCTGATACACCAGGAACCAGCCCCACATCCCATATCCGACCAGATGCATCAGAGACCAGCCCGACCTCCCAGATCCGACCTGATACACCAGGAACCAGCCCCACATCCCATATCCGACCAGATGCATCAGAGACCAGCCCGACATCCCATATCCGACCAGATGCATCAGGGACCAGTCCCACCTCCCATATCCGACCTGATACACCAGGAACCAGCCCCACATCCCATATCCGACCAGATGCATCAGAGACCAGCCCCACATCCCATATCCGACCAGATGCATCAGGGACCAGCCCCACCTCCAAGATCCGACCAGATGCATCAGAGACCAGCCCCACCTCCCATATCCGACCAGATGCATCAGAGACCAGCCTAATCTCCAAGATCCGACCAGATGCATCAGAGACCAGCCCGACCTCCAAGAGCCGACCTGATACATTAGAGACCAGCCCCACCTCCCATATCCGACCAGATGCATCAGAGACCAGCCTAATCTCCAAGATCCGACCAGATGCATCAGAGACCAGCCCGACCTCCAAGAGCCGACCTGATACATCAGAGACCAGCCCGACCCTCCAAGATCCGACCTGATGCATCAGCGAAGAGACCAGCCCGACCCTCCCAGATCCGACCAGATGCATCAAAGACCAGCCCGACCCTCCCAGATCCGACCAGATGCATCAAAGACCAACCCGACCTCCCAGATCCGACCGGATACACCAGGAACCAGCCCGACCTCCAGGGACATCCGGGCTACTCTACCAACACGGACCAATATCGGGACGAACACGCGCACAACTGACACCAATATGTGCCACAAACACGGATCTCATATGGACAACTATGTCTGTCAGACACTGGGCGCGGTGTGACACAATGCTAGAATATACTGTCACTTGAATTGGACGTTTCCTGATGCTCTGCGCCCGCTGACATCACGGCGGAGACAGGAAGTCACCCTAGAGGGCCGGAAAGGCCGCTCACGTATAGTCATGAATATGTTTGAATTGTCCTGTACATGTTCGAGACATATATTACATTGCGATGAAAACAAAGTTTGTGACGAGGGTTTATCCTTCCATGTGAAGTATATATGATATTAGATAAACCCAATGTTTTATTTCACGTTATCGGAAAAATGTATAGTGTTGTATGTGAAACCCTTCGCTTTATCATAAATATGATACATTAAGTCTGTTATCTGTTATTTGGAGAGAGAGAGAGAGAGAGAGAGAGAGATATTTAGGGTCTGTAATTCTACCTACAGACCGATATATATATATATTGGGCGAGATAACCTTTCTACAAATATATATATATTTAGGGCGTGTTAACCGACCTATTATCAATATATTTAGTGTGTGTTTACCCACCTACAGATCGATATATATTTAGGGTGTTTACCCACCTACAGATCGATATATATTTAGGGTGTTTACCCACCTACAGATCGATATATTTAGTGTGTTTACCAACCTACATATCGATATATTTAGTGTGTTTACCCACCTACAGATCGTTACATATTAAGGGCGTGTTTACCCACCTACAGATCGATATATATTTAGGGCGTGTTTACCCACCTACAGATCGATATATATTTAGGGCGTGTTACCCACCTACAGATCGATATATATGTAGGGCTTGTTTACCCACCTACAGATCGATATATATTTAGTGTGTGTTTACCCACCTACAGATCGATATATATTCAGGGCGTGTTTACCCACCTACAGATCGATACATATTTAGGGCGTGTTTACCCACCTACAGATCGATACATATTTAGGGCGTGTTTACCCACCTACAGATCGATATATATATTTAGGGCGTGTTTACCCACCTACAGATCGATATATATTTAGGGCGTGTTTACCCACCTACAGAACGATACATATTTAGTGTGTGTTTACCCACCTACAGATCGATTCATATTTAGTGCGTGCCTCACCTACAGATCGATATATATGTAGGGCGTGTTTACCCACCTACAGATCGATATATATTAAGGGCGTGTTTACCCACCTACAGATCGATATATATTTAGGCCGTGTTTACCACCTACAGATCGAAACATATATAGGGCGTGTTTACCCACCTACAGATCGATTCATATTTAGTGCGTGCCTCACCTACAGATCGATATATATGTAGGGCGTGGTTACCCACCTACAGATCGATATATATTTAGGGCATGTTTACCCACCTACAGATCGATTCATATTTAGTGCGTGCCTCACCTACAGATCGATATATATGTAGGGCGTGTTTACCCACCTACAGATCGATATATATTTAGGGCATGTTTACCCACCTACAGATCGATTCATATTAATGGCGTGCCTCACCTACAGATCGATATATATGTAGGGCGTGGTTACCCACCTACAGATCGATATATATTTAGGGCATGTTTACCACCTACAGATCGATATATATTTAGGGCGTGCCTCACCTACAGATCGATATATATTTAGGGCGTGTTTACCCATCTACAGATCGATATATATTTAGGGCGTGTTTACCACCTACAGATCGATTCATATTAAGGGCGTGCCTCACCTACAGATCGATATATATTTAGGGCGTGTTTACCCACCTACAGATCGATATATATTTAAGGCGTGTTTACCCACCTACAGATCGATATATATTTAGGGCGTGTTTACCACCTACAGATCGATTCATATTAAGGGCGTGCCTCACCTACAGATCGAAACATATTCAGGGCGTGTTTACCCACCTACAGATCGATACATATTTAGGGCGTGTTTACCCACCTACAGATCCATATGTAGTTAGTGCCTGCTTACCCACCTACAGATTGATATATATTTAGGGCGTTTTTATCCACGTACAGATCGATATTTATTTAGGGCGTGTTTACCCACCTACAGATAGATACATATGTAGGGCGTGTTTACCCACCAATAGATTGATATATATTTATGTCAACCTTCCCACCGTCCGATATGCATGCTACATAGTATTTTGCCCTGTTAGTGAGGCATGTTGCGTATAGATGGCTGACTATACTCGTTTAACATAAAGTATTGTAGGCAACAACGGGTTAATTCATTTGGTCCTCAGAGTCGCCCTTATACCTGACTGTAGTACTGGTGTCAAGTTGGCAGTGCTTTTGGAACCTCGAGACAGCTGTGTTGAGTTCTCCCCGGCCAGGAAACCAACTCGGGTGCAGATGCTTCAAAACTGTCTGTACAGAGTTGTGTCCCTTACTCACCAGAATCCATGTGATGCGTAACATGGGTACTTTCCCCGGCATCATAAGCTGACACTATGTGACCTTATTCCTCTTCACCCAGGCCAGTTTGTGACTGGACATGTATCAAGACATTGTACCTTAAAAATATAATGTCATCATATGTGTATCACTGGGTACAATCGGTGCTGGAAGATCAATTCGAAATATCCGATTTAAGCGCTGATTCCCCCGAGTGTATTACAAACGGCGTTCAGAATGAGGAAAATTAGCTTACATTGTCTATATTTAAATATTTTATGTTGGTGGTGTTTTTAAGAAAATTGTTTTTCTGCACGTAGAGAGTTCTATGCCGGGACAACTGGGTAACGACAAAAGGTCTAGCAACTCGGTGATCTCGTACACGTTATGAGGTGAGGTGGAAGGGGAGCTAAACGTCGCGTTCAAGATGAGTGCAGGTATTCACGATGTCAGCGTGCGTGGTCGGGCGGGGAAGGCGCACAGTACCAACTGTAAGGATGGCTAATATGTGTGTGTGTTGTTCAATTCCGGACTAAGGCTGGTTTTAGAGTGTTAGCCCACTGGGGTACCACGCCGCAGTTTAACATGAACACCCCACTCAGACAGAGTATGCTGACTCCTCGCCCTTGTTTTATCACCTTGATGCCGAGCGCCAGGCAGGGTAACAACAAGTACCATCTGTAACGGCTTTTTGTATAACGCGTAATCGTTCGTCCGTTCAATTGCATTCTTGTTATTTTTCAATAATGTGGACTTGTACTGAAATTCTGAACGTTAAACAACAGGGTGTTGATGACTGACAAACGCTTGCTAAACGGGGTCAGTGTGAACGCGAGAGTGAGTCCACAACCAAATATTTGCATCGCGCTTCACAAGACCGACGCCGCTCTATTGGAGGGTAAATATAGGGGAAACTCAGCTTCGTAATACTAGAATCACAAGTTACATATAACTGCTAGATACACTGTAACAAATGTGTTTAGAATGGTCACACATACAAGACATGTTTAGATCTAAACATGTTTAGGAATGTGTTAAAATCATATGCGGAATACACATTTAGTGTGCACATGTAAACATGTTTAGGAATGTGTTAAAATCATATACGGAATACACATTTAGTGTGCACATGTAAACATGTTTAGGGTCTAAACACATGAATGAGCTATCGTGGCACAGCCTTAAACGCCACATATATACAACATCCCCATAATCTAAACATGTTTAGAGTTGAAGAATGTTAAAAGTTTAAACGTGTTTATATTCTAAACATTTTTAGATTATGGGGATGTGTATATGTTGCATTTGATTCAGATTAAAGCTCATTCACGTGTTTAGAACCTAAAAAAGTTTAGATAAAAGTTAAACTCGCTTAAATAAAGTGCCGATCATAAGGTATTAAGTCAAATATGGATAAGATGTATAATATGTATTGAAAGTAGATGCCAATCCGATTCACATACACCACCATGACGTAGTTGAGTGACAGATAAAAGCAATTATTTTCCATGTAGCCCGCTCATTTACCTCGCTGAGAAATCAATCGTAACACACCTTGGGTAACTTGCTATTCTCGCATAAGTATCGTTGAGCTGAAAAGAGCCGATATTTGTCCGCTGCATTGGGTAAAGGGAAGTAACTGGGTTCGTTTGCGTCGTCTGCTAGCTGTCCAAATGGCTGAATCAAAGCGTTTTACTAAGAGAAACGTCGGACATATATTCCGGGTCTGTATGAATGAATGCCAGTGAGATAAATTGGTTGTCAGCCCATCCCTCGGGGCTAATGGTGTGATGTACCCTGTGTGTGAGCCTATGTACATCACACAAAATATCCGTTGAGATTGGTTGACAACGTATAATGCACAATGACAAAATGTGGCGACGTTGTCTTCTCAGGGAGTAACTATAGCGTAGACTCGAGATGCGATAAGTCAGCAGCCTTTCTTACTCTCTAGTTGTCACTGGGGCGGCCCGGGTTATATTCCCTGCAAGGCTACACTATGTGAAGCCCATGTGTGGTGTCCTCCGCCGTGATAATGTTGGAATATTGTTAGAAGCGTCGTAAAACCCAACTCACTCACTCAAGTTGTTATTACACAAGCTGAAGACAAGGGGATGCTCTCCGAAACACCTACTTCCAGGCTTCACTTCGATCACACGCGTTGCAACGTCAACGAAACGAAACCCTTGATAATGAATTAAGTTTTGAACTTGAACTATTTGCACATGCCGACATGTAAACCTAAGTTGCTCGCCTTGTTCTTTCGTTGTTTTAACACTGTGAACTGCCGCGTGTTTGCAAACGTTTACATTGAAAAGGAAATTGCGTGTACCTATTGAGAGACCACGTGAATTCCAGGGTTAGAATTGGTCTTCAGTAACAAATCCGGACGGAGTCAGGTCACGTGGTCAGACTCACTGACTTGGTTGATGCATGCCGATCTGTTCAAATTATTTAGATCGATGCTCATGATGTCAACCACTGGCTTACCCGGTCCAGACTCGATTATTTACAGACCGCCGTCATATAGCTGGAACATTGCTGAGTGCGGCGTTAAACACCAAACAAACATTTCAATCCGATGTTAACGCCAGGCTGACAATATTTCATTACAGTGGTAATGCATGTGGTATGTCATCCAAAAGAAATAAACAAACCTACTTCAGGTCATCTCAATGTGACGCATGATTAGAGCATAAACAAGGTATGAATATTTGGACCTTGTTTGTACTGCTTGGTTTAGAGAGTTGTTTTCTTCAAATCTCACGGTTATACAGCATGTTATCTCCTGCGACACCAAAAGACGGCTCTAAATTCTGTTTTTATATACAGTAAACTACGGTTATAACGAACACAAAGGAACCACTAATTTTAGTTATAACCGTAGTTCGTCACAAGCATATATACAGCATATATACAACAAATGGCCGGGAATAAAATTAAGTTCGTTATATCAGTCAGTTCGTAATACGCGTTTTCGTTATAAACGTAGCTGACTGTAATTTTGTTCAATGATACTGAAACCTGTAAAGATTTCCCGAGGTCCTGTTTATACTTAAGGAAGACGCTACAATGTCGAGAGTAAAGCCCCATTCACATGGACAAAATTTACTCATGTATGCAAATTTATTCATGGAGTATATTTACTCATGTAAGCAAAAGTATATTTACATTGCGTTCACATGAAGTTTATGCAAGGCAGAATTAAACATCATTTCACAAATAAATTGTGGACTTTTATCATTTGAGGCCATGTCGCTGTCGAAGATAGTCAACCAGAGGCGAAAGAGAGACTTTCCATACTTTCTTAGTATGGGATTAGTCTTAGGATTATGCCAGGAAAGAGAACTGTGGAAGAGAGAACGTTCTAAACACTGGTGAAACAATGTCGTCAAACGATCATTTGATGATAAACTGTGGATCGATAACTTTCGCATGACACGAGAATAATTTTATGTTCTTTGCAAGGAACCACTGCCGTATTTTCCTGCACAGGAAATGTATGTGAGGGAACCATTGGAGCTGGATCACAAGGTGGCCATAACAATTTACTGGCGTGCCTCCTCTGCGGAGTTTAGAACAATAGAGTATCTGTTCACATGACCAGAAATACTCCAGGAGCATTTATACTTTTGAGTAAATATACTTTTACTAGACCTCATCAGGTGTAGCAAATATACTTTTACTCATGTCTCTTTACTCCTGGAGTATATTTACTCACGTAAGCAAATGCGTTCACATGCCACCATAAGTAAACTTACTTATGTAAGTATATATACTCACGTAAGTAAAAGTGTCCATGTGAATGGGGCTTAAGTAATGAATATGTCCCAGCTGGTTTAGACATGGGCATCAACGACGAGGGCGTTTTGTAATTCTTAGACTGGTAGGACGATTCATGATTTTATTTAGAAATCGGTGCATTTAAAGCTGCCTTTTACAAAATCAGTGAAAAACAAGAGACATGATTGGGTTTGTTGGAACGCGTGTTTCGTATACCGCTCACACAGGCAGTCGTGATAAAATAGTATTACTGCTCACACGCAGTCGTCACATGGTAGTGTTACTGCTCACACGCAGTCGTCACATGGTAGTATTACTGCTCAGACGCAGTCGTCACATGGTAGTATTACTGCTCACACGCAGTCGTCACATGGTAGTGTTACTGCTCACACGCAGTCATCACATGGTAGTATTACTGCTCACACGCAGTCGTCACATAATAGTAATACTGAGCACACGCAGTCGTCACATGGTAGTATTACTGAGCACACGCAGTCGTCACATAGTAGTATTACTGAGCACACGCAGTCGTCACATGGTAGTATTACTGCTCACACGTAGTCGTCACATAGTAGTATTACTGCTCACACGTAGTCGTCACATAGTATATAGTATTACTGAGCACACGCAGTCGTCACATAGTAGTATTACTGAGCACAGATAGTCGTCACATAGTAGTATTACTGCTCACACGCAGTCGTCACATAGTAGTATTCTGAGCACACGCAGTCGTCACATGGTAGTATTACTGCTCACACGCAGTCGTCACATAGTAATATTACTGAGCACACGCAGTCGTCACATGGTAGTATTACTGAGCACACGCAGTCGTCACATGGTAGTATTACTGAGCACACGTAGTCGTCACATGGTAGTATTACTGCTCACACAGGCAGTCGTCACATGGTAGTATTACTGCTCACACGCAGTCGTCACATGGTAGTATTACTGAGCACACGTAGTCGTCACATAGTAGTATTACTGCTCACACGCAGTCGTCACATGGTAGTATTACTGAGCACACGCAGTCGTCACATGGTAGTATTACTGAGAACACGTAGTCGTCACATAGTAGTATTACTGCTCACACGCAGTCGTCACATGGTAGTATTACTGAGCACACGCAGTCGTCACATGGTAGTATTACTGAGAACACGTAGTCGTCACATGGTAGTATTACTGAGCACAGATAGTCGTCACATAGTAGTATTACCGCTCACACGCAGTCGTCACATGGTAGTATTACTGCTCACACGCAGTCGTCACATGGTAGTATTACTGCTCACACGCAGTCGTCACATGGTAGTATTACTGAGCACACGCAGTCGTCACATGGTAGTATTACTGAGAACACGTAGTCGTCACATGGTAGTATTACTGAGCACAGATAGTCGTCACATAGTAGTATTACCGCTCACATGCAGTCGTCACATGGTAGTATTACTGAGCGCACATTATGTCCGACCAACTCCCTGCCTGCTGTAGGCAGCGTTAAGATGATTTATGTCCACTAACTTCGGCGTCGGACTGAGAGAAGCGTCAGTATAATACAGAATATGTATGTATAATTGTGAGGGAAACCTGGCGTCAAAGCTACAACTACTGTTACAACCTGCCCTACTCACTCTACTTCACCACAACCACAACATCTACCACAATAACTGTCTCTGCCGCAGTTGCTGCTACTTTTACAACCTACCTCCACATGGGTGACAACGTGAAATTAAATTAAGAAAAGCGGTAGTGTCTGGTCTGGCTGAAGGCGTCTGATTACGCCAAGGCACAGCTGGTCAACAGATGCAACGCTTAGTTTCTGAAAATATATAATTTTGATAGAAACATAAACTCCATTCAAATTTAAAAGGAACCCCAGTGAGATGGGAGATTCAGAAACTGAACCTTGGACAATCTAGATTTGCTTTATTTAGGGGTTTTGCATTACAGAAAGCCCTTTGTCCAAGCCTGCTACACGTGGCTCTGAGTGTCCGTGGGTATATGTGCTCCTTGGTCTGTCAACTCCATGCCGGATCTATGTGTCTTTCATCAATATGTGACCCACCAGGAAAACAGGGACCCTATGGATGCGAGGATACAATTGTGCTGTGACGCCATGAAGTCGTTTGATGTCAACTTCAGTGAAGATCGCCATGTGTGATGCCATGTATCTCTGTCATAAATATGAAATGAAACTTGTGCCGTCAATAGCTGGAATATTGATGAGTGCGGCGTTAAACAACAACAAAAATAAACGAACAAATAACATGATTACAAGTATCAATGTTTCCACAAACAAGAAGCCATTTCCATGGCAACTGACTCACTAACTCAGATGGCATACATGTTCACGCCACACTTGTGTTCAGGGTGGACTCAGTCAAGCGGGGATGATGATGAAGTGATGGGGGCAACACACACTCCGGGCAACCATCGATCTCCCTCCACCAGCGCCGGCTCCTGGACGTCCGTGTCAGCCTGAATCAATTACTGAACCTGCATCAATGAAGATTATTATGAAGGCAATTGGAGACTTGCTCATCCACCAGACCGCAACTAATGGCGGTAGTGGAAGACTGGTTTGTATTTGTTGAAGAAGAACGACAAGTAAGATAAATACAACAGTTGACATTTCCTGAACGAGGGGTGAGTGACCATGATGGACTGTCCACAAGCCAGTAACTGCCTCCTCTCACGGGTCTTGTTCACACGGACGAACAGCAGATGCAAGGGCTTCCCACACATTGTAGAACCTAGTTCCGCAGCTGACACATATACCGATGTGTTATATAGATACCCATGTGTTATATAGATACCCATGTGTTATATAGATACCCATGTGTTATATAGATACCCATGTTTTATACAAATTGGCGTTATACAGGTGGAATATACCCATGTGTTATATAGATGGACGTTATACAGGTGGCATATAACCGTGTGTTCTATAGATGGGCGTTATACAGGTGGAATATACCCATGTGTTATATAGATGGACGGTATACAGGTGGCATATACCCATGTGTTATATAGATGGGCGTTATACAGGTGGAATATACCCATGTGTTCTATAGATGGACGGTATACAGGTGGCATATACCCATGTGTTATATAGATGGGCGTTATACAGGTGGCATATACCCATGTGTTCTATAGATGGACGTTATACAGGTGACATACCCATGTGTTCTATAGATGGACGGTATACAGGTGGCATATACCCATGTGTTATATAGATGGGCGTTATACAGGTGGAATATACCCATGTGTTGTATGGATGGGCGTTATACAGGTGGCATATACCCATGTGTTCTATAGATGGACGTTATACAGGTGGAATATACCCGTGTGTTCTATAGATGGACGTTATTCAGGTGGAATATACCCATGTGTTATATCGATGGACGGTATACAGGTGGCATATACCCATGTGTTCTATAGATTGACGTTATACAGGTGACCTTATACCCATGTGTTATATAGGTTGGCGTTATATAGGTGACATATACCCATGTGTTATATAGATGGACGTTATACAGGTGACATATACCCATGTGTTATATAGGTTGGCGTTATATAGGTGACATATACCCATGTGTTATATAGATGGACGTTATACAGGTAGCATATTCCTATGTGTTATATAGGTTGACGTTATACAGGTGACATATACCCATGTGTTATATAGACGTTGTACATACACCCGTGTGTTATATAGATGGACGGTATACAGGTGACATATACCCATGTGTTATATAGATGGACGTTATGCAGGTGGCATATACCCATGTGTTATATAGGTTGACGTTATACAGGTGACATGTACCCATGTGTTATATAGATGGACGTTATACAGGTGACATATACCAATGTGTTATATAGACGTTATACAGGTGACATATACCCATGTGTTATATAGACGTTATACAGGTGACATATACCCATGTGTTATATAGATGGACGTTATGCAGGTGGCATATACCCATGTGTTATATAGGTTGACGTTATACAGGTGACATATACCCATGTGTTATATAGATGGACGTTATACAGGTGACATATACCCATGTGTTATATAGACGTTATACAGGTGACATATACCCATGGGTTATATAGACGTTATACAGGTGACATATACCCATGTGTTATATAGATGGACGTTATGCAGGTGGCATATACCCATGTGTTATATAGGTTGACGTTATACAGGTGACATATACCCATGTGTTATATAGATGGACGTTATACAGGTGACATATACCCATGTGTTATATAGACGTTATACAGGTGACATATACCCATGTGTTATATAGATGGGCGTTATACAGGTGACATATACCCATGTGTTATATAGATGGGCGTTATACAGGTGACATATACCCATGTGTTATATAGACGGTATACAGGTGACATATACCCATGGGTTATATAGACGTTATACAGGTGACATATACCCATGTGTTATATAGGTTGACGTTATACAGGTGACATATACCCATGTGTTATATAGATGGACGTTATACAGGTGACATATACCCATGTGTTATATAGACGTTATGCAGGTGACATATACCCATGTGTTATATAGACGTTATACAGGTGACATATACCCATGTGTTATATAGATGGACGTTATGCAGGTGGCATATACCCATGTGTTATATAGGTTGACGTTATACAGGTGACATATACCCATGTGTTATATAGATGGACGTTATACAGGTGACATATACCCATGTGTTATATAGACGTTATACAGGTGACATATACCCATGTGTTATATAGATGGGCGTTATACAGGTGACATATACCCATGTGTTATATAGACGGTATACAGGTGACATATACCCATGTGTTATATAGACGGTATACAGGTGACATATACCCATGTGTTATATAGACGTTATACAGGTGACATATACCCATGTGTTATATAGGTTGACGTTATACAGGTGACATATACCCATGTGTTATATAGACGTTATACAGGTGACATATACCCATGTGTTATATAGATGGACGTTATACAGGTGACATATACCCATGTGTTATATAGACGGTATACAGGTGACATATACCCATGTGTTATATAGACGTTATACAGGTGACATATACCCATGTGTTATATAGATGGACGTTATACAGGTGACATATACCCATGTGTTATATAGACGGTATACAGGTGACATATACCCATGTGTTATATAGACGTTATACAGGTGACATATACCCATGTGTTATATAGGTTGACGTTATACAGGTGACATATACCCATGTGTTATATAGATGGACGTTATACAGGTGACATATACCCATGTGTTATATAGACGGTATACAGGTGCAGATACCCATGTGTTATATAGACGTTATACAGGTGACATATACCCATGTGTTATATAGATGGACGTTATACAGGTGACATATACCCATGTGTTATATAGACGTTATACAGGTGACATATACCCATGTGTTATATAGACGTTATACAGGTGACATATACCCATGTGTTATATAGATGGACGTTATACAGGTGACATATACCCATGTGTTATATAGACGTTATACAGGTGACATATATCCATGTGTTATATAGACGTTATACAGGTGACATATACCCATGCGTGATATAGATTGACGTTATACAGGTGGCATATACCCATGTGTTATATAGACGTTATACAGGTGACATATACCCATGTGTTATATAGACGTTATACAGGTGACATATACCCATGTGTTATATAGACGTTATACAGGTGGCATATACCCATGTGTGATATAGATTGACGTTATACAGGTGGCATATACCCATGTGTTATATAGACGTTATACTGGTGACATATACCCATGTGTTATATAGATGGACGTTATACAGGAGGTATATACCCATGTGTTATATAGATCGACGTTATACGGGAGGTATATACCCATGTGTTATAAAGATGGACGTTATACACGTGGTATATACCCATGTGTTATATAGATGGACGTTATACAGGAGGTATATACCCATGTGTTATATAGATGGACGTTTACGGGAGGTATATACCCATGTGTTATATAGGCGGTGTACAGATTATTATCATAAGGGCATACAGAATCATGGTGATAACAGATTGGTATGAACACATGAAGTAGCCACTATTAAATACGACACTGCGTCTGATGAAGATCTTTGCAGGTAGATATAAGATGGTTTACTTAAATCTCAAATTTGACAACTAACTAGATTACTAACCCGTGGTTACTGAGGACACACATTTTATATACACATATGTGTTCCCAGCGGTACCCGAATAACAGTGTCCGGTCTAACCAGGTTTCACTGTATACAGCCTCATACCGAAGGCCTGCCGCCACATCGCACGACTATATGGGATGAGCCACAGGCATGTCGGTAATATAATACTGGTAGAGAATTTTAAAACCCTTTGCTTCGCAGTAATTTATCATTATGAAGGGCAGTAAGTCCCCTAGATCAGATGCTTCATGGTAATTTACCATTACGGAGGGCAGTAAGTCCCCTAGATCAGATGCTTCATAGTAATTTACCATTACGGAGGGCAGTAAGTCCCCTAGAACAGCGGGTTCTGCCACAGCCATAGCCTTGCTCCAAGCCTGTACTTTATATGAATCCATTGGTGTATAGTTATTCAATCCTCACAATAGGCAAGTCTAGATAAGTGGACAATACAAGCCAGTCTCGTGTGGGGAAAACGTGTTCTTGTTATTAATATAATCAAGAAACTATAATTAAGACTAATTATTATTGCCTTAGAGGTTTATCCCGCAAGTCTACTACAGCCAGAGGAGGGCGTCAGCTGATGTGGTGGCCTGATTAGTCAGACAACGCACGTGAACACTTCTACCCCCGGGGTTGGAGGGCAAACCCAATCCCCGGCTTAAACACTCTTGAGTGGAATGGGCCCAGACTGAGATGACTCTAGAGCGATTTGCTCTCAGGCTCAGAGCACTCCAAAACCCACTATCACAGGATCCTGGCATGCATATGGGACGTAACTGAAAACAGCGAATTTCGGCACCTTGAATAATATTAAAACAGGATCACGACGGTCACTGCTAATAACGAAGCCACCACCCCTCCATCCCTACCCCCACCCCCTCCCCTCTTCATTACACAACAACGTGGTCTATATTAATCCTGATTATGTCACGGAAATGTTTAGGGCTACATGACCAATTATCCTGTTAAGTCAACAGCAGAAACAAAATCAAAACTGACAGCATTGGTAATGAGTCCGGTTTTTCATCAATACTTAGCTATTGTTATAATTACGAATCAAATACAGTACGTCCTCCAATGACCAAACTGTGTGGAGGACAGACAGACAGACATTGTATTTGAAGAAAGACCATGAGATCCACAGTATAATTCATAATACAATTTTGCAATTGAAACTTAAAAAAAGTATCTATACACATTTTCAGGGGAAAATAGATGTACAATTTAATACAGGGATAATGAAAGTAATATTTTGGGGTGTACAAATAACAATTCTTAACATATCTAATGGGACCGCCTCCGTGGTCCAGTGGATAGAGCGTCTGCCTGGAGAGCGGAAGGTCTAAAATGATGATACTACTATTTTTTCTGCGTGCGTGCGTGCGCGCGTGTGGGTTTTTTTAAGGCTTAGAGTTTTATGGGTGATATAAAACCCAATAACCGAATAATAATAATAATGATAATAGTATATCCTGGAGGAATCAAGAATCAAGAATTTTATTTACAGAACGACCTCGTAGGGAGGAGATAAACTATCTATATTTGGGAATAAATGTATTTATAGACATGGATGTAATTTGCATGTGTATATATTTTCAAAGCATTAATAACCGATCATACCTATAAGTCTTATAGACTCAGAAACTAGATATTAACGCAATACCTACCAACGCTACAGCCGTATATAACTCGTAAGCTCGACGGCCATTTTGTAAGTAGATTGCTTCTCGCACACACGTGTTTGTAATTATACAACTTTACAATCAGAATTGTAAGTTGTTAGGGTGGAGTATTGCTCCACAGTACAACCCTGGAACCACAGTACAACCCTGGAACCACAGTACAGCCCTGGAACCACAGTACAGCCCTGGAGCCACAGTACAACCCTGGAGCCACAGTACAACCTGGAGCCACAGTACAGCCCTAGAGCCACAGTACAACCCTGGAGCAACAGTACAGCCCTGGAGCCACAGTACAGCCCTGGAGCCACAGTACAACCTAGAGCCACAGTACAACCATGGAGCCACAGTACAACCCTGGAGCCACAGTACAGCCCTGGAGCCACAGTACAACCCAGGAGCCACAGTACAACCCTGGAGCCACAGTACAACCCTGGAGCCACAGTACAACCTGGAGCCACAGTACAGCCCTGGAGCCACAGTACAACCCTGGAGCCACAGTACAGCCCTGGAGCCACAGTACAGCCCTGGAGCCACAGTACAACCTAGAGCCACAGTACAACCATGGAGCCACAGTACAACCCTGGAGCCACAGTACAGCCCTGGAGCCACAGTACAACCCAGGAGCCACAGTACAACCCTGGAGCCACAGTACAACCTGGAGCCACAGTACAGCCCTGGAGCCACAGTACAACCCTGGAGCCACAGTACAGCCCTGGAGCCACAGTACAACCCTAGAGCCACAGTACAGCCCTGGAGCCACAGTACAACCATGGAGCCACAGTACAACCATGGAGCCACAGTACAGCCCTGGAGCCTCGGTACAACCCTGGAGCCTCGGTACAACCCTGGAGCCACAGTACAGCCCTAGAGCCACAGTACAGCCCTGGAGCCACAGTACAACCCTGGAGCCACAGTACAGCCCTGGAGCCACAGTATAGCCCTGGAGCCACAGTACAACCTTGGAGCTACAGTACAACCCTGGAGCCTCGGTACAACCCTGGAGCCACAGTACAGCCCTGGAGCCACAGTACAGCCCTGGAGCCACATTACAACCTTGGACCCACAGTACAACCCTGGAACCACATTACAACCCTGGAGCCACAGTACAGCCCTGGAGCCACAGTACAGCCCTGGAGCCACAGTACAACATGGAGCCACAGTACAGCACTGGAGCCACATTACAACCCTGGAGCCACAGTACAGCCCTGGAGCCACAGTACAGACCTGGAGCCACAGTACAACCTGTAGCCACAGTACAACCTTGGACCTACAGTACAACCCTAGAGCCACAGTACAACCCTGGAGCCACAGTATAGACCCGGAGCCACAGTACAACCCTGGAGCCACAGTACAACCTTGGACCTACAGTACAACCCTGGAGCCATGTTGTATTATGTCCGACATATTTACCACCCATTCGACCAGCAGCTGATTGGCCAGGCTGACCTTGTGTATATTGTGTAGTAACACTATGTGTGGAGAGTACGTGTCACGTGTATAACACGTAAACAAACCGCGTGCTTTATAACATTTATAACACCCTGATGGACGTTGTGTATGCAAACCTTAGTTTCATTTCAGATTACAATCTTTCTTTCCGGATCTTGGTACACAAATACAGTTGAAGCATTGTTTTACATGACATTCTTTAATCTGTTAAAGACAATTGCCAGCATCCTATCTGTTGACGTTGTTATTTATCACTAAATTCGGTTAATCCCTGAAACAACAATACAAGCTTTGATAGTGTTCTCGACAGCTGATGCCAGATCTCGCAGCCACCAGTTACAAGTGATACTAGCATGCGCGGACATTCACTACACAAAAAGTCGATATCCCAGCGTGGGTACCGTGAGAGCGTTGCCAGTGCGTCTGGGGGGTGCTCCCCACACCGAGCTCCCGCATCAGCCTACAGCATCCCCCGGGAGCTTCACGGATTATTGATATACAGATACAAGATTGTCCTGGCTTGGCTAATGTATCCCTGACGCGTGACCGCTGGAGTATCAGATCCAGACCTACTATACTGCAATACTCGTGCTTCCTGATCTTGCGTGTAACTATAATGCTCAGACAATGATGCTACTTTAAACACAATTAAAACATCCCATTAAGTCTTCTTTGAAGTTTGGTCGACTTTGACAACAGCGACCGGTGATGCACGTCTTTTATTTACAGGTGTTTTGCGTGATGCATTAGGACACGTATCTGTGAAGTATTAACGTGTGTTCGAGGAGCCTTAAACAGGCCTTGCAATGAGAACATAAAGAGAACAGGATCTGTCTTTATCACGGAGAGGAGGCACTTGTTCATTGAATGCTGGTGCTTATTGTGTCTTATTATTTATTAAAGGGGCGGTCGGGTAGCCTGGTGGTTAAAGCGTTCGCTCGTCACACCGAAGACCCGGGTTCGATTCCCCACATGGGTACAATGTGTGAAGCCCATTTCTGCTGATATTGTTGGAATATTGCTAAAAGCAGCGTAAAAAAATACTCACTCACTCATTTATTAAATATTGCGATTACCTGTCCGAGGGATTCAAGGATTGCTTACCTGACAATGTTAACTTAGAACTAAAGCCACTCCCGAATAATAGTATGTTTGGTGGGTTTCTAGATGGTATTGCTTCGTCACGGTTCAAGGTATCTTGTATATGTAGTAGTGTCCCTTTGTATAGATTCCACGTTCTTGGATTTGTCGTGGCGTGAGAACATGTTTCTGTATACGCACCGACCCGTCTATATCCGGGTTAGAATTGTCTCCAGTAACCTATGCTCGTCGTAAGAGGCGACTAACGGATCGGGTGGTCAGACTCGGTGACTTGGTTAAACCATGCATCTCGTCGTATCCCAATTGCGTGGTTCGATGCGCGGGATGTCATTCACTGGATTATCTGGTCATGACTCGATTATTTACAGAACGCTGTCATATGTCTTGAATATTGATCAGTGCGACGTTAAACAACAAACAAACCTGTTTTGCTTAATTATCTTAATGGAGGCGCCGAAAACCTTCAGGAAATCAAATATTTCAGTTAAATCTGAAAACCTCCTGACTATCACTGCTGAAGGTGACGTTTTATATACACATGTAACTACATAACCTTAAATCAATTTATTAAAATACAATGCAATACATCCAACTTTTCACATTACGAATTCCGTGAACTAACTTCATTATTAAAATATTGGCCTCTCACGAAGCAATGATATTATAAATCTACCCAGTGTTTCTGAAACTGTGCATCAGCTGGTCCCCAAACAGAACATCTACATTAGGTACACATATATTCATAGTTGACTGCAAATTGAAACGTCAAATCTGAAAGGACTTTCGACATGCAACGTGATTTACTCCCGACGTTTCAGTGTAAGGTGTCACGTGACGCTTGTCCAACATGATGCGGGGTATCACCTGGAGCGGCGAGGGGTTGACGTAATGTTTTTCTACAATGATATGGACAGTACATCTCCCCCACCCCCGGGCAGGACCTGACCCCAGGGGATTAACCGGCCTTGTGATCCTGCCAGAGTTAATGTGACCCCATTAACTGACCTTTCACTAGACCCACTTTGGCGAGAGGCCATGTTGATTTGCTTACATGAGAATTAGAGACTGTCCGCTCGTCCCAACACAACTCGTCGCGTCACTCAGTATTTGTTTAGAATATGACGAAAAAATGTATACAATGTGATAAATATTGTCAGTGAATCCAGATTTAATTCTCTGAAGATTTTGAATCAACCTCTCAAACGTTTGTGTATTTGGCTCTGTTCTGTCCAAAGAAAAATAATCTGTAATCTATTAAACAAACACATTAGTTTCATTTTGAAACCAGGATAAATAAATGTGTTGAGGAAACTCGTGAACAGTGAAACTATACCGCACATGTCCGTGAGCAGCTTCCGTAAAAACAGAAACTATCAATAATTCAGTGACACAGAAACACAATAAGAACCATGCACCATAACACTCGCAGCAGGCTAGTCCCTAGACTAACATTTAGTCTCCGAAATCTTATATTACACAATATCCTTCTTGACTCTAAAAATAAAAATAAAATTCCCTATGCTGTGGAATAGAGCTAGCTTGAGCTGGCTAGACTTGCTTTTGTATGCATTTCTAGATTATGTTTTTTTCATAAAATAATTATATTCCACGGTCATGGTGCAGGACTAGCTAGTCCCGAGCAACACGGACATTGTGATCAGTACTCACACACTTGTATACGCATAATCATACCCTTGATATGACACAGTGTGTTGTATTGGTTTGACATTACCGTGTACTGTCATGGAAGTTGTCTGGTAGAGTCATAATTATGTCATTTCACGGAAACTACTATTTAATCACAATCTAAATATGGTGATAAGGAATCCTTACAATCCCTATCCCGTTATCTCTGTGGCGTAAATACGTAAATAAACTTTGAATCAGACAATCTTACATATTGCGACATATTACCACACCACAATATCACCGCCACGATGGAAAATACCATTACACAGGGCAACTAGTGTGGAGAGATGATTGACACCCAGATACAATAGTCGCTTGTTAGTGTATAGAGCTAAATACACATCTTTTTCATATTCATATTGTTAGACTTATCTGATTAAAACAGTTAATATTTAGAAGCACTATTATTCTACATCACAAAAGGCTACCCGGGATGTGGATAAATTGTCCCATCCCAGGTGAATCACGGCTGGCAATCCATTTCTAAATATAGCCTACTTTGTATGCGATTGGCTGCGGATGACGTCATGTAGCGGAGCGCCACCGACAAGTGCTCTACAATACGAAGGGAGAAGAAAACTGCTCGCTTCGGAGCGAGGCAACTGTTTGCAATGGCGGAGCCTAATTTTATCAAGTGTGTGGTGGTTGGCGACGGCGCTGTCGGCAAGACGTGCATGTTGATGAGCTACGCGACCAACAAGTTCCCCACGGAGTATATACCCACAGTGTTTGACAACTATGCAGGTAGGAATCGTCAGGTGTTTTACACCTGCCTAGGTCACCGCGTTAGGGGTTACCGTGGGGGATTTCTGTCCCCTCTTCCTGGTAGGGTCGTACGGTGTTATATAACCAGTTCTTAGAATGAACATAACATACTTTCTATAAAGAGCAACACCGACAACATCTGAATACGATGTACACATGTATCAGGTTCACCCGAGGCAGTGCTTGTTCTTGAGCGGGGTTCCAAGGAAGGTTTTGAATTGATATTTTAATATTTAATGTAGATAACGGTATCCTTTGTTGGGAGGCAGTGACAGTGAATGAACGTGGCAGTTAATAGTCTAGACAACACATTAATCTCTATGAGTTGGCGGTGGGAATATATATGGTGGTGAAATCAACAGTTGTGTCTTAGCCAGTTGAGTTACCAACAGCCTCGTGTGTTATAAACTGTCGGTAATCACACCACCACGTTCGCTGTCAATTATTGACCTATTTGGTAGTTATTCCATTGAGCAGACGACACTATCAGTGGCTCCTCAGTCAATCTGACACGTGTAGATAACGCTAGACAAATGGTTTGTCAACAAGCTGTATAATCGAGTTAAGAGTATATTGATTTTCTCGTTTTTTTAATGGTAAATCCTGTTGAAATTGTAAACATTACAGTGATCGCCTGTACTGGTTTGGTCAACATGTATAATCCAGTTAGATTTATAGCGAATGTCACAGATTTTCTTTCAATAATATTCTTTTCTAATTTGTAAACACATTGCTCGACTGTACTGTGTGCGTGCAGTTAGAAAAATGAATAATTATGTCGGAAACTAAACAATCGAGATGAGTGTCCGTGACGAATGTGTCAGATATGTCTCTGTCCCTTCGTATGACATCCTGACACACCTGTACCACAGGGATAAGCCTCCAGCTCACGTCCGGGTAACTCGCCATCACAGTTGATTCCCGGTGTGTGTGTCCACTAATATTTGTCAACAGTGAGTGAGTGTGGAGTGGTTTGCATACGTCTGCATGACCCAATTACATGGTTCGGTGAACAAAGATTCAACAGACGATATACTTGACTCCGTCCCCTTTCATACACAAACGACAGTCCGTCTTCTGACACTACCATGACATTAGCCTCTGTCATTGTCAGACGTCAGAAGCCGCTGTCGTGAGAAACGGACAACCCCTAGGCAATAATATACGATAGTATCCTGTAGAAAGAGCAGACGACAGTGGTCGTGAACAACCCCCAGAAACTGACATGTCAACAAAACTACCAGCTGTTTTTGCTGCAACCGCCTCCGATGATTTCCCAGGAGAACTTATCAGCGATGCACAGAAACGTGACACATAATTGCTTAATCCTCGGTTTCCTGAAACAGCAGATGCTTATTTCGAAAAATCTTTTCTTTCCTTAAGGATGTTACTATAAACTCCAACGAGTAAATTAACATCCCTCCTACTGGAGCGGATACATAAACGTGATAGAGAGACTTTTGTGAGGAGAGATTCTGATCCTTCTGGGGCCAGTCATGTGTCATGATGCGATGGTCGGACAGGTCCTGCTGCACATGCAAACTTGTTGGTTCCGGCAGATAATATTTAACAATGTGCTCAGCAGACGACAGTTAGCAGTGTTTTCTCAGCAGACGACACAGTGTGTACAAGCAGACGATTGTTTGCTGGTTATTCCGGGCGGTGTGGGAAATCCATTAACTATCTGACCCTCAACTAGGACGCCTCTTTAGAGCAATGTCGACGTGTTCTTGTGTAATTTGTCAATCTCCGAGCTGGGGATGCTAAGGAGGGTCCGGTGTTTGTATCAACTACTAAGGTGCATTGTTCAAGGCAGCCACTAGAACATACAGCACCTACATATTGGCAAAGTATGCTAATCAAAGAAGCTGCCTGGCTGTTGTAAAATCGTTGGGTAGACATTACACGTTTTATATCTATCGATTCCTGGTAACATGTCAAAAGTAACATGCGTAAATTTGATTGATTAGAAGGCAATGCAATCTAGTTCATGCCACACAGCTTTATCAGCCTGTAACCATCACCATGACAAGCGTGGTCCCCGCTGTTTCAGTTGTTCACCGTGGGACGAAGAGTTAGTAAATCTTGATTCCATAGCAATGCTTGAGGAATGTGTTACTTCTGTTATCCTAAATCAGAAGACGTGGATCCTGTCGATTCCATTGTTGGTCGCATGCAGTCAAAACAGTGGGGTCGGGGCAATGCTTGTGAGGTCTACCGTCAGTCAGCCCATGCTGGATATCTAAATGTGTGATATGTATTCAGTTCCCCAATGTAGGTATGGTAGAATGGGTATAGCCAACGTGGAATAATGAGTATAACCTGTTTTGTACAATATGAGTATAGCCCATGGACACGTTTGGAGTCTATAGCTATCCTTACATTTAACCCGTTGGGTAGTCTTGATTCAAGGATAGTAGTAATTATATCCTCCTAATAGGCTGGAATATTGCTGAGTGCGGCGTTAAACAACAAACAAACCTAATAGGCAAGTCTATATATGTGGACAGTAAGAACTCCAGTCCCTTATAGGGACAACCTGTTATTATTTGCATAATCTAGAATTATGATTTCAACTAATAATTATTGCCTTAGAGACTTGTGCAAGTCTAGCCGGTGGGACTCGGGTTGGAGACAGTATTTAACTGGCGATTACATTGGACCATGCGGTCAGACGCTGTGACCGGGTTGTAAGCGTGTCTTCGTACCCCGACAGCATTGGACAACTTGTGTCCATTATATACTGGCCGCCATGATATAGCTGGAATAGTGCACACTGCGGCGTTACACTGTACTCAATCACCGACTCGTGCAATGATCTACTTATTCCGAGTGCGTCTACCTCCACGCGTGTAGGGCCGTTAATTATCACGAAGCTTCAGGAACGCGCGTCAACTCCCACTTTCATTCCCGAATGATCGGTGACCTACATTGTGAGATGTGGTATAGACAACATCTTACTTATTTCGTCGGAACGATCGTAAACAAACAACCACTAGCATACACATCGGGGATAAAATATTTGCCTTTAAAGTCAACATAAAAAAGTTGTTGAAAGTCTCCAAAACCGCGGCAAGTCCTGAAGTTCGTTGTGCAAAGCGTCGTCTGAGACGAGCGGAATGGAGTCGAGAAGCATGTGTCTGGAACACGAATGTCAGCACACAGGCGCTGCACAGCCGCCACCCCCCCCCCCCCCCCCCCCCCCGACCTGCAGTGACAAGGGGAAGAGGCCCAGCCAGTTTTGGGGAGGGGGATAGTTCTTCGTCATGTTTGTGGAATATATGTATTTTATGAAACTAAACCATTCTAGATTATAAAAAGCAAGGGTAGAAATCAACGTAAGAATTTACGTTTTTTTCAGAGGAGAGACATGTAGTGTAAGAGCAGATGTTATTGACTATATCATCAGGGAGCGGAAGGGTGTACACGTCGGTGGCTCAATGGGACATACGCCATTTTGCTGTCTCACTTATGGAATTTCGAAGTTGGTTAAAATGTGTTGTGTTGGATACGCTATGAATGAGTGAGTGAATATGGTTTTACGACGCTTTTAGTAACATTCCCGCAACATCAGCAAGAGAAATGGACGGAGGGGATGGATATTGAAATTATATTTGAATCTTGCCAGTTTGAAATTAATTTGTATCTTTATTCTCAGTAACGAGTAGTAATTTTAAAGCCTTTGTTTTCCTTAACAACAGCATTCAAGCAATACATGTTCAATGTGAATAATGTATGATAGTATATACGACTGAAGTTCAACACAGAGATTATAGCGTATCTAGGAACGTGTATAGCATAGGCTCGTTTAACCCAGAATAGCAATCACTGAAGTGACGGGCATGTCAATTCTCCCCTGTGACATTTGAAATGTGCATTACCATTATACTGTGACACATGTCAGCTGATCGCCCCAACTGGCCCAGAGCAGAATAGGTCGTGTAAATACGACTGAATTTATCTGTCAGCGGCGGTAGACAGAGACTACACCGGAACCCTTGTGACATGACGACGCAGGTGCGTTTGACTGGTCTATCTATGTTCATTGGGTTGGTTGGTTTGTTGTTTAACGCCGCACTCAACAATATTCCAGCTATATGACGGCGGTCTGTAAATAATCGAGTCTGGACCAGACAATCCAGTGATTGATATCATGAGCATCTATCAACGCAATTGGGATCGATGACATGAATCAACCAAGTCAGCGAGCCTGACCACCCGATCCCGTTAGTCGCATTTTACGACAAGCAGAGTCGCCTTTTACGGCAAGTATGGGTTGTTGAAGACCTATTCTACCCCGGAATCTTCACGGGTCTATTCAGTTTGGATAACCTATCTTACATACATACTTAAATTTGGAATTTAGAGTGCGCTTTATATGCGTATTTCCCGCACGGGCCCGCCAGGCCATTTCGTGATTGGTCGAAAAGGTATGTCCGAAAAGGTGAGGCAGGGGGAGGTTTTAGGGCTGCTAACTTAATTTTGAACCATAACCTATCGTCTTCGGTTGTGATTTATGCTGGCTGTAGTGTGCTGATATCATAGCCCTGGTTGTACATTACACTTGTCAAGCTGTATATTACAGTGTTTGGATCGGACTTGACAGGCACCTGTCAGATCGGGGTTGTTCATTACACCGAAGATGTGTAGCCTCTTTGCGTTGGTACTGTACTTTTCTCCCCAGATGCGAAGTGTCATGACAAGTAGCCGTTTGATGTTTGACCTGTTACGACATCGACGACTTGTACTTCACTTTACGTACCTGTCAATCAACTTGAAGTGTTGTGTCACGACTGACAGGTACATATCAAAGGGGCACCTGTCGACCACGTATACTACTGGCACTAACACACTTATGCGGGGGAACAGCTGTTTTGGACTACTTGCCGATTGCTGAGAGTTTTATGGGGTGTTTAGTGTTGAAATGGAGTATTACACGGACGTGTACACTTTTATAGCCTCTTGGTTGCTAGTTCATG